GTGTGCGAGTGTATTTGTGTGATCAAGTATGAGCAGGTATTTATGCATGTAAATGTGTAGGGTGTGTATAGATGTACTAGAGAGCGGGTGTTTGTGCATGTGAGAGTGAGCATGTAGGGGTGTGTTTGCAGTTTTGTTTGTAGAACTGTCGCAACTCAAAGAATTATTTGCATGCAGAAATAATTCTTTGCACTATTAAATGGTTCTTCTTTTTTATAGAAAACTAATTATGTATTGTGTAATATACATAATACACAGTTATTTTCAGATATAATAATAATACCTTTAATATAATTAATTTGCCAGGAGATATTTGATATTAGATTAAAGATATCTCACTTGTGCAAGGAAGGTGGGAGTCAAAGGAAAATAAGTAGCACAACAAAACAGGATGTTTCAAAACAAGAGTTCAGAAATGATTAAAAGATACAGAGAACGTGTGACTCCTTACAACCGTGCAAAGCTGTTAGGAGACCATCAAGATCACTAAAGCTGTCACCATCAGATAAACAGCACTTAAAGCTTTCATCTTTGAGAGAGAGGAGAAAATCAAACTGCTTCAGATCTGAAAACATCCACAGGTGTTTCTGTGTCCATGCGTCCACTGTGACAAATCCACACTCTGGGTCTGAAAGGTTGTGTAGCTGACAAGAAGCCTCACTGAGAAAAATAAATAAATAGAGAAAAGTTTGCAATTCAAACCAAAAGCTGCTGGTGTTCTCAGAACAATGAACTGACCAGCATCACTGAATGTGTTTGGGGTTACTTGGTTTGTGAGAAGCAGAAAATGCAACCAACTTCTATGACTGAACTTTGGAAGTGTGGAAAAACACTCCTGAAGATCTTTTTGGAAAACTGAAAAATTGAAGCTGTAAAAAAGGTAAAGGATGAAGATACTAAAAACTAAAACAGCTGATAATATATTGAGTTGTTGAGGATTCTGTGGAAGTTTATGTTAAATGTATCTTTTTTTCTTGACACTGGAAAATGGTTAACTTGTGTTTAATGGCTGTTTTGAATGGAAATTAAATAATTGGGGGGGAGGGTGGTCTCTGTACTATTTCTGTATGTGTAGGTGTGTTGTGTGTGTTGTGTGTGTATGTGTGTGTGTGTGTGTGTGTGTGTGTGTGTGTGTGTAGGAGCCTGAAGCGGGTAGAGTGAATGGTGCCTGTAGGGAGCATGCTGCACTCTTTTCCTCTGGCGGATCCAGACAGGCTGCCCATCTCTGTCGTCCATTCTCATCTGCCGCTCATCCTCTCCTCCAGCGAAAGGAAAAAAAGCCTCTGTATTTCTCAGTCATCACTTTTGTGTGTGTGTGCATCTGACCTGGCGCTCGGCTGCACTGCTGGAACAGCGTGCCCAAGCCTTTTTCCCCACGCGCTCTCTAATGCAAATTGAATTTGCATGAAATATGCGGTGCAGAAATTGCATCTGACTCCTGGAGGAGACAGTACACAGCGCTTCTCCTGCCAGAGAACACTGCTCCAAAAAAAAAATCATAATAAGGACGCTGTAGTGATGATGATGGTGATGAAGGCCTTGATGCTTTGAAACAGTAAGCTTAGGATCACTTTAGTGATTTAGATGAAACGTGTAATTTGCACAATATTCCCCTTAGCTCAAAAATAAGAGCATATTGGTGAAAGGAAATCTGAAGAATGCTTTGATTAAAGCGATAGTTTGGCAATAAATCAAATTCACACAGTTTTCCCCTTAGCCCAAGTGTAATAGGCTAAGTAATGGAAGATTATATGCCATTAATTAGTGTTGTGATTTTTGACGCTTTATGACATACTGTTACATTATGAAGATGGATAAAGGTACGGGCAAATTTCAAGCTTCAGGATGGCTGCTGGTGCTGTGTTTAGGTGTGCAGTATGTCATACAGTTCAGAAATCATGTAAGTAAGTCTATTTGAGACTTATTAGCAGCTTGAAGCAAATATGTGATGATTTAGGCATGCAGCTAATTGGAGTATAAGCTTCCATTACTTTTTAGCTACATTAGCCTCATAGCTCCAGTGCTAAAGTGTTTTTGTGCATGTGAGAGTGAGCATGTAGGCAAACTCCAGACACCAAGCACGTCATTGTTCATGGACTGCATTTGGGGAAAGTGGAAAATTGTGTAAATTTGATATATTTACAAAATTTTGCTTTAGTAGTTGATTAGTATTTTCTATGGCTAGTTGAATGACCGACCCCTTCACCTCGCTGCTTTTTTCTATGCTCATTTTCTGATTATAGATTTTTGTTTAGCTTTTGTTAGAAACCAGTGATTACGTTAAATGCCACCTACTAATCAAGACTCTTGCATTTGAAACTAACTGTGAAAGTGAAGAGAGAGACTGAGTGAGTGAGTGAGAGAGAATCGCCCTTCAGCTCTTTCTCTGTGGAACTAATGGCATCAACTCTGTATCCAAAAGCGAATTACGCGCTGGGATTGTGTGTGTGTGTGTAGTGGGGTCCTCCTTGTTCCGGTGTGTGTTTGTGTGTGTGTTGAGCTGGGAATCTGCATAATAAATTCCCTGCGAGTGGAGTGAGCAGGGCTGATCCAAGTCCTCCGCTTGCACAGCCATGTTCTGGCGGATCAGCCGGAATCCTCCGGAATCTTGCATACTTCGGCGTGCGCCAATGTCACTATTGATAATGCATAAAACAACCCCGTAGCCGACGGTGGCAGGAGCGGCGGGGCGACAGGGGGATCTGTGGGGAAATGTAACAGTATTAAAGTTTAACATGCATAAAGGATGAATTATGCAGACTTGGTGTTCAAATAATGTGAGAGGAGCTGTGCGTGTGTGCGTGCGTGCGTGTGTGGGTGTGTGGGTGTGTGTGAAGTGGTCGGAAAATGAGTGTTGAGATGTAAGAAGAGATTAGCGTATGTGTGGGGTTGTTAAAGGAATCATTTGGAGAAAAATCTTTTCATTATTTAACTAATTGTCAGAGCCAAACAGCTTATTCAATTATTAAATTCCACTCAGTGTTCAAAATTTCCATGTAATTTTATTTTTGAGAGTGATTTCGTTCAGAGTGATGTGATGTGAAATGGTTCATCACAGAGGAACTTCCTGACTCATATTTATATTAGTGGTGGTAATAGGAACCAGAGATCATAATGATTATAATGCAAACGTGTCTATTTTATTTATGATCCAAAATAACCAGCAAATCTACTCAAGTTTTTGTATGTAATGTTAAAAATGGTAAAATAGTGGAAAAAATTGGGTCTATTTAGTCTCGTAACACCCTGCAGGGATTTTAAAAATACATTTAGGCCCAAATCTTCTCACAACCCAGTCAAAATTATTTGTTTCAAGCATCTGGCAGGAGATTCCATAACACCCATTACGTATAATAACTTTCTGTGAGTGAGCAATTAGAGGCAGAAGTCTGGTTCCTGTTACCACCACTGTGAACAATTCTGACATGGTGAGTTTCTCTAGAATGGAGCATTTCACACCAAACCACTCTGAATGACTTTGTTTACATCTTAACCATTTCAATATGCAGACATTTAGAAAAATCTCCTTTAAAGTGATAGTTCACCAGAAATCACGTTTACCCTCGCCGCAAGTGTAGTCGACCAAGACATGTTTTGGCTTCCAACGTTTGCTCCTATATTTTTGAACTGAGACTTTGAGTCTAGTGTAGCTGACATGGACAGTAGTAACAGCCATTGTGAAGGCTGAATTTTACCAGCAGAAGTGGAAAAATGTTTTAACAGATAAAATTAAGAGTCAAGCTTTTTATGTTTTTTTTTTCCATTACATTAAGTTTATAAATTAACTTATGTTTGTAAAATTCAAATAAATTTAAACACCAGGATGAACTTTGCTTGCATACGTAGTGTCATACTGTAATACCCACTCCATTGCACTGCGTTACACTTTGTTCAGTCTCTGTCCTGCAGAAAAATACTAAATTTAAGAAATTTTGTTTTTTGTTTTGGAAATGTAATTAAGTACAACTATTCAGTTTCAGTAATACTTAAAAGTACATGTCTTCTAGAATAGTACATGAGTACAGTGGCAAAGTACATTCATTCATTTACAGGCTATTAGTGGTGCCCTAAAGGCGACCCTGCCAGTCTGCAGCGATAGCAGAGGAGGGTGATGTTCAGCACCTCACTTCTGGGCTTTAGTTACATTTTAGGGCATCATATGCTTTCAAAGAGGGGGAATGCCACAGTTATTTAGTGTTGCCCACCCCAGTTCTTGTAATATAACTCGAGCTTCTTGTTCAAATTTTCCCGTTTCACCTTAAATGGAGCAGCAGTTACATTCTGGCGCTTCAGGCATCAGAACTGCTGGGCTGTTTACGATGGAACAGGAAATTTAGCTAGTCAGTTACTGAGACATTAGCATACTATTAGCGATTTTTTATTTTATGCTTGTTATGAAGAAAAGGACTATAATACATTAAAACGACATTAAACTAAGATAATACAATGGTTACCATAATTTTACAGAGAAAATACATCTGTGTGTTTCTTTGGTCGCTCGCCCAGCCACTCTGTTTGGACTGTGCCTGTGAACAGCCTCCGTTTGGATGGCCATGTAGCCCTAACACTTCGCCCTACCCCTCTATCTCAATAAAAATTGGGACACCCTAACCCTAGCTACAAAACGGGGGGCTAAGGGCTAAGTGGTAGGGGGGTGAGGGGTGAAACGGGATTGGGCCCAAGTATACACTTAAGCATACTTTAAGTGCATTCCCCTGGATAACAGTACAGTGTCAGAAACGCGATCTGAGATCACTTAATTTGAATTCAGCCACTTTTTGATGATTTAGGCATGCAGCTTGAATGAGGCTAAGTGTTGGTGTATAAGCTACTATTACTTGTTAACTCCATTAGCTTTGTAGCTCCAGTGCACAACTAAAGAATCAAACTTTAGAAACCAGACATTTCTTGGCTTGTTGACTAAGAGTGAAATGATGGGAATCTGATCTTTTGCTGAAGTATTATGTGGGGATACTCAGTACACTGTGTTGTTGTTGCAGGCCCTTTGTTCGGGGTGGCGGGGAGTGAGCAGCCGTTCAGTGTCAGCTCGGTGACTTCTGTGCCCAGTGCCTTCCCAGTGATGGCTCATCCTGCCTTCAGCCTTCTGTCGCCGGCCACAGCACGCCCAGAGTTTGGGGGTTTGGGGGCTCTCGGGGTCACTGCAGCCTTGGCAGCCCACCCACAACTAGGGGCTTTCTCAGGTAGAGCAATATGTCATGCATGTCAGAAAAAAGCAGTAGGATTTATTCTCTCCATTCTGCATTGTAGGAGCATGTGTCTTATGTAATCTCAGATCTGTAATGTTATGTAGTGTTTATCTTGGTATATTGTGTCAATTTACAATACATTATTAATCAAATATATTTGCATCATTATTTTAATATGTTTACATAATTACATAGCTAGTGATTATTATAAATATGTTCTGTCACCACAAATAAATATGACATCTAAAGGCTGATAAAGCATTCAATTTATTATGTAATGATAAGATGAATAAGATGGAGGTGGGGTTATGATGTCAGGTGTTGTACTACATTGTGATGAATGATGTATTTTAGTAATGATGTAGGTTAGTAATTTTAGTGTTCTAATAATGATGATGTTATACATTTTTTCTTTCCTCAGAGTGGTGGAGAGCAGCTGAAGCTCATGGGCGGAGTCCCGCAGCCTTCTTCCCGCCTTTCCTGGGCCTGCCCCCGCTGTTTGCGCCTCCCCTTCAGAACCACGAGGCCACTCCATACACTTCCAAAACCCCAAGCAAAAGCAGCCGAGGGTCTATAGGTGGGCAACACGAACATTTCCCTTTTGCCCTGTGCTTGCATGCTGACTTACCAGTAGCTCTCAGGGCACAGTAATATGACACCAAATCAATGTTATATGGAATTAATGTTGAAAATTGAGCTGAAATGCCATAGTAATTTATTTTGACGGTGGTTTCAAATTGACAAATGGTTGATAATTAGTCTGTTTCCCATCAGTTTCAACTGATCTGCCAAATATGTAGTAATTATCAAAGCCACAAATGGTTAGTCCGCCCACTGTTGTCTCAGTTATTCGGTATGCGGCTGCTCAGAAGCTGATTAGTTGTCCTGAAGGCAAACTGAGCTTTTTAAATATTTCTAAGGCAGCCCTCAGGTATGTAAGTACACTGGAATTCATCGCTCTAAGATGGTGCCTCAGGTGTTCACTACAAAGTTCTGTCTGGCTTATTCAACAGTCTGTGTATAAAAACCATTACTACATTTACTGCAACATTGATCTGTTGTTAGATTATGTGAGAAATGCCCCTTAATGACATCACCTCGCTCATTCTGAAGTGACCCCATTGCAAACTGGTGTTTCTATCGTGCGCAGGTGTTAATGGAGCTGTAAACGGCAGCACCGTCTCTCCCTCCGCCACTAAAGGCAACGTCTCTGCGTCCGCCTCACTCTCGCCCTCCCCCGCGCCACGGCCCCTGGAGCACAGCCGGACCCCCAACGCCAAGCCCCGCGCCCGCAAGGCTGGTCACCATAGCAACAGCACAGGAGAGCTCCAAGAGAAGCCCTCTCAGAAGCCTAAAGAGAAGGTAAGAGATAATGTGGCACAGGAAGCCAGCGGGTCCCCTTCGGCTGGGAGTGGGGGGGGGCGGTGGTTATGACATCTTCAGTACAGCTGAATGTACACATCACCAGCAAAGATTTAGGTTTCAAAGCAACATTAGATCTCTTTTGCCTTTATGTTTTAATTGTAATCAAGTGCCTACTTACATTATATCATTCCCTTTCTGGTTCAGTAATAGTTCAGTGTGATGCTATCAGTGTCTACAGCAAAACATAATTCAGGACATCTGAAATTGGGCCTTTGTCTTTTCCTATGCACTAACAGAAAAGCAGCATACTGTCATTGTGCAACAGTTGTCTTGTGTTTTGAATGGGATTTTACAGACTTGCATCACTCTCAGACTGTACTGTACGTCTGAGTCAATTTCAGATATTTCTTAATTTAATAAATTGAAAACAACAATGAGATCTTAAAAGACTGTATTAAAACTGCTATGAAAATACTTCAGAAATACTTCCTGCATGTGATGATTATGGCATTGTACTGTGTAGCATAGGAGGTTTATTAATTATTGATATGTCTGTTGGCTACCATAGAAAGCTCGCAAGAAACAGGGGGAAGGCTTGGGCGTGAGTGACAGCGAATCAGGCACATCATTGGACAGTGACAGCGAGGGAGTCAGCAGTAGTGACCTGGATGACCTCGGGGAAGAGGAAGATGACGACGATGATGATGAGGATCAGAGTAAAGACAGTGAAGAGTCTGACTCTGAAAAGGAGCGACAGAAGAAGAAGAAAGCAAAGGTAAGCTAGTTCATTGGTCTCTCTGTGGTCATTTATCATGCCGCATCTGACGACAGCTGTCTTGACTATATGGTGAAGGGCTGCGACTAATGATTATTGTTATTCGATTTGTTAACTATGTAAGCCAGTGTGCCTTCTCTGATTTCCTCTCACTTTGCCCATCACAGTATAACCATCATTGAAAAGAAAACAAAAGAAGCCTTATTACTTCCAAAGCTTCTTGTAGTGTACACGAGTTATAATGTGTCAAAAAGACTACTTGTGTCACATGAGCTTTATAGAGTGCCTTCGTTTTCCTAGTAGTCACATCATATTTATATAGCACATTTAAAGACAAGTGTCAACCAAAACGCAATACTAAGTCAGCACTAGGGGTGCATTGATACATCATTCTGAAGGTGATGATTCAACTGCTTTGATTTTGAGTTGTTTATTACATAGTTATATGTAATATAACTTAAGTATATACTTCATTTTTGGCTGTTTATTTTGGCTGTATGGCCCAAAAAAGCTTATATATTTATATGTTGTTAGTACATTATAGATATTGTGAATCATACTAAAATTCTTAAAGCAAATGGAGGTGAGTTTAAGATTTCATGAGGCATTGAATTGTTTCTTTAAAAATCACGCCCAGATCAGATTGTCGGGATGTCACTTATACTTCTAGTCAAACTTTTTACCGTAACGACATTGTTGACTAATCAACTTTGTTCACTAATCTCTGCTGCCCTAAAATCCTGCGCTGTTTCTGTTCGTTTCCCAGGTCGTGACAAATCTCAGACTGAGCAACAAGGTGAAGCCCAGGCTCATGGAGGCGTGGGACACCCGGGAGGGCCTTCACCGTGGCGCCTCCTTAGATCTCCCGACTATGGTTTCATTACCCCGCTCGCCCTCGCCCTCAGCTCGCTCTCAGTCCTCCAGAGCCCGAGACAGAGCGGCACAACCCACTAGCGTCATCCAGTCCACAGGCCTGGCAGTTGGCCCCAAACCGCTAGCGTTAATTAGCCAGACTCGGCGGGACACCTCCCCCAAACACCTCTCTGCCTCTCCCCAACACCTCAGCTCCTCCTCTTCTCCTAGACCTCCGGCCATCTCCCCTAAACCTCCTGCAGTCTCTGCCAAGCCCCTCGTCTCGTCTCATCAACCCCTCCCACTTTCTCTATGCTCCTCCCCCAAACCACTCTCAGTTCCCTCCCCTCCCAAGCCCCTCCCCCTGTCCTCCTCCCCTAAACCTCCCCCTTTGACACCGTCCCCCAGGGCACGCTCTCTAGGCTCAGCCCACAAGGCGCAGGAGGCTCTGAGCAGCAGGAAGCTTCTGGAGAACTCTCTGGCTCAAATTGCAGACTACAGACTGAAACAAGTGGGTTTACGCTCATTCTCACACACACACACACAGTGATTAGGTAGATAATTGAAACTAAAGTTGAGAAAGTTGAAAGTTGTCCTGTAAGAATGTCCATTATATCTTCTCCTATTAGATGCTTTTGACTACATCTTGATCCTGAGATGCGTCCTGGGTGATCTGATCATAAGTGGACACCAGTGTATTTTAAGAAACATTGTTATCTATTCATTCCAACCGACACTGGAGGTGATCAGTGACGCGTATACCCACATAATTTGTGGTGTGGACAGTAAAACCCTGTTGACACTTGGTCACTTCATGTGACTAGTATCTGGATTGTATCCTGGTAAGATTTTAGCCACGTGCATTTACACTTAGTAGGTAGTCAAATTCGTCTCCAGTTAGACTGAAATCCGATTGTTGTGTGGGATGGAATATGCAAATCTGCTTGTTACGCAGCAGCCAGTCACCAGTTGTTTATCCGTTCAGCCTTTTCCTTTTTTGCACAATTTTGCCTGTCCGTATTGCTAATAAGTATTTAATTTCGTGTGCATCCTCCTTGATTATCTTCATTGCAGTTACTGATCACATGCCCAGTGACGTACTGCATGGGGAGGAGTTTCAGCTTTACTGGGAGGGGTTTTGGTTGTCGAATGTTTCATGGAGAGACGGATGCGTTTACACTGCTATAACGTGGCTCAGAAGCGTCTCAGACCACCTCCTGAATAAGTTTGAATGATCAGATATGTACCTGTTGTAAATGCATCTTACACTTGCATTTTTATGTGGCCTTACTTTACCCAGATATAATCCTGATGCTCAAGACGCATGAAGTGACCAGCTGTAAACGGGGTCTAACTCTACTGGATTTTCCATTGTTTTCAGTAGAGCAGCAACAGAAAATTCCCTCGCCAACAGTGGCAGAGTACCACTGCAGTTGGCAGAATGTCCCGTTCAGTTTTCCCAACTTTTGCTGCCAACTGCAGCGGTGGAATAAACAGGATGTTGATTTTTGGGGAAGCCATGGACATCTCATTGTTGAAGTCCAGGCGCACCCAACGTTATACAAGAAAAAATAAGAGCACAGAGCACCCTCAAGACTTTTCTCTACCATGGTACACAATCAGCACTGGTGCTCTCATCCCTTTTTTGTTGAGGACGCTGTCACCTTGGCAGTGCTTCCACGGCTGCAGGCCATTGTTGGTGGTTCGTGTTTTTTAACTGCACATTTAATTTGAAAAACATCTACTTTTGTACTGACTTCCCACGCTGACCACTCAAGATTGAAGATGCCTTCTCTCTAATCAGTCACTCATCCAACATGGTGGAAAACCTGTTTTAGAACACATTGTAGTCTTGCTTTTTCCATGATTTGTTATAGAAATATTATCTATAATTTTGTGAATTATTATATATGTCTATCATATCTCGACTTGACTTGACTCATGTCTTTTATGTTCTGTCAAATCACAGTCTCTTGTTTACCAACTTGTCAGTCAAAGCCGTTAACCCGCCTCCTCAAGGCCAGAGTACACTGATAGGACAAACACAAACATTCTAGTATTTGCAGTTGTTCAGAAAATAAACTTTCAGGTAAAATGAACTCGATAAAATCAACTCAGTAAAATGCAAAGAGAACATTCTAGAGGTTTTCAAAAATCCAACATGGGTATGGCCCACTGGTCAAATGTTGTTTGTTTGTGTTTGTCCAGTCGCTGCTCTCTGCCCTTAAGAAAACCTGCTTCTTTTTAAGCATGAAACCCAGCAGTGTATTTTTGTTTTCCGTGTCATGTGGAAAAGAACACAACATAGTAAACATGCATGGTACTCTTCCTCAGTCACAAAATCAGATCATAAACTGTTACTGGAGACAGATTCAGGACTTGTGGAAATGGCAGGTGTCAACTATATGCCTCACTGTTGTCTTATGATCAGATCACTCAAGACTGATGTTAATGCCAGGTATGAACAGGGCCTAAGAAATATTGCCCTGGTCCTGCAGAACCCCTGCTTCTGTATTTTGGTGTTTACATCCTGCTCCAGCACACCTGATCCAACTAATACATTTTGTGGCAATCCCTTTCTGATTTGGAGCTTGAACAACACTAAAATGTACAGGGTAGAAGTAATATAGAGCCAGGATCTAGTAACCAACGGAGTACATCAATTTTCATTTTTTCTATTCTGTATCCATTTTCTTTTTCTTCTCTTCACAAAAGGCAAACAAGCTCCATAGTTTTTGTCTGTGTATCTTTTTAAACCAATTTTGGATTAAGGGTGTCAGTGTTGGTATTCAGCATCTGTCTCTTTATTGACCAGTCTCTTTGAAAAGGTCAGAGAAAGAGAGGGCGAGAGAGAGAGAACGAGACTGTGGGGAGGGGTTGGTATAGAGAGAGAGAGAGAGAGAGAGGGCTTCTCTCTTGCTCTTATCTGTATGATTGGGTTCCCCACTGTGTGGCTTCGGTTGGTAAATGAAAGTGACAATGTGGTTAGCTTTATAAGAATTACTTCAGCAAAGCCGACAAGCAATTAACTCCACAACTTCTTAAGGGCCTAGATTCTAGCAAATGAGTGGAAAAATGGGCTTTTTCCCACCCCTTCTTTTGTAGGCATGAAATTACTGCTGAAGAGGCTAATACACATTTTTTTTTCCTCCCCCATCGTAATCAGCTAAAGTGGTTTTATCATGCCATTATTGTGCTGAACGGTTTTATATTGGCTTGTGATTTCAGTTTCATTCATTTAAATTACCATCCAAACGTCAAACATGTGTTTACTGATTGGAGACGGGAAACGGAACCCAAGCGATGCAGAAATCTCGAGCCATTGAGCGAGGCGCGTGTAATAGAGAGTGCGTGTTTTCTGCTTTTGCTGTGGTAATGAGTGGTGCTTTTAGTGGCGTAGACACTGCAAGCGATGCCTGCTCTGGGCTCTATTGTTCAGAAGCCAAAGTGAGTCACAGCACACGCAGCATTGTACTCCACCACAAACACGAACGCACGCGCGCTCTCGCCATCAGCGCTTATGCCACATGACAACCAGAGCAATTACCACATCTCTCTGCACTTCTCTCCTCCTCTTCTGTTTCTGTCTATCTCCTTCTGTCCTGCTCTCTCGCACTGTCTTTGTTTTTCTTCCTCTCCTTTTTCCTTTTATTGGCCTCTGTTGTTTACTTCATGTTTCCCTGAATCTGTGACTCGGACGTGATGCTAATCTCTCTCTCTCTCTCTCTCTTCGCCCGTCCCCCAGTCCCTTCTCTCGCAGGACCAGGAGTTCCCGCTCCAGCTGAAGAAGCAGCAGGAGCTGTACAAGCCCACAAAGCATTCTGGGACAGAGTCCTCGTCTTCACCTTCGCTGCTCTCATCCGCTCTCCTCCCCCTCAAAGCCTCCTCCGGCCGCACTAAACCCCCAGCGGCCCAGGGCGCGGCTCCGTCGCCAGGCCTGCTGCTCTCTCAGACCCTGCTGGGCCTGAGCCAGGCCAACGGGGTGATCCAGAGTGTACCCCAGGACGTCCCGCTGGCCCTCACCACCAAGCCCCACACAGACCTGCCCGTCAACCTCAGCACAGGGGGCAGGAAGGATGCCCCGACTCCACCTACCCTCGCTCCCACCTCTGCCCCACCACAGCCAGGCCGGCCACGCAACTCTCGCAAGAGCAAAACCCCCAAACCCCTGGAGGCCTGGAAGGAGGTGTCCCAGAACCACCTGGTTCAGTCCTTGGTGGACGTGTTCCACCGCGGCAGGGCCGAACAGGAGTTGCCTGGAAGCAAGGATTCAGACGACTCGGCAGAGGATGACGACGACGATGAGGACGATGATGTGGATGATGAAGAGGAGGATGAGGAGGATTCAGATGACAGTCTCTCAGGTGTGGATTACTTATCTCAAACTTCAATGGGATTACTAGTAAAAACAATCTCGCTAGTCATTACTATTCACTTTACCTCTGTGTTACTCTCTAAAACGCATACAAACCTGTACCAGTCAGAAGGTACGAGGACTGATAAACCGATAATTTAGTTAGATTCAGTAAAGTCGTTTAAAAAATCATTTAAATGGCATGTCACTATTCCTGCCAGTACTGTAAACAAGACATTCAGTTTCGTTAAAAATTATGCACTTGGTTGATGGTATTTTAAAAAAAAAAAACAGGAACAAATTTTAGTCAGCAAAAACACCTGTGTCTAACTAAAATCATCATGAATAAAACTATGAATAAAATAAAGCTTACCACCCTGTTTGAGTGGCTCAGTAGCAGTATATTATTTACATTACACCGGACATTTTGAACATTTGAACATTTGCATATGGCCTATGTAAATGAAATTCTTCAGCATGTGGATCTTTTAGCTTTTTCATATTAGCAAGCAGTCTCTGATTAGATGCCTCGACTGACAGATTTCCCGTTGAATTCACAGCAGTAGAAAGTTGTTTCATTGTTTGTTGTTTTTAAATATCACATGTAGTTAATTCCAAATAATGAAAATATACTTTTGGAAAGATGAACTCTCGTCCTCTGTGGTCAGTGTACAAACTGCCCCGTGCTGACTTTACACCAGTCCTATTCATAATCCAAGTTGCGTGGTCAACTGGCAAGATTAAACACATGTCCATAAAAACATGTAAAAGGGCAAGCATAGAAAAAAATATAGACAGAATTTAGGTTTTAAATGAGTTGTACATATTTTATATTGTTTGTTTAGAAACATGTAAGTAAGGCAAGTAGCATTATTTCTATTACGTCAGTAACTGATGTAATTATGATCATTTAAACTGTAATGCTTTACACTAATTTGTTACAGGAAAAAGTTTTTTAATTACTGTAACGTTACTTTGTACTGCGCAACACTGGGAACGGGGTTACAACACTGACACTCTGAAGTATCTTCAGCAGGGAAATAGTAGCGCATTAGTACTATAAGTCATGGCTTGTGGTTTCTGACAGTGAATGACAGACTGATACATAAAAATGGACACAAGTATGAAAAAATAGTAGCAACCATCTTGAAGCTTGATTTTTGTACTCTTTGTACAATTTTTACATAAACGAATGTTATACATCCATCCATCCATCCATCATCTAAACCGATTATCCTTCTGGGTCGCGGTGGGGTGCTGGAGCCTATCCCAGCTGTCATTGGGTGGAAGGCAGGATACATTCTGGACAGGTCGCCAGTCCATCACAGGGCGAATGTTATACAGTGTCAGAAAAACAAATGTTTTGAATCTCTCTGCCCCACAGAATCAGACAGTAACTCAGACAGCGAGTTGAATGGCTCTGGGAGCAGTAAGAAGAAGAAGAGGGACGCGATGGAGATGGAGACCGAGACGGACGGAGAGAAGACCCCTCTGAAACTCGGCAAAGGGATGTCCCTGCTCACCTCCTCTACCAATCACAGCCTGCCTGACTGCTCGCCACTGAACCTGCAAGTGATTAAGCCCTCCAGTGTGGCCACGCCCACTATCATGAGCAGCTCCGGTGCCTTCACCTATCACAGCTCTCCCTCTTCGTCATATTCTGTTGGCACCTCCCCAGGTAATCATGAGGCAGAGCTAAATTGCCCTTTAGGCTTAATGTTTGTCTCTTGAAACTCTATTAGCATCAAGGCTGCTCGTGTGCTCTTTGGTGCGCCTTGTGTTTGCGAGCGTGCTGTCACGCTCACATGACAGGGTGTCTATTTTTAGGAGGGTAAATTGTGGTTGTAGGCATGGCACTGCTCTCTCCTGTGGAAGACAGCGTGGTGTCCTAGGATTACATTCTTCTGACTCCAGAATAATAAAGTGAAAATAAAACAGGACACCTTATAAATGAGTTTAACACATTTTCCCTTAATCATGTTATTTCTCCTGTGTACGAGAGCCGTTTGATACTGTAAACACGGAAGCTAATGAGGAGTCTGTGTGTGTAGTCTGCGTTAACCTCAGAGCCGTGTTTGGTTGAACCTGTTAACTCAGGCTTACACAGTCATTATGGCTGTTTGGCTGACTCTGGCTTTTTCCCAGCGAGATTCGTTAAACAAAATACTCACAAATCCAACAAACACGTCAAGCCAGTGGGTTTGTTCTTGGCTGGGTTTCAACATTCCGCGCTGAAGCAGGAAAAGCACTTGTTGCTGCTTCACTCCCACACTGTGTGTGAGAGAGAGAGGGAGAGAGAAAGAGAGCGTGTCAAAGCCTGAGTGTGTTTGTTCTGGCTTTGAGGAACGTGAAGAAGCGGATGTTGGAGCGGAGGAGAGGCTTTTTCAGAATGGTGAAAAGCCAGTGGTGTGAATGTCATGTTGCCTGCAGAGTCTCATCTTAGAGCCAGTTAACACTACAGCACCAGACTGTGACTGTTCACTTTACTGCTCAGACCTCCTCAGTCTGGGCTTTTAATTTAACTCAGTGTTAATCTCTCTCTCTCTCTCTCTCTCTCTCTCTCTCTCTCTCTCTCTCTCTCTCCTCTCTCTTTATTTCTCCTTATCTCACTTTCTCTCTCTCTCTATCTCTCTTTATTTCTCTCTCTCTCTCTCTTTCTCTCTCTCTCTCTCTCTTTTTTCTCTCTCTGTCTCTCTCTCTATCTCTATTTCTCTCTCTCTCTCTTTTTCTCTCTCTCTCTTTATCTCTTTATTTCTCTCTCTCTCTCTCTCTTTTTATCTCTCACTTTATCTCTCTTTATCTCTCTTTCTCTCTCTTTATTTCTCTCTCTCTTTTTCTCTCTGTCTTCCACTTCTTTTCGCATCTCTTTCTTTCTTTCCCTCTTTTTTTTTCTGTCTCACTTACTCTTGCTTTCTGTCTCTGGTTTCTTTTTTCTTTCTTTTTATCTTTGTCTTTCTTGCTCTTTCTTCTTTTTCTTTCTTTCTCATTCTGTTATTTTTTTTTACTTATGCTCTCTGTCTCTCTTTCTGTCTCTTTCTTTCTCTTTTCCTTACTTTTTTGTTTATTTGCCCCTTTCTTCTTTTCTTTCTCTCTCTTTCCGTCTTCCTCTTTTCCATTCTCTTTCTTTCTTTTCCCTCTTTCTTTTTCTCTTTTTCACTCATTCTTTCTCACTTTATGTCTCTGTTTTTATATTTCTTTCTTGTTCACTCATTCTTTCCTTCTTTCTTTCTTTCTTTTTCTTTTTTCTCACTCCTTCACGCTTCCATTCTTCTCTCCTTTGCTTCTTTTTCTTTCTTTCTCATTCTGTCATTCTGTATTTTTCTCATGCTCTCTGTCACTCATTTGCTTTCTTTCCCACTCTTTGTTTCTTTCTTTCTCTTTTCCATACTTTTTTGTTTATTTGCCCCTTTCTTTTCTTTCTCTCTCTTTCTGTATTCTTCTTCTTTCTGATTCTTTCTTTCTTTTCCCTCTTTCTTTTTCTTTATTTCTGTCTTACTCATTCTTTCTTGCTTTCTGTCCCTGCTTTCTTCTTTCTTTCTTTTTATCTTTGTCTTTCTTTCTCTTTTTTCTCACTCCTTCACTCTTCCATCATTCTCTCTTTCCTTCTTTTTCTTTCTTTCTCATTCTCTTTCTTTTTCTCATGCTCTGTTACTTTTTTGCTTTCTTTCTCACTTTTTCTGTCTTTCTTTCTCTTTTTTCTTACTTTTGTTCATTTGCTCCTTTTCTTTCTCTCTCTTTCTGTCTTCCTCTTCTTTCCAATTCTCTTTCTTTCTTTCTTTTTCTTCCTTTCTTTCTTTCTTTTCCCTCTTTCTTTTTCTTTCTTTCTTTCTTTCTCACTCATTCTTTCTTGCTTTCTATCTCTGGATTCTTTTTTCTTTTGTTTTATCTTTGTCTTTGTTGCTCTTTTTGTCACTCCTTCACTCTTCCATCCTTCTCTCTTTCCTTCTTTTTCTTTTTCTTTTGCTTTCTTTCTCGCTCTTTCTCTTTCTTTCTCTTTTCCTTACTTTTATGTTTATTTGCTGTATTCTTTTCTTTCTCTCCTTTTCTTCCTATTTTTCCTTTCTATTTCCATCTCTCTCTGCTCTCGTAGGCTCGGGAAAGAGGAAGCGTGTGATGAATGAGGATGATTTGAAGACTCCTCTGGAAATGGGGTATGTGTAACAGTGTGTGATTCAAACATCTCTCTCTCTCCCTGTCTCTCTGTCCCTCTCTCTCTCTATCTCTCTCTCTCTGTCTCTCTGTCCCCCTCTCTCTCTCTCTCTCTCTCTCTCTCTCTCTCATACACACAGAATGAGCATGTACCATTAATTTTTCTTTCGTGTACCATCTTTACCTGTGTGCCTCTAGCTGGCGGAGAGAGACCAGGATCAAAACGGTTGGAGGTCGCCTCCAAGGAGACGTGGCGTATTACGCCCCATGTGGGAAGAGGTTACGGCAGTATCCAGATGTGGTGAAGGTAACCGCCGACCTCTGACCCCTCCTCACGCTCGCTTTAGCCCCCAACACCCAGGAAAATGAAGTCCCAACCTGTAGCTGATCCCCATTAAACCCCACCCCCCCCACCCCTTTCATTTCCCCCTACCCACAGCATTAGCTCTAAGCATATCCTAACAGTGGTACCTCCACTAGCTTTACTGCAGCCTCCCTCCCCTGTAGCTAGCTTTGCTGTGCAGTGCCGGAGTGACTGCTTTCAGTGTGCTACAGTTAACTGATGGCTCTCTGTCTCACCAAACAATCATTATTATTCTCTCTTCTGTAGTATCTATCCAGATATGGAATAAGTGACATCACACGCGATAATTTTAGCTTCAGTGCAAAAATAAGGGTTGGTGACTTCTATGAAGCCAGAGAAGGACCCCAGGTGAATGCCTTTCATCTCCTCTTTTTCTGTTGTGTTCGCTTTTTTTCCCCTCTCCCTCTCTCTCTATCTGTCTCTCTCTCTCTCTCTCTCTCACTCTGTATCTCTTTCACTTTCATCTTGAATCAAGAGGGCAGGGATTTTCGATTGAACCCCCCGATAGAGTGAACAGTTCCCCTTTAGACTGTAGGAAACAATGCAATAATCAGTTTTCATTACTTCCACAGGGTGTTCTGTTGTGTTTTGTGTTGTGTTTTGTTTTGTTTTTTTGTGTGTGTGTCGGGATGGGGGAGAGATGTTAGATAGAGCCTCTGTAAGTGAAGATTCAGTCAATAAACCTCGTCATTTTTATCTGAAACAGAGCTGATTGATTTTTCTCTCTTCTTTTACTCTTATATCTCTGAAAAACAAGTGTTAGTGGTGGTTTTGTTAGGCTAGTACAAGAACCACTTCTGAATGTGTTCAGCGTTCATAGTGTTTGTCATAAGAGAGTTTTTAATGATATTACAGTATTATCCAGCCAAAGCAATGCCAGACAGGGAGAAAAATAAATAAGAGACCGTAGTACTGTCAGGTCCCAGACTGACCACTCTGTCTCTCATGTTGCACCCCTCAGGGTCTGCAATGGATCCTGCTTAGTGAGGACGAGGTCGTACCTCGCATCCGGGCCATGGAAGGCCGGCGGGGCCGCCCGCCCAACACTGAGCGGCAGCAGAGAGGGGCGGACGGCGAGAGCTCGGGCTCAGGCGGCCGCCGCAGAAAAGGCAGACCGCCTAATGTAGGGCAGACTGAATTCCCCAGCCCCTCCGAGGCCAAACTGCTCCGAAAGCTGGAGGCTCAGGGTAAAGCACTGTCCCGCAGGCCATGTCTTGCGTCATATTTAGGATGGCAACTGACCATTGTTAAATTAGTCAGTCAGGTTTGGGCATTTTAACCATTTTTGCTTTTCAAATTCACATTTTTAAGCAAGTAATATTCATATATCTCAATGAGAAAAGCATTTATATTGATTTAATAAAAATCAGACGAATAGAAGGTTTAACACAGGGATGTGCGTGGGCGCTCAACTACTGTTAATCATTCAAGGTGCCAATATTTGAATACTGACATCAATGTTCAGGTATTTGTTATTCTGCAATACCGGAAAGTTGGGAGAAAATATACGCAGCAACAATTCAGTGACACACCATTAAGTTTTAACAGGGCTGTGCATTTATATTGCATAATACATATTCAATATGTACAAATACGTTCAAAATGTTCAACAGGTTTGCTCATGAATATATACACAAGTGAATACGTTTTCAAATGTGAGCTGCTAAATTTTTGTTTATGCTCCAGCACCAGTACACCCAGTTACCTTGTTGGTGAGTTATGATCAGACAAAAAGCCCCTTAAATATCAAAATTAGAATGCACATGCCTTGTTTAACATCCATTTATTACGTACAGCTAGCATAAGACCTGATCAGTGTTTGGTTGGTGTATATGGTGTGTGTGATGGTATATGTTTTAATACACTACCATCCTACAGAGTTATAACTCAGTTGGACAACATCATGGTGGAATTTTGTCATTGTTTTATTTCCATATATAGCTCCACATATATGTATATATGTAGCCATTTCACTTAATGTGAGATGAAGTATCAGCTGCATCTGACATGGTTCGTGGTACATTGCATGCTGAATACATAATCTACTTAAAAATGACAAAATAATACACTTTTTGACTACTTTTGATTTTATTTTGCTCCAAACTACACGTTTTATTTAAATAATTGACTAAGCAAAGCATGTTTGCGTAACCATGCCCATTCCTATAACTTACTAATCTTACTTTGCCTTCTTCAGTTCTGTTCCCTTTGCTAATGCCATCATTTAAAATTCCTTATTAACAGAAGCCATATTGCCCCAGCGCTTCTGTACTGTATTGCAGTCTGAATACAGAGATGTCTCGTTGATAAAAGTCACGACCTTTGTCGACTAATCGCTGCAGCCCTAATAACTCTGCCCACATTAACCTCAGGATCTGAGGCCTGTAAGGCTAAATTGAGTTTGGTGTCATCTCTCGTATGTCGCAGAAATTGCCCGGCAGGCGGCTCAGATGAAGCTGATGAGAAAACTGGAGAAACAGGCCCTGGCAAGGGCAGCCAAGGAAGCACGCAAACAGCAAGGTACTTCTCAAATACCGAAGCACACACACACACTGTTTTTCGACAAACATATATCGTTCTGACAGCACGTTTTTCGTTGTTGTTGTTTTTTTTTTGGTTTTTTTTTGCGTTAACTTACGTTGGAAATTAAGAATGTTTTTTCATCTCCTGTAAACTTTTTAGAGATACGTTACATGGCCAAATGTATGTGGACACCCTACTTAATTATCTTAAGAAATCAGGTGTCTCAACCACACTCATTGCTAACAGGTGTCTAAAATCAAACACGTAACCCTGCGATGTCTATAGACAAACATTGGCTGTAGTATGGGTTGTACTGGAGAGCTCCATGACTTTAAACATGGCACTTTCATAGGATGCTACTTTTGCCTCAAGTCCGTTTGTGAAATTTCTGCCCTGCTAGATCTGCCCTGGTCAACTGTAAGTGCTTTCACTGTGATATGGAAGTGTCTAGGAGCAACAGCAGCTCAGCCATGAAGTGCTAAACCACACAAACTCTCATAGCTAGGCTGCTGAGTGCTAAAGCACGTAGCATCATCTGCTGGACAAATCTGGGTTTGGTGGATGGCAGGAAGACGCTACCTACCGGAATGTATAGTGCTAACAGTTTGGGAAAGGCCCTTTTTTGTTCCGGCATGACTGCCCCTTTGAATAAACCAAGGTTTGTAAAGACACGATTGAAAAAGTTGGAGGTAAGTTATCTCCAGTGGACTGCACAGAGAACTCCACTGAACACCTTTGATGAACTGAAACTTTGATTGTGATCCAGGCCTTCTCATCCGACATCAGTGCCTGACCTCACAAATGGTCTTTTGACAGAGTGGGCACAAATTCCCGCTGACAAAGATTCCAAAATCTTTTGGAAAGCCTTCCCTGAGGAGTGGAGACTGTTATAGCTGCACAGGGGAGGGCAACTCCATATAAATGTCAAAGGTTTTAAAGTGGGAGCTCAAATAGGTGTGATCGTCAGGTGTCTGCATACTTTTGGCCATGTCCTGTACAAGGACTACTTCTGACAGTGACAGTATGCTTTGCCTTGTCTTTTTCAGCCATCATGGCTGCAGAGGAGAGGAGGAAGCAGAAGGAGCAAATCAAGATCCTCAAACAGCAGGTCAGTGACTCACCAGTTTCAACCAACCATACCTATTATTGTGCATGCTTTCATATGTATCATCACGCCAGTACAGAAGAAGGCATGCTATGTTTTGAGTTGAGAAACTGTTTTGGAAAGTAATCTTATTCCACGAAACTCTGTGCAATTTCCTCTCAGTATATACTTCAGTGTTTTGAGCCGGAGACTGACAGTGCCTTCTTCTCTGCTCCATGCCAACCTCTCCTAGTTGCGCTAATCCGGCCGTCCCCGGCTTTTTTAAATGCACGGCGGCGCTTTCAATTAACACACTCCCTCCCTCTGTCCGAGCAGGAAAAGATAAAGCGCATTCAGCAAATCCGGATGGAGAAGGAGCTCCGCGCGCAGCAGATTCTTGAGGTACGGACTGACTGCGGGGGAAGAAAATAAAAAAAAATAATAAAAAAAAAGAGAGAGAGAGAAGAGATAGAGTTGAAATAGGCTTAACATTCTTAAAATACATGCCACCCCCCTCCCAGAGCCTGTTTAACATGGAGCACAGACTGCAGCGGAATTGCTCTCTAGCATTTTGGGGTTGTGACTCCTGCATAATTTTTTTTCTCTGGACTAACGCTAAATTGGTTTTGGTGGACAGTTTTTGAATATTAAATTTGCTGCCTCCTCGTGCCTCAGACCATGGTTAAATTAGACATAAAAGATTTTTTTTTTTCATCCAACAATAGCAGGTCTTGCATAAGTAGTAGGGGGAAAAAATGTTTACTTTTCTCACCCAATTATAGAAGCTCGAAAAGTGTTTTAGCAGGGCAAAATCAAATTGGAGCTGACACGGTTGGCAAGCCATTCTGAACAGGATTTCTTTCTGTTTGTAATTACGCATTGAAATTTCCAGCTAATTCTCCTGTGCTTGCTTTTCCCACCGCCATTGTCAGAAAGTAGGGGAATATTGAATAATTTCAAAGATCCCTGGGCTGATTCTGACAAGAAGTGACGTTCTCGTTGAAAAGGTTCTCAATCACTGACGCAGTGTTCCGGAACCCTCCGATTAGAACAGTCTCAAAATGCCACAGAGTGAATAGCAAGCAGCAAATTCCCCCCATCAGACCCTGTTCGTTGTTAGTGCGCTCTTATTAGGAGAGGATCTTTGTCTTCTATGTGGGTGAGAGTGAGTTACAGCCATGCGCACACAGAGCTGCACATCGATCACAGCAGTAAAAGGACTCATTGGGGCATAAATAAGGCAGCTGTTGGTGTGGCTTGTTTAATTTGAGCTTTCTACCTGTAATGGCCCGGCCCCTGCTTGACCCAGACCTGTTTTGCATTGGCAGGCGAAGCGGAAAAAGCGTGAGGAAGCTGCCAATGCCAAAATCTTGGAGGCGGAGAAGCGCTTAAAGGTCAGTGTGTGTATGTGTGAGGGCATAAACGTAGGGCCAGAACTCCAGAACAATCTTTACCACACGCTGATACCCCTAGTTATTGCACTCTAACCCTTCCCAGTTCAGTCCCAATGAACCTTTACAAGAGAATACATTTTTAAAGTCTCCTTTTCAGGGGTAACTGTTTCTCTTGAATATGCTGGAGCCCTATCTGGACTTTAATCATATTCCTAATGCTTGTTTAGGTTAATGTGTTTTGTGTCTGTGCTTTAAAGGGGACTTCCATCAATCTTTTAAAATTTTATTTACTATCCAAAACAACTAGTGATGATGATGATGATGATGATAAACTAATAATAAATTGTTAATTGTCTGCCATGAATGTGTTTAAAAAATATATTATAGGCCAAAACTATCATAAAACAATGTTCAGGCAACAGGCAAAGGTATCAGGAAACATATTTGATACCATTTTATGTAATATGTTTCTGTGAGGGAGCTTTTAGACACATTAACCTCTTCAGACGTCTGGTTCCTATCAAAATCACCGTTGTGAACAATTTTGACTCTAGAATGGCGATTTCACAGCAAACCACTCAAATGACTTTGTTTACATCGTAATGATTTTATAACAAAAAATTTGAAAAATTAATGGAATTCCTTTTTAAAAGTGAAAAATCTAAGTCTTATCTAGTTCGTAGGGATGTACTGATTCACAAAAGACTCAGATTCAATACATATTTCTGATACAGAAAACATAAGGAGTGGTTGAAAATGCCTTATGTTAATATTTTAATGTATCCATGTTCAGTTTATTAAAGCATTCAACATTACAAAACATCACAAAAGTTGTGCTGTATCACACGTCCCAACACGCTCATATGCTAATATGTTAGCTAACATGCTAGTCACCAATAAGGTATCATGCCAGTCATGATACAGCAGAACAGTATGATACAATAGAATATGCTGCCAAATGGTTTGTTACAGTGCACTGTTTTGTGTTGTTATATCTTTAGCAGTTTGGTGTTCAAAGTTTGCTTTGTTTATTTAGTTTTGCACTCAACTATGAAGCAAATGTCGGCAGCATGGGTAAAATAATATTGCAAAGCTAAAAACAGTAGTACCAGCCATCTTGAAGCCTGAATTTTGCCTGTAGTGTGTCCTACAGGGTAAGAAAGTTTGTAAGCAAATCTATTTGCTGTTCCTTGAGGCAGTTGTCTGAGGATTAAGGCAGTTTGCATAATGCTAATCGGGGTATAAGAGCTATACGGTTCTATTAGTTACTACCCACTTCAGCCTCTAAATTTCAGATATTAAACTTTATATATTTATATATTATTTGCTTATTCTTTGTTAATCTGTGACTTTGAGAAGCTCTGTAAGCCTCTTTCCTCTAATGTAAAGGAGTTTCTTTGTGTGTTCTTTACTTACAGGAGAAAGAGATGAGACGTCAACAGGCAGTTATCCTAAAGCACCAGGTTTGTACCACATTCATTAATAATTAGTGGGTAATTCATGAGTAATTGTTATTTGAATTCCTTTTTTTTGGGATCAGCGACGTACTGAACTTACATTAGTTCAATATTCCTAAATCCTGGATTGAATGAAATTATTGTAGATTTGTCTATGCAGATGTTTGGAGTGCTCTAACTCATGTAGTGTTGTCTGAACCCTTTCATGTTTCTTTCTGGTTAATGTTCATGCTTTTGGGAGTGGGGTCAAGTCTCTTTTTGGGTTGCTTTCTCATTTTTTCCCCTTTTTTTTATTAATTTTAAAGTTTTCTGATGACGCTATGTTTTTTTTCTGTCTTATAATACTGTGCCAACTCTCTCTCTCAGGAGTTGGAGAGGCATAGACTAGATATGGTATGGGTATGTTTAATCTTCTGTACATCTAACACTCGCATCGTGAAACATGGTTGTGATATGGTTGTCATAGCAGCACATATTTTAAGTGTAGCACTGGCTGCTGTCATACTACATTTTCCTCTGCATGGCTTTTCCAGCGGCGAAAAAAAAAAGAAAAGTGCATCGTCCACATCTGCTGTGTGTGTCAGTGAGAGAGAGCTGGCTTTGATGCAACAGGCCCTTTTCTCCCTCAATGTGTGTGTGTATGTGTGCTTGTGGTTGTCTGTGTGTCTGAAAAGCTTGTCGAATATACACTCTCATTGTTTAAAAGTGACTGCCGTAACCTAAGCCATTCATTTTTGCACATCCACATACCATGTGTATTCAGCATTCCTTTGGTCTTTATCATGGTTGTGGTTAGAAAGCAGCTGCGCGTGTATGAGTGTGTTTTGCGTGTTTGTGCGTATGTTGAAATCTTTGAGGAATAGTTCAACCAAATATGCTGACAGTGAGTTAAAGCTAATATCTCCCAGTTAGCATAATGCTATTTGCATAATGTTAATAGACCGCTGAAGTTGTCGTCATTTCGCAGTCAGTGACATGCCAATGAAAGGAACTCTGTGTCTTAGCTGGTTTTCTCTATGGAAAAAATGAATGGTGTTCTTCAAAATTGCCTCTTTTGCATCCTATGGTGAACAAAAATGTTCCAAAGCTGATTTGTTTGGTCTTATTTAGACTTTTTCTTTAAATGTCATCCTCTGGATTATGAGGTTGTTAAGTAGTCGAAATATGAATATTGGTACGTGAAAGCTAACACTGCTGCGTATTGAATTGCCATCACAAGACTGGCTGCCTCACTGCTGTGGGTCGGCCTCGGGGTAGTGATGCCCTCCCAGTTAGATTGTTAAGCCCATCCAATACTGGCTGGCATGTACATTTTATAATTATTAAATTGTTTTTATATATACTTTTTTTACTAATACTTTAAAAAAGCTATTAAGTGTTCTCCATTTGCAAAAAATAAGTATTTCTTGATTCTAGGCAATAACAATTAGGCGCAAACAGCTGAGGCGGCAAATCTGTTTGCAGCGTTCAATCCAAGCTTATTCGTTTGGAAACCTCCGCCTTCAACCTTTGTCTCCAGTACAAAGGTTAAAAAAAAAAAACTGAAAAATTCAAGGTTGTCTTGCTTATTTGTGCCATCGCTATTATTTGCCTAAATAGGCCAAAAATTCTTAATGTTTAATTTCTGCTGAGATTTATACTTGAATAAACAAGTTCCCACCATCAGAAGGTCCTTATGCCCTTTTTTGAAAAGTAGTTTGGACAATAGGTCTGACCAGAATACCCCATACAAACCAGCTAGCTTGGCCGAATGTTGTGGTGAAGTTACTTTGGCAGTAGTAGGCTACAGCAGAATAGCTTGTGTTGTTATAGAATAGAGTTGACATACAGTATTCATCATATGAGTTTTATGCAATATTTAGTTTAGCACACTTTTAAAAGTGGCATTGATTTTTTTTTTTCCCCCATAGAGAAAAAACGCTTAGAGCCAAAGTTCCTTATGTGGGCATCCTGCCAACTACAAAATGACACACAACTTCAGAGGTCTGTTTACATTCAATGTTAGCCATGTTAGCATCTTGACTGAACTGTTCCTTTCATCCTCATATTGTGCTTGTGCCATGACATCAGTACTGTGGATGTCAAACGTTAATGTGCCTGAGCCCTGAGATCAGTACTGCACATTTCTGATTGTGGTGTGTCCATGCCATCCTTGGGTCAGGTGTGAAAGTATTGCAGTAATAGCCAACCAAATATAAGGACCCTTCCACTGTTCTCCGCTCTCTGAGAGGCGGTGTACCTCAGTGTTAGCTAGTGGTAGGTCACTTGGGCACCAGCCAAATGTATCGTTTCCCTTTGTGTTGAGCACATTAAAACAGGCCTAAACAGGCTAGCGAGCTGCGTTAGCTGTGCTAAGCTAACTCCAGATGCACTGCTTCCCCTCTCTCTGACCCGCTCACCACACCTGTCGCTTTCCCTTTTCGTTTGTCTCGTTGTTCTGTCTGATCAGCTGTAACACACGTTTACGCGACTGCCCCATCCCGGCCATGGCGTTGTGAGTGCGTGTATGTGCGAGTGTGTGTGTGTGTGTGTGTGTGTGTGTCCGGCTGTCTGTCCTGTCTCTCCCTCAGTCTGTGCAACATGCTACACCACGCTGATCAGTGTCAACATCTGTCTCCTGCTCTTTCTCCTATTTTTCTCTTGCACTCTGTTTCTATATCTGCTCTCTGTAGTGGTGATAATGATGATGGTGTTCTCTCTTTTCAGGAGAGGGAGAGGAGAAGACAGCATGTAATGCTCATGAAGGCCGTAGAGGCCCGCAAAAAAGCTGAGGTAGGCATATTTCAAAACATCCAAGTAGCCAGTTGTCCAGGCCTCTTGTGAACACTGGTTTTTACTAAGTTTGTCAAAATCCTGAAATCCAAACTGACCATTTTACATCTTTTCCTGTGATGTACCATCAACATGTAATGACCCACTTCTATAACTTACATTATATGCCATGTGTCATATCAATGATATATCACAATAGGATCAGTTTCACCTTGCCATCCCACCACCCCCACCTATCATCAAGCGAATGGAGCTCAAAGACCTTTGCTAATGGGACCATTGCTCAAAGAGCCTTGCTCATTGTTTTACTCAGAAAACATGGTACAGAAAGAAGATGTGTTATAATTTCTGATTTATGTTGACTTTTAATTGTTGGGCTAGGGTGATATTGTATAGTTAGGCTTGGCATTGCAGCAGTAACGTGGTGCCCTGCACTATTTTAACATTTCAAAATTACGATGGCGTCAAATTTCACTTCCACGTGTCTAATTTTTAATGTTAAACTGTGCTAGGACTGTAGAGTGTGGCTGGTTCTGGTGCTAACGCTAGCTTAGCTATTAGGCTACCACTTCCATTCACCACAGTACAGGGTCCATTCCTGCTCCACTGACACTAATTTAATTCCCTCCGGTAAGGCCTTTTACTGGGCCTATATTTAGCGATGGTGTGAGTGTATGAAAAAAGCAGATAGTCACATACAGCCATATACAAAAGTTTGGGTGCCCCTGGATAAATGACAGGTTTTGCTTATTTTCTAAGTGCACATCGTCTACAGAGTACACACGTTTGCATGTGGCCTGTGCAAAAGTTCTGTCATACTCTTTTCCCCCAAATATGTAGAAAATCTACTAATGCTATTAATATGTTGTGCTGTGGATGTCCCACCACTCAAATAATATCTGTTTAGTAGTGGTCCCTTTTAATTGACGTCAGTGGGCTATAGCCATAAACTGTAAACCTTTATGATAGATGTTTCTGAAAAAAATCTGAGAAAAGCCGGTGAATGTACAGTTGTATGCAAATGTTTGGGTGCCCCAGGTCAAATTACATGTTTTCTTGTTTTTCTAAGTAAAAAAATTTACATATCCTCTAGTAAAAACACACTTCTGCACATTTTAATGCTAAGTTACTGTTTATCAGCTGAATTTAACATATTGGAGAACAATAAACCATAAAATGTGGCCAATGCAAAAATTATGGCACATTTTGTGTGCGCATATGTTATGTTTTATTTTTTGCATTACATTAAACTCAGAAAAAAAATCTGTAAAAAATTGCAGAAACATACTCTATTCAAGAGTGTTCTCTGTAGAGGGTGTGTTAACAGATTTTTCACGTACAAAATCAACAAAGTGTGTAATTTTACCAGGGATGTCTAAACTTTCGCAAACATTTGTATAGTGTATTGTGTCCCAAATGTGTTTCTGTGGTGTCTTGTGGAAGTGAGGCTGTGTTGTTGACAATAAAACCTTCAAAATTCTTCAACAATCTTGAGGCCTGTCTGTTGTAGTCACAGCAACAAACCAGTTATCATCACCCCTCTCTGTTCTCTTCGTCTCTCTCAGGAGCGCGAGCGACTCAAGCAAGAGAAGAGGGATGAGAAACGCCTCAACAAAGAGCGCAAGCTGGAGCTGCGCAGGCTGGAGCTCGAAATGATCCGTGAGATGAAGAAGCCGAACGAGGACATGTGCTTAACCGATCACAAGGTGACCCCTCTGCACTCCTGCATATGCCAAACCACACAAGAGCCAATACTACATTGAAACAAAAGCAGGGTTAGAGGAGAGGGTGGGAAAGGACACAACAATCCAAAAAGAAAAGTTCTGTATGTCTAAAATAAATACTCGATGTGCCCTTTTGTGATGCTGCCAAGAAGCTGGTGTGGTATATTTAAACCATGAACAGTTTAAACAGCAAGGATGCTTAACACTTATTGGGCCTACAAATTTTCTATAGCAATTAAGTTTCCCAGCAATTCTATCAAATCCAAGTATTCATATGATGCTATCAAATGCCTCTTCTGTGAAAAATAAACTATTAAGGGCTTGATTACACTGGACCTGTGGTAGCATTAGGTCATCCAAAACACCTTACAAAGCATGAAGGCGATAAAAACAGAATGCTGCCACCAAGTGGTGAAACATGTTTTGTGCCACAAGCTGACAGTTACAGTTTATCATGGTTTAAATTGCCCATGAAAAGTCTATGGAACACTAGGAAGGAAACAGAATTGACATTGTACTTGGTAGTCACACATTCTCTCTCTCTCTCCCTCTCTCTGCCATAGCCTCTTCCAGAGTTCTCTCGTATCCCGGGCCTGGTCCTGCCTGGTCAGGTGTTTTCCGACTGTCTGATGGTGGTGCAGTTTTTGCGCAGTTTTGGGAAAGTTCTGGGCTTGGAGCTGTCCGAGGTCCCCACTCTAGGCGTGCTGCAGGAGGGTCTGCTCAACCTGGGCAACAGTATGGGCCAAGTGCAGGACCTGCTGGTGCGTCTGCTCTCCAGCGCTGTGTGTGACCCGGGACTCCCACCAGGACAAAGGGTGAGAGGGAGTTTCACGTGTGCTGATGTAGATGTTTCTGCAGATAGACAGCAGGCAAACTTTGGCAAAAAATCTAATGTACCCTGTTTTTACTTTACCCCAAAGTCGATCAGCTGTGTCTGGTGTCTTTAGTTTTTCACGAGGCTAATGCAGCCAACAAGTTATGTATTATCAGATAATCTCAGATATATTTATCTGGTTTCTGGCACTGTGCAGCTGTTTTTGTCTGACAGGTGGTGCAGTACAGCACTGTTTGTTTACTAAAACAAACCCAGAACTGGTCCCTGGTAAAGTACCTGTGTCTCCCATCTCTAAACAGAATAGGCAGGGTTCTCTGGAGCTTGAAATTTCGGCCACCAAAATGTTTTGGGCAAAAAAGCAAAAAAATCGAATAGGTCTGCAATGATGTGTCGAAATCTAACACTTAATATGACTGATAATGAAATGAGAAAAAGTAAGTAAAACTGTTACTTTGTTCGTGGAATTCAGCTATAGATTTGGATAAATTTTATTTTTATTCTTTTATTATTTAATATTATTTAGAAAGCTGTTTAGGTTAGTCCTCCAGTTCTCTCAGTTCTCTTTCCCAACATGGCTGTCATTGCCTTTGAATTATTGTCAGCGGTATTACGTTCAACAGAAATTTTAATATATGTATATATATGTGTGTGTATATGTGTATGTGTGTGTGTGTGTGTGTGTGTGTGTGGGTGGGTGTGTGTGTGTGTGTGTGTGTATATATATGTGTGTGTGTGTGTGTGTGTGTGTGTGTATAAACCTCTTTTTTCTTTTTCTGTTTTTGGTGTCAGTTTTCAGCTGTGTGCGGCCTGAATTTCGGTTTCGGGCAAGAATTTTAATTTCAGTTCATCTTGAATGTTAAAAGTAAACACAAACAACAGTGCAACAATGAAACAGCTTTAAGTTTTAATTTACTTTTTACTTATGGTTTGTTTTTATGCGAGGAGTCACAGTCAATGTAGAAATGATCGTTGCCTGATGCAGGTTCAACCTGTAACGATTGTATGACGTTGGCGTTTGAACAATTAGTGGTCTGTACTATTTCTAGCTCCGCCCATACACTCCACTTAGGTACACTTGGTGACGAGAAAGGAAACTAAATTCAGCATGAGTACATAGATCCAGCACCACACTGACCTTTCAAAATATGACTTGTGATATACATAGAAAAAGGGTGATACATGTATAAAACGTGATGTATGTGTAAAACATGGTACAAAGTTAAGAGTTTAAAAAATTGTTTAAAGAAAAGAAAAGTCTGAATTTTGTTTGAACCATTGAAAGTCTGGTTGAACTTTCACATGTCTTGCAAGTGTGTGATGATTTACTAATGCGCTAATTAGTGAGGTGCAAGTTTCCATTACCAGTTAGTCGTCTTCATTGAGGGACTGGAGAATGGAGAAGGTTAACACACACACACACACATACTCCAAATCAATAGTAGAACTCCACCAGTGTTAAGTGTCCTTAAAGGGTAATTCCACCGATTTTTCTACATTTCTGCATAATAATTGTTAAAATGTAAACTTAACAATTTAAACATTCAGAGTGGCTCGATTTACCTTTCCAGTGGGAAACTGAAGAATCAAACTTCAGACATGCATAAAAGACTCAAAGACTCAAGACTCAAAAAGTCTTGGCTGATCGACTGCATTTGCGATAAAAGTTAGATTTTTTTTTTCCCCCAAACATTCATTTTAACCAATACATGCTCTATTGGTTAACCTGCATATACTCTTTATTTGCCTTAACGTATGTATTTATCCTTATTAAAAGTGATACAACACTTGCTTGACTTTCTGCCTCTGCATCTGACTCACCTAGACAAAGTCTATCCTGGGTGATCACTTGACTAACCTGGGTTTGAACCGGGACAACGTTTCGGAGGTGCTGCAGCAGTACATGGAGGCACACTGCTCTCAGACAGATCTGGTTGATATCGCACTGAGCCTGAAGACCAAGGCCTTCCAAGCCCACACACCTGCCCAGAAAGCTTCCATACTGGCCTTCCTTGTTAATGAGCTGGCCTGCAGCAAGAGCGTGGTCAGGTAGGAGGGCTTTTTGGTTTCTGGTGTCTCACTTTGATTTAATTCAATTTGATTTAATTGAAAACATTCGTCCACTTTGCAGTTTAGTTATGGTTTATGATGACTTGCTAAAATGTACTAGACCAATGCACAGCTGTGAGCTGATGCATGAGGATTACCTCAGGCCAGATAGAGAAGCACCTTTTTGAGTGTAGTGCTTTAAATATTCATCCTGAAATCAAACCGTATGAGGAGGTCAAGAGAGAAGCTTGAGTCTTGGGTTATTCATGGAGCCTTTGCATTTTGTATGCTACAGAGAGTTCCAGCCAGACCGTTCAGAGCAGAGGGTGTGTAAAAATCACACAGGTGTGTTATTGTGTAAGGAGTGCTACAGACACTGACAGATCTGTGTGTGTGTGTATTCATGCACAGTGAGATTGATAAGAGCCTGGATCAAATGACCGTGCTGAGGAAGGATGAGTGTATCGTGGAGGGAAAACTGAAAAAGTAAGTGTCTTCTGTGTCACACAAATGTACCCCACCCCATTCTGTACATGCATGAATTCACTTAGATATTCATTCTCAAGGAATCTCCAACACGGGCCATAATTAATTTATAGTCTAAACCTGTTAAAGGCATTTACATGTGGTTGTTTTTTGTCATACACCGGAAATGGAATTCTGTAGGACTATAAAAATGCATCTGAATGTGCCAATTCAACTGTATTGGTTTTGGAATGTTTGCATTTATTATAGCAATAACTTTTGGTAAAAAATCCAGAAAAAGACTTGATTTATTTTCAGTATTGTGCTATTTTGTAAATTGCTCCACCAGTCATGTCTGTATTGAGTGTAATTGAGTGAATCATACCAAAATAATTGAATTGTGATATAGTTTCAAGATTAAAGGGATTTTCCTGCAGCTTTCTATATTTCAATCTTTGAAACCAAGTAATTCAGAGTGGTTTGATGTGAAGTAGTGTATTGTAGAGAAATTCTTTACAATGATGGGGGAGCCAGGGGGTTGCAAGAGCTTAGTTTGTGATGTTAATGCTGGCAAAATAGTGGTAAATCCAAAAAAAGAGCCTTTAGAGCAGTGATGTCCGATCTTATCCACAAAGGACTGGATTCCAAATGAAGTTTTGATTCCGAATGAGCAAGAGCACACCTGATTCCACTTGTTTAATGAATTGCTAAGCCTACAAAGAGCTCATGTGTGCTCTTGTTCTGTTGGAATGAAAACCTGCCGACACAGTGGACATTTACGGATAAGACTGGACACCCTTGCTTTAGAGGCATTAAATGCTTTGGATGTCTGGTTCCTATCACCACCACTGTGAACAAATCTGACTCTCCAGAGTGATTTGATTTCAAATCGAACCACTCTGATGACTTTGTTTACACTTCAATAATTTAATAATGCAGAAATTTTAAATTGATCAAATTTCCCTTTAGCAGTTTATGCATGGCATAAGAATCTAATCTGTGGTTGTTTTGCCTACAGGCTGAAGACCATCCATGCTAAACGCACAGGGAAACGAGAGGCCAACGCTGTAGGGGAGGAGGCTCAGGCCACTGGCACACCCAGTGCCGGACACAAGCGCAAGAGGAAAGGCGGTGACAGTGATGATGATGAGGATGAAGATGAGGACAGTGACGAGGCAGGAGAGGATGAAGATGATGAGGAGGAGGAAGAAGTGAAGAAGGGGAGAAGAGTAGAGACATGTGATGAGGTGAGCTCTGACAGTTTACCAACATGGAAACATAAGAGCTAGTAATAGCAAATCGTCACTCCTGTGATCACTCTTTGATTTTCTATGTGTATGTATGACTTAGGATGAGGGAGATCAAGCCACCAGTGTAGAGGAGCTGGAGAAACAGATTGACAAATTATCAAAGGTAAACACATGCACGTTCTGTCAAACAAGCACACCTGCATGCACACATGGCTGCACACAAACACACACACAGACGCACACATAAATTCCTTACTCGTGCATTTCTGTGTTTGTGGGAGAGCAGCAGCAGAACCTGATCAGACGGAAGCTGTTTGAATCATCTCACGCGCTGCGCTCCATGGCGTACGGACAGGACCGCTACCGTCGCCGCTATTGGGTACTCCCACAGTGTGGAGGGGTCTTCATTGAGGGATTGGAGAGTGGAGAAGGTGAACATATACACACATCCAAATCACTAGTGGAACTCACCACATGTGTCCTTCAAGGGGAATTCCACCAATTTTTTCTACATTTCTGAATAATTATTGCTAAGATGGAAACTTAACAATGTTAACATTCAGAGTGGCTTGATGTGAAATGCACACTTAGCGAAACTAAGTCAGGATTGTTCTCAGTATTGGCGATGTGCAGTAGGTGATAAGTGATGATAACTATCCCTCTAAGAGCCAACTCACAAAATTGTCATATGAAGTGGTTATGAATATGTTACCTGATGCCTGAGACATTTTTACGAAGGTTTTGATTTGAGATTGTGGCCTAAAACCAAAAAATATATATGTAGTATTGAGACATACATGCAGGCATTATAAGGAAAAGTACCTAAAGAAAACTCAGATTTACCACTATTTTACTGTAATTAGCAATACATATAAAAACTCTAAAGACACATGTAGGTTCACTGGTCATTATGAATAGTAAATGAAAAGCTGCAATTGCATTATTGACATCACAGCCTCTGGTTTGTGCCACCACCGTTGTTTAAAAAAAGGTTTCTGCAATGAACCATTTCACATCAAACTACTCTGAGGGACTTTGTTTCAATGTCAACAACCGAATTATGCTGAATGTTTTTTAAAAAAAATCCATGGAATTCTCCTTTAAAGCATTAGTTCAACAAAAAATACAATTTTCTCCTTCCTGCAAATGTTGTTGATCAGCTGAGACATGTTAAATGTTGGATGTTTGCTTCTGAATCAAGTGTGTGATTTAGCTTGCACGGTGTTAATTGGTGGGGTTTCAGCTTCTGTTATTTGTTAGCTACATTAGCCGTGTAGCTCCAGTGCAAAAAAACTCAGAACTCCAAACATGTCTAAGCTGATTGGCTACATTGAGCTGTGCAAATATTGTGCAAATATGATTTATGCTGAATTATCACTTGTAAACAGTCCATTCACATACAAGTAGTGCTTTCTTGCTGTCTATATTGTAGGATGTAATTGCTTTGTTTTGCAGCACAGTTGAGTACAGTGTTTAATTATCTCATTGGTTTCTACTCTCACTCTAAAATTTACTATATGAAAATAGTGTAACTACTAAAATCACAAATTGAGGTCATCTGAAGTGTTCCATATGCCTTCTCTAGGTCCTGAAGAGCTGGAAAAGGAACGAGAGAGGCTTCAGAACTTTGAGCCTGTGCAGGTTAAAGAGGAGCCGCAGGAGGAGCTGCAGCCGCAGGAGGTCCAGAGCCAGGTGAAGCAGGAGGAGGAGCTTGTGGAGGGTGTCAAACAAGAAGACGAGAAGCTGCCAATGGACGCGGATCAGGAGCAGTGCGGAGAGAGAGAAGTGTGTGCCTCTCCACCAAAGAACCTCCAGGAGAAGGAAGCTCAGCAGACAGAGCCCACCTCCTCTCAGAGCCCTCCTCTCAAGGAGCCCCCAAACACGGCCCTTGAGGTAACAGCGCTCTGCCACAACCCCAATGGCTGCCCAGCAACTGTTGCCCCGGCGGCAACATCAGCAATGTCTCCAACTCACTCTACCTCCAAGCCGATGGTGCTGTGCAGCATTCCAGCGGACCCTGCGGTCCCCGTTCCTCAGTTCGGGGTGCCTCCTCCTCCACAGTTTGGGGTCCCACCATCTCTCCAGCAGCAGCAGGTCCAGCTTTTGGGCAACGACCAGCTCCTACGTGTGTTGACAGAACGCAGCGGGCACTGGTTCAGTCTTCTACCCCGCTCGCCCTGTGACGACTCCTCTCTCACTCAGCCACCAACACCCCCGCAGGCCTCCCCGCAGCCCAACAGTGCCCTCAACGTCCGTTCCAGGAGCCCTGTGCCGCCCTGCTCCCCCCACCATCACCTCCTCCCTCCCTCTGCCTCTCCAAGCCCCCTCAACCCTGCCCATGATGGCACTGGAAACCACACCATGTCTCCTTTGCAGGTAAGGGAGAAGCATTCATTCAGTCTGGCACTGAACAGAGATTTAGAACTGAGGTGTATAACCACCAACATGCTTATAAATAACAGAACCTTTAGCTTATAGTGCACCAGTGCGGTGCAGATGTGCGTTTGTGTTTACACATGTGTTCATGCATTTCTGGTCTGAGAGTGCTCTTTCAATCACTATGAATATATTTATATGGATAGAAATCATAGATACATACTATTACATTGAAATGCTTGACTAATATAGGGAAGCAAGTAGTCATAATATGCTGAATGCTTGCTTCACTTCATCTGTAGGTGAAGCCTGGTAGTGCCCTGATGGCTTTACCCATGTGTGGCTGGTCTGGTGGGGTGATTAGCCCCAACCTGCCTGTGTGTAGCAGCCCTCTGCCCATCTACCCACCCGCTGAGGGCAGCGCCAGCCCCCTACTAGCCCCCAGCGTCTCCACCAGCAAGAGCGGCTCTCCAGCTCCCCCTGGGGACAAACCCCCTTCAGCCCCTTCTCCTGCCATCGACTTTCCACGAAATCATGACCACCCACAGCCTCATCCTATACCAGAGGGTAAGACACTTTCACACAAACACACAGTGGTCAAGACCGGTGATCTGTCATCTCTTATTGTTCTGGACAAGTTATATGGGACACCAGATCCTTTCATGCAAAATAAAATACAAAATGCATGTTATAAAATTATTATTATACAGTATTAAAATTGAACACTGCTTAATCATACTGTGAATAGAATAGGTTTATAGACTAATGCGGATCTTGTGTGTATGTGTTGCAGACATGCTGATGGGCTGGTGGAAGGTGGCAGATGTGGAGGAGCTGCAGGCCCTGATGAAAGCTCTCCACAGCCGAGGCATTAGAGAGAGATCACTACAAAAGCAGATCCAGAAATCCATGGAGCTAATTGCACAGACTTGCAACAAGAACAGAGAGGGTGAGCAGCTACACTGACTGCCACCATATGGAATCAAAGATGATATTTTCTTGTTTCTGTATGTTAATTAGTTGCACTAAACCTCCAAAAGGACTGAGAAAACATTCCATCTCTTGAGATAGCATAGAGCTGGAAAAACACAGATCCCAGTTTCTCAACTTCAGGTTAATCCAATGCCTGTGGACCTAATCTAAGAGTTTTTCAATATTTCAAGTGGGTCACTAAACTGTGGTTTTTATGTGTATATGTGAACACGTCAAACGAACTCAGACTCCTCCAAAAACTCCCAAAAATGAACTGAATTCAGGCCAATCTTTGAGGTGGTTTGTGCATTGTGAAAATAGCCCCTGTCCAGTTAACATTTTCGTTTAAGAACCTTAAGGTTTACCATACATGCACTGCCACAGTTTTCTAGCACTAGTGGGTAAAAGCTAACTCCTCAGCAGAATGCCTGCCCCATTATCATATTAAAGTAATAAGCCATTTGAGCCTGTGTGTATTTATTGTAGTTAAAGGATGATGCTAGGGACGCATGCAATGCCCCCCAACTGAATTGAAATCACTGTAACACAGGCTTGAGTGGCTTATTGCTTTTAGAAAATGGTGACAAAAAATATAATGTACAGTGTAGTAAATATGATGTTCAACAATAAATATGATGTTCAACAAAAAAAAAGTGGCAACTGTTTAAAATAGCTTGGCACTCTATTTTACCATTTCCTCAAATGTAGCTCAGCCAATCAGATCTGTTATTCGAACAATGGCCCATAAAGACCTGCAGCTAAGTAGCAAAAGTGCTCAAAGGTAAAATGTCGTCTTCTGTGTATGTGTAGTGGCAGTGATGGAGGTGTCGGAGCTGGATGAAGGTCAGGTTTCTGTAGAGACACTACAGGACTGGTGTGTGGAGGAGCAGGCCATGGAGACAGACATCGCTTTACTGCAGCAGGTGGAGGAACTTGAGCGCAAAGTCACCTCCGCCAGCCTGCAGGTCAAGGTAAAGAGAGCGAGAGAGAGTGTACATGTTTGATTTTAGAAGATATACATGCTTTTCTATTATGTTAAGATATTTGAAGTAGGTCTCTGACATGACAATGAGTTCATTTGTTTGCAATTGATCGATTGAACTAATTTTTGTAAATTTTAATTTGGCCAATAAATATTATTAAAAATTACTATAATTGATTACAATGATTGTAGCCTTTATTGATTACATCTTCAACGCAGGCATTTTTACACTCCTAACTGTAAGATTTCCTATATCCAAAGACAGTTCCTGCTCTTGACCACCACCTTTCCTCCTCCCAATCTCTTGCTGCAGGGCTGGGTGCACCCGGAGCCTCAGTCGGAGAGGGAGGACCTGGTCTATCATGAGCACAAGCTCCTCCCCAAGCCCCGCCCAGGGGCGGAGTCCCAAGACGAGCGGAGCTCGGAGAAAGGCCTGAGCCGTCGGCCCAGCAACCCGCTGGACATCGCGGTGTCACGCCTGGCCGAGCTGGAGCGCCACATCGAGAGAAGGTACCTGCGGAGCCCCTTAGGGACAACCATCCAGATAAGACTGGATAATGTGGGTACAGTCACTGTGCCCGCCCCTGCTCCATCCACTAGCGCTGGAGGGGAAGGGTAGGTCATCCACACAAGCCAGCCTTCGTCTCTCCTCTTCTTCCTCCTCCCCCTCCTCCTCCTCCTCCCCTTCCTTTCTCTGCTGGCTGGGGGCTGCTGTGCTCGTGCGTGCGTTGCATTGACCATTGGTCTGCCTGTTCACCCTGAGTCCATGTTTTTTTTGGGGGACATTTTGTATTTTTGTTTCAAGCTCTTTAACCCACTGTTTGCGTGCTTCCTGTTTCTGCCTGCATGGGTTTGATTTGCAGTGCACTTGTGTTCTTTTCTCTCTTTTATTTGTGGTTGTTGTGTTGTAAGTGTATGGTGCAGTTTAACCATGGGGTCTCTTTACTCTTGTATCTTCAAATCATATGTGTTTCTCATAATGTGCTTCTCACATGTTATGTATACTGTTACTCTCCTTTGTTTGTCTGTCCTGTGGGTCATCAGTTGGTCTTAGAGGATCAGAGATCAGCACAGTTTGTTGATTTCCCTGCTCAAAGACATCTGAATCAGTTATCACTAATCAGTTAATTACCAGGTTTAGCAGGTGTGTCAAAGAAGCAGCATCACCAAAATGTGCTTCAGTTGTTTGCATTTGCACCTAGTCTGAATACACGTTAGTTGGTCCAGCATAAAAAAAAAATCACACAGTTTTTTAATTTGAGAGACAGAAATTTTAACATTTACATTCCTGTGTTCAGCAAATTCAGTGGCAAGCAGTTTCATGTGCCTGAGCATGAAACTGCTTGCTACTGGTAAGTAGCTCATATTTAGACTGATAGTAATTTTTAACAAAGGTTTAAATTAATAGTGATCTTTTATTTTTTAACAGCTACTGAATTTGCCATATAAGAAGCACAGCAGTTTCTGTTGTTACATTGGTGCTATGGATAGAGTGTTATATACATTTCACACAGTTGATTTTTAATTTTGGAATAATTGATTACTCATTATTTACTATTATTATTTACAGTTGATTAATCAATCATAAAATTACTTGTAATGTCTATCAGTAGTTATGACTAATTCAACAGATATACTTCACCAAAACTAAGTACATAATACTGAAAGGAGAATGTTAGCTGTGTCAGGTTCATGGCTGTAGTATTTTCTGTTTATGTTGGGTACTGATTGGCTGCAGACAGTGAACATTGTCATTCTGTGTGACACTGTTCTGATGTAATTTCCGCACTTCTAGTTATGATGCACCTTTAAGTGGTTGTGTTGCTACCAAACTCCTGTACATTGCTAGTTTTAAACTACCTACTCTTAGCATTTACTCTCTAATTTCTAATCAAACGTACTTTCAGTTAGTTTAACTGGCTCCAGTCCTCTAAGGCCAGAGTTGATGATCCCTGGTCTGTCCTCTTTGTATGAGATTGTTGGTAGTTCCTCTAAGGCTCTAGCCCTATATTATAGCTGCGCACCTGGTTATAACCTTCTCCTTGTGTGTGTGATGCAGGGGAGAAGAGGAGCTTGCTCCAGGGATGAAGGTGTGGAGGAAGGCTCTGAGCGAGGTGAGGAACTCATCCCAGCTGGCCATGTGCCTGCAGCAGTTGCAGAAGTCCATCGCCTGGGAGAGATCCATCATGAAAGTGGTGAGTTTGTTGCACATTGCACACATTGCACTCCGAGCACTTTACACAGGACTTTTTCCTGGACACTCTGGAGCTCCTGCTGGTTGGCTCTCCAACAACATCAGCTGCTACAACTGCACTTTGTTTCTGAAAACTCTGATGAATATGTCTGGAGCTCCAGGGCTGAGTGTCTACCTGCAGTAGCAGTTTTGGTGGCAGTATGAGAAGAGTGTGCATGAGAGAGAAGGAGTGAGCGTGACTGAGTAGTTTTATCTGAAACAGTTTTGATAATATATACAAGAATATTTGTCCCTTATGATGACTGTATGTGTGCAGTACTGCCAGATCTGCCGTAAGGGAGATAATGAGGACCTGCTGCTGCTTTGTGATGGCTGTGATAAGGGCTGCCACACTTACTGCCACAAACCCAAGATCAGCACTATCCCAGAGGGAGACTGGTACTGCCCTGCCTGCATCTCCAAGGTAACCGTCTCCACTCTTCATCACACTTTGTGCTCACATGTTCAGCCCTTAGAGTATCACCTACCCAAGAGAAGAAGTATTCCTTGGTCAAGAAAAGCTGCTACTGCTGTTTTTAGATATGCAGTATATATTTGTCTTGTTTTAAAGATAAGAGAATGTCATACAGTATCAGAAACCACTTAAGCAAGTCTGATTGGGATGCTACATAAAATGATCTCTTAGCATGTGAAATCATCTTACGTCCAGTCAGTGTGTCCAGTAATTCTTAAATTGAGCTTGTTGTAAAGGGAATTATAATATAATTATAATTATAATTATAATATTTCTAGACATTTGTACTAGTTTTCTAAGTGACTAAGTTATTTCATGGTGTTGGCAGGTAATTTTGCTTGTTTTAAGCAATATGCCTGAAACAAAATCTGCCGATAATTTAAGAAAAATGACTTAAAACAAAAAATGTTTTAGGTAATCATACAATATTCTACAACATTCTCACATACATTGCCTAGATTGGAGATGATTTCACTTGCTAAGATATTTTTTTCAGTGTACATAACAATTGGTTTGCCTCACAGTGTGATGGTTTAGGTATGCGGTTTGTATAATGCAAATGAGTAGAGATGCACCGCTATGGGAAATCTGGGCCAATGCTCTTATCCGATATTTTTCATGTACCTATCTGCTGATGCAGTTGCCAATGCTGACACAGAAACATTTTAGAAAATAGGACTAAATCTACCTGGATTAGAATGATGGTGAATTGGCATATATTTTTGTATAGCTGCAAATGCAGTAATATGAATAAAATACAGATATTTTAGCACACCAGCCCAGCGTCACCAAAACATTCTGCTGTCTGGAGTTGAATAAATACATCATAAAATTTTGTTTTGATTTATCTATCAAAAATAAACATCTATCCAAAGACATTCTTTATTTAAAACATTTATCTGCAGATACTGATATGTTTCCGAAATTATCATGCATGCCTGCTAATTAGCCTGAGCTTTCATTACTTGTTAGTTACATTAGCCTTGTGGCTCCAGGGCAAAACTAAAGATTCAAACTTACAGATTCAGTATTACAGAAACAAACTAACTCTGAAATCTTATCTATTTAGTCACCATGATGACTTCAGTTAGGACTGAAGTTAGGACAATAGCTAAGAGCTTCTAATTTCATCCTAAATCCAAATAAGAAAAGAGAATTACAGAAACTGTACAAAATTTTCCAAATATTGTCCAAACTTCAGGATAAACCTCATGGTGTCCTCACTTCTGTTTAAACTTTACGTTTTTAACATTAGCTAACCTATTTAAAATAGAATATCATCATTTTAGGCAGTATAACAATTTTACTGTAACTAACATAACAGCATTACCTAAATTAATATTTCAATGACATACATTGCGGTTTCAATTGTGCGAGTCATTTTTTTTTCTATCTCTGCAGTTTAAAAAATCCCAGACATTCACCTTCTGTCTAATTCCCACTCATTACCTGCATTTGTTAATGTAAATGAAAACTTGGCAAATAAAGTATTTGCAGCAATGGCATGAGGAGACATGTTAAACATGATTAAGAGGAATAGCACAGCAAATAGGGCAACTTGAGTTGAAACTGAAACTGTTAAACAGCAGGGGGTGCAGTCACAATGTACATATATTAGTGTAGGTCACTGAAACTTAATACACAACACAGTAGCTTTCTGTACTATACCCTACATATTTGTTTACATTATTTTGATTACATGTTTATGTCTCAGCTGTGCACATGTTATCAGTTGCTTGGTAAAACAATTGATTGTCGACCTCCACTGGGTAGATTAGGATTTCCTAACTTGAGATAAGAAACTGTAAATATCACTCCTAAATTAAGATAAAATTTGTTTCTGTAGTAGAAACGTGTAAAAAATCTTCACTATGTCAGATCTTAGAACTAATGATAGTTAGTTTTTGTAATAAAGCACTATTATATTTGGGGAATGGGACATTTGGCACAAATTTGATATTTCATTGAACTATCCTAGGCGAGCGGTCAGTCCCCGAAAAGCAAGAAGGCACAGAATCGTGTCCAGTCGAGCGGAGGAGGGAAGAAGTCTGCGGAGACGGCCAAAAAGAACAAGAAGCAGCCAGAGGTGTGTGAGGAAGAGGAAACAGTCAGTGGTGGCAGCAGTAGCAGTAGCAACACCAGCAACAGCAGCCCAAAGAAAGCAACCACAGCCTCCACACAGGCCAAGAAAAGCTCACCCGCCCCTCCTCCCACCAAACCTGAGAGTCCAGCCTGCGTGAAAAGAGCCAAGACGGCCAGGGACAACAACCGTGACCTGGGCCTCTGCAGGTACTGTGATAAAGAGCTTGTTCAGAGCTATTGGGCAAGACTCTGTGGGCTGTTTCATAAAATACAGCAGTGAGCATTTATGCACTAATGGAAGCCATATATTAATGTGTACTTCCTAGGGCTTATGATATATTGTCTGATGTCATTATCATATATCACTCAAAATCAGTAATAACTGGTAATTATTAGAGCTGTCAAGGTTAAGAATGTGTTAACAAGATAAATTAACTCCATGTTTTTTCACAGCATTAGCATATTTTCTTTGTTTAACACTTCAATTCATTGATAGTAGTGCCAGCTAAACCCCAGTTGCTTGGCTCACTGTATGTTGCTGTGGATATAGAATCCAATTGTAGCCTTCACATTCAAATGCAGCTTTTGGAAATCATGTGACTTAAATGTTCAGTTTGTGTGAATTCCTTGGTGAACATAATTGAATTAGTGAAAATACTAAATAAATTCTGATAAAGCATAATTTGCCCTTTCATATAGCTTCAGCAAAATGCTCTATTTTTTTAAAATGGGAAAAAATCATTTTAGCAAACAAGACAAATGTGATGAATTGTGATAACCTACAAAAGTAAGATGATTAATCAATTATTATTATTATTATTATTATTTTAATCATTTGACAGCCCTAATAATTATATGTGCATTACCTGATGCCTAATGCTATTTTCAACTTTGAATAGTATTCTGAACCTAGTCTGGTAAACAACAAATAGCTAGCAAAAACAAAGTTGAGAAGTTGCTGCTAATATCATTATTGTTTCATTGCTAAGGCTGGATTATCCTTTTGGCTTATGTTAATTTGCATGCGTTTGCCTGTATTTATCAGGCACTTTAAGTGTCAGTTCCTGTGTATGGATGTAATAATATTCATGAGGATGGGAACAAAACTCGTCCTAACTCAGTATTCGTATGCTGAAGTGTTTGCCCATCATGTTTTTCTGACGTTTTTGCCTTTGTGCAGGATCCTCTTGGCTGAACTGGAGCGTCATCAGGATGCCTGGCCTTTCCTCACACCAGTCAACCTCAAATCAGTTCCTGGGTACCGCAAAGTAATCAAGAAACCAATGGACTTCTCCACCATCCGCGAGAAGCTTGTTAGCAGCCAGTGAGTTTCACTCCACTCCACCTCTACTCAAATGCACTAGGCCAGGGGTCGGCAACCACCTCAGGAGCCACAAAATTTTATGTCCAAATTACTGTCTTGGCTGTAAATATGTCTCAGTATGTGCTTATGTACTGGTACACACTAAAAAGCATAATATAAATGAAAACACAGACTTACTTTGCTCTGCTTTAAGCTTTAGCTCAGCTGTAGCCGCTTTTCTCGCATCTCTGGCAGGAAAGTCTTACAAAAGTAGAATAGTTTCTTGGAAAATGTCTCTCAACGTTCGACTTTTTACGAGGCTGAAGTCAGCTCCTCATTTGCGAGCTTTTCATTCAAATTTTTCTGTTCCGCCTAGTTTTTGATAGTTTCTCATTGCAGATTAAATGTTTCAGCTGGAGTGATTATAAAAACAGATAAGTCTGTTTGTCTCCAAATTGTTGTTGTTCGTCTTAAATCTTTCTCATTGCCATTTCGTTAGCTACTAGCTAGGTGAGACTGTTGTCTGAATTGCTATGGTGACCAGCAGTCTGCGCGCCAACCTTCAGGGTTAAAGGGTGAATTAGCAGTTCTGCATTAACTCCAGTGTTTAACACCATTTATTGTTAAAACTGTGTTGAACGATCAGCAGAGCTTTATTTTACTGTAAAGGAGGATTATTTTATTTTTACCTAAAGATCTAATTCTGCTGTGGAGCTGCAACAGGGCAGTAAAAGAGCTGCATGCAGCTCCGGAGCCACATGTTGCCGACCGCTGCGTGATGCCATCTCCTGATTTCAGACACTAACTCCTGTTCGTTGTCTCTCGATCTTCAGGTACCAGAACCTCGAGACGTTCATCATCGACGTCAACCTGGTGTTCGATAACTGTGAGAAGTTCAACGAGGACAACTCGGACATCGGCCGTGCGGGACACAACATGAGGAAGTTCTTTGAGAAGAGATGGACGGAGCTCCTGAAGCAGACTAACTGAGCTGTCCGGTGCTCCGCGTGTTGAATCAAGACTGAACGAACTGTCATTTTTTCTTTCAACCCCTTGTGTGGAGCTCAGAAACCACTTGCAGAATCAAAGCATTTCGCCATCTTCTCCCAGCAAGCCTGGGCCCTTTCGGCTGGCCTACACATCTCAACTTGAACCAGCTCGCCGTGCTGGTCCAGACCCCAACAAGTCACACACACACACAACACCCAAAGAGACACAGGAGATAGGGTGTCTTTGTGCAATACCATTACCTTGTAGAAAAGAGTAAATCGCACTGAAATCTTCAACCATCAGAGCTGTATGTAGGAGAAAAAGAAAAAAAACACTTTCCACTACCTGTAAATATCATTGTTTTTTTCTGTACTTTATCGTTAATATTATAGTGAATGTATTTAATTTTTTAAAATGATTATTTATGACGAAAAAAAGGTCCATTCTTCATTTTCTATGAAAAGGAAGAAACAGCAAAACTGCTTTAAATCTAATGGAATGTTTATTTGTATGTGTTTTTTCCTCTCCAAATATGAAACAAAGCCAAGAAAAGAAAGGAAACTGTTTACACTGCTCTATGCCATTCGGCATCGGAGTATTCCTCCCTCGGAAGCAGAGCTGACTGTGTCACTGTACACACGCCCCCCGGACGAGCAGTGGCCCCCCCATCCCCCAATATGTACATACTGTCTATTGATATCAATATATTGAGTCTTGTTTGGAATGATGTGTACATATTGTTTCAGACATTGGATATTGTTCATGCCTTAGACCGATTGTAGCATTTAATTTTAGTCTTAAAGTGACTTATTATTATTATTATTATTATTAATTATTATTATTACACATTTATTGTTTGTACAGTATATACATATCCTCTACAAACACTGTGGTCTCCTTAAATCTTGGTAGTGCCTGCCCTTGCGAACAGGGTGTAGGGAAGTTTTTTGGGTTTATTTTCTGTTGTTTCGTTTTTGTAAGGTTATTATTTTCTAATATAAAACACTCCCCCAGCCTCCTCCACACAGTGGCATACTGTACAATACTCACGTGTAACCCCCGTCTGAGAGCTCGTGGGAGTATTTTTCAGTATCCTAGCCGTGCGGCTGCAGAGTGACAGACACAGCAGGCTTTCTGTAAACCACTTTCTGTCTGAGTCTCCCCCCTTCCCCAACCCCCCTCCCCCCGTGCGTCGTGGCCCACTGGAGGCAGCTAGAACAGAGGTTTTTGTACCTGAGTCAGAGTACTTGAAGTTATTTTATTTAAAGATATTGTGGGAAACAAAATGGTAGCGTTCTTTTTGTAGGAGCATTATTTTTCACTAGTGTGTATGTGTGTATGTGTGTGTGTCTGAGAGTGTGGGTGTGTGTGGCACGGACCTATTAAAAGGATGTTTTTAAAGCCACTTACTGCTGCTTTGTGTGCTTCTTGTCTCTTTATATACTTAGATGTGTCAGTACTAACTTTAATAGTTTTACTGATGTGATGGTAAAATCCTCAAGAATCAATTTTGCTGTTACTTGCTTCAGTGGAAAATATAGGCCTATTTAACCAGGAGGTCAATAAAAAAGCTGCAGGTCAGTCATTACAATTACAATTTTATAATTAAATATGCTGGGTAGGTTGTGTTGTAGATGTTTTTTTTAAACATTTCACACAATATAACACCCCCTAATAGTAATTCTAGATGTTTTATTCAGTAGTTTGTGTATTTTTAAGGAAAGCAATAAGTTATTACACAATCAATGACATACTGTAAGTATCTATTTGCTGTCATTAGTCCTCAAAGTATGCTTGGATTTTGATCACTGCTCTGCAGATATGATGCATTCCGAGGCCAAATTTATGAAGGTGTCTTAAGAAAGAAAATAGTTTTTTCTAAACTACATTCGTAAGACAGAAGGAGTAATTTCTTAAGTATTTTTTCTTAATTATTTTCTTAGTATTTCTAAGAACAAGTGATGTTCTTGACAACATATTAACCATATGACAGCCTTGCACTCGTCTCAGGCTGTAAGAGTTGACAGGATCAGCATCTAAATTTATCAAACAGATTCTGCATCTGCTGCTCCTGCTCGCCCTCGCCTCTTGCTTTCTGCTGTCACCCCACAATTATCACATTTTCTTGTTGGCTTTTTCTTCCACCAGCTTCTCTAGTTCTTGTTTACTAACATTTTTTAAACACTTGATTTGATGTTTTTTCCCCATTTTGCCCCTCTGAACAGATTAAACTAAATAACGGAAATGACCATTAATTCAAATTCAGAATGTGTCTTGTGTTGTTTATGGTAAGCTGTAAAATTCAACAGAGCCTACATAAGAAAACGATGATGATCTTCTCAAGAAAAGCAAAACTTTTAAACTGTTAAGAGAACTTTTTAAAAAGTTTGAGGTTTTTTTTTTGACAATTGCATTTAAGAATATTCCTATGAACTTCTTAGTCTTTGTTTTAAGAACCTTCTTCAGTTTTATCTTTAGACAGTTTTTGCAAATCTGTCCCCTGGATATTAATTTTTATCATAAAATCATTCCCACAAGCCATCACAGGGTCATTCCACAAGGTGGTCATGCTAAATTAACTGTTTTTTCATGTTGCGTAGTTAGTTTTGTCCTCTATAGTTTCAATTTCATATTACTCTTGTCCAAAAAACAAAAGTGTGACTTTATTTTGTGCCAAATAACCCTGAGAATCACAATCCGGTCACACTGAACTTGTGTCAGGGTGGAATATTTCATGCTCTGCGTCAAAGGTTAAGCCTTCTAACATCAGTGTTTCAACAGTAACTTCCATTTTTCTGAGAATAATGAAAAAAAAAATCATATAAAAAAACAATTTCATCTCTCTGATTTGTGTGACCAGGCTGGACGTGTTGCACTTGACCTGTCAGTGATTTAGAAAACAACAAATAATGAATGTTGAAAAAAAAACAAAATTTACCAGCTTTTTCAGTTTAGCTCCCCTAAAGGTCCCCTAAATGATGTCACTTCCTCTTCATCATGTAATTCATGGTGACATTATTTTAGCCTAAATAACTCATGGCTAAGATAAACTCAGGAATACAGATAAATTATTATAATGCTCTTAAAATTATTTAGTTAAAAATGAATTAATAATGAATGCATATAAAGGGGACTTAAGTGGTATGGTAATGTATATATAGGACTTTAATGACTTTCTATCCAGACATATAAAAATGCCCTTTTTCCCAAAAACGAATGAATGAATGCCATCAAAAACATACAATTTCACTCACATTTTTAAGTTATTGGATCGTTGAATAAATGAGATCAAAAGACAATATTAGCGGGTTTTTGTCCAAAGCACTGAATTCTGTAGACCTAAATGGCTCTTTTATTAGAATGACTCTACAGCCATAGTAAAAATGGATTTACGTAACTGGTCTAACAGCTAATTCGGATATAAAAATGTAATTTTTCATTCTCTGTTGTTTCCATACTGTTATTCTTTATTCTAACACGAACACACAGATGAGTAAACTGAGGTATTAAAACACGAACAGTTTCCAAAACTTGAGTCTCACTGATGTAAACAAACAGCACGTGACTTCCACGAGACGTCACGCAAATGAGGAAGCAGGCGCGCGAGAGTGAGTTGAGGTAACGTCGTGTTTTCTCATTTACGAAAAAATACAGTGTTTGAGACTCATATGTGGCGTGGAGTCCATTCCGTGTCGGATAATTAAGCTCCTTCTAGCTGTGGAGGGTTTAAAATAAGCGGTTTTTCGCGCTGGCGTCTCTTTAAATGAGCGGGACGGTGGAGTGTTGGCCTCGGTAACGGGTAGCGTTGACGTTAGCACCGCGGCTCCGGCTAACGGCTCTTCCTTCATACTCTGGGTGGTCCGTCGCTATAAAAGCCGTTAGTGTTCGCTGCTGCTGTAGTTCAGGTATTTAGACGGTTCTGTTAGTGTTTAATGCTTCAGTAAAAGCTGAAATACTTGCCCAAGATGTAGGTTATCTAACAGTGCAGAGGAGAGTGAAGCTGGAATCAGCTTCTTATTCGCCACCTTCTTGTTGGAATTTTTCCGTTCCACCTTAAATGCTGCAAAAATCAAACCCATGTTCTCCAGCAGAAGGAACCCGAGCAGCTCTCTCTGATGGGATCATGGCTCAGTGCTGAGACTGGACACTTAAAAACAATGTTTTGTTATGAATCATGTTCTCTGCTACGTGCTGAATAACATAATAGGTAAATAATAATGATAATAATACATAATAATAATAATAATAGTAATTGTTGTTATTATTATTATTATTATTATTATTATTATTTTACTGGCGAACATATAATATTCAGGGTCCAGCATACTGGAGATTTGGACTTAGGCGTATGAAATGTGTGAGTGTTTGAAAAATTGACATATTTATCATCACCAGCATAACAGGACACAAAATAAGCACTGACCTTTGTGTTCACTGCATTTACATGTGCATGAAAAAGTTTCTTAATTCTTGAAACTACATGGACTTCTGCATGAACGCCTCATAAAATCTTAATAATTTTCTTAATTTTTAACTATAATATCAAATAAAGATATTTTAACACAGTGCATAAACACTGATTTACATGACTATATATAAAATGAACAAATGGTTGAAACAGTCGAGGTCATTGATGGAAAAAAGTTAGAAAATATTTGACTACATTACATATTACATAGATTTTTTATACAATATTACACATTTTACATATATTTCATATGTTAGCACAGCGTCGTAGTCGTAGACAGAAATAACTTAATAAACTACGTTTATATTTCAAAATCTGTCAGATTTCATCTGCCTAATTCCAATGTCCAGGATAGTGGACAGTGAAACCCAATGAAATCTGATATTATCCATAAATTCATAGAACGTCTACTGTTGCTCCTGTTAGAACATTAGAATCATCTTTTATTAAAATAAACCACATTTTTGAATGATTGCATTTTGTAATGCCTAAGTCTGTCATACTAATCGCTGCAAAATTTACTACAGTCCAAATGTCCAGATTACTGGACAGATTACTTTATCTCAAATGTACGTATGCAGAAATAATTATCTACTACTTCCTTTTTTACCTTTCACAGAAGGGACCTTTTAGAAGGACATACATACAAAAACATTTCTGACATAAAAACACAATCATTCAGAAACTGTGTTCCGTTTGATCTTGGAGTCGGTGAGCGTCTGTATCACCAGCTGCCGTATTTGTTTTTGTTTATGAAAAGATAAAAACAAAATGTGTATACTGGAGGTTTGGAATGAGGAGGGTGCTTAGAGAAAGAAAAATGATTTAATACATTAAACAATAAATACTTTTGAAACCTAGGACAGCCTTTCATACAGTAGTAGCAGTAATAGAATTTACACATACCTCACATTTAGTATCACTAGTGTCTAAATGTAGTTATGTTATAACTGAAGTTTGAGGGGAGGAGCATAGCAACCCCTCCTTCTTTCAATCCGACACCCTATAAATTCACATCCTCACCTTCCGTTCCCGTGACGAAGTGTTCGCAATCCCCACCGCCACCCCATCTCCTCCCTGTTCCTCAGTCCTGCATCAGTCCTACTACAGCTATGAGGGGGGATCTGGCCTTCGAGCTGCAGGCAGAAGGTGCCCAGAACTACAGCCCAAGTTCTCAGAGTTCTCCCCCTCCCTCAAACAATTCTCCCTCATACTACCACCACATGTTGAAGGCATGGTCTGAATTCACAAAATCTTATTGTTTAACATATGACTGGAAAATCTCTGCACTTTTTAAAGGGCAGATATCCTTCATTTTTTTTGTATTTTATCTGTAACCCTAAATTCCACATTTGTGTGGTTTTATATACTGAAAATGATCATAATAAATTATGGAGTATATTCCAACCTCTTTTTATCACTTAGATTAAACAGGCTGCTTTTGTTACTGTGCCTTTAAGACTGATATATGTAATAATCTCTGTTCTGATTGGATGCTCTGCATTGTAAGTCATTCAAAATGCATTGCAGACTGAAACCTTCAGCATCAAGAGATGAGGGCTAAATGCTGTAGGCTGAATAGGTGGATGTTGGTAAATGTGTCAGTTTTTGTGACAACATAAAACAATGAATTCAGAATGGGCTGTTTTTGTAGATTAGTCCATATTTGGACTGTATAGATGGGGGATGAGTGGTGTGTTTTGAAATTTTAACAATGTTTACATATAATTACATATCAAACGCTTTCTTGTAAAATAAAATGAGGAAAATTTGTTTTTCCGTGATATGAACCCTTTAAAGTTAAATTCCATGAAGTGCTGCTTTTTCTAAAAACAGATTTTGATGTTGAAATATTTTGGCATTACTGAGACTTGAAAATACTAATAGAAATAGTTTTGTTATTTGTAGCTTCTAAATCTAAATTTGCAATCTAAATTTGTAGCTTGTGGCAACCGACTTCTCAAAAAGCAATGTGAGAGAAGTTAGCCAAAGCTCGTAGCCTGTTAGTAAAGGGGTTTTTATGCTAATGATTATGATTATGATTATGAACTCCACAAATATTGGCAGTGTGTCCTCTTTTGTTCGTACAGGGACCAGACAGTGCCTGCTCAAAATGGTGTCTCTCATCTGCACCTTACAAAGCCATCGTGATGATGTAAACTGGTGCGCGTTCTCCTCCTCCCTGCTGGCCACCTGCTCTGCAGATAAGACCATCCGAGTCTACTCTACCCAAGACTTCACTGAGCTGCCCTTCTCGCCGCTGTCTGGACACGGTTATGGAGTCCACTGTTGCTGTTTCAGCCCTTGTGGTCAGTACCTGGCTTCCTGCTCCACTGACGCCACCACAGTGGTGTGGGCGATGGACACTGGAGAGATTGAGGCTGTTTTGGAGCATCCAGGCAGGAGCCCAGTCAGGGTGTGTGCTTTTTCACCCGACTCCTCTTGGCTAGTGTCCGGTGCATCAGATGGAACCCTGGCGTTGTGGGACTTCCCCTCAAGAACACTGCGCAGGTACATTCGGCTTTAAAACATCTGGGTGCATCAGTTTGAAGGTGCTGATTCAGCTGCATATTTTTTGAATGTTTGTATAAATTATTATCGATTATAATATGGATTATAATTATATTCAGTAAAGTCTGCACTGAGCTTTTAGCCAAAATAAAGTCTTTTTGAAACAGATAGGGGAATTCAAAGATAAAAAAGCTTGGTATATTGTTGTGTATTGTGTAAGTAGTTCTTTAGAACACGTTTGTGTATTCACCATATTTTAAAACATAGTTCTGACTAAAAAAATGAAACTGAATCATAATAAAATTTGATATTTTGTGATGAATGCTTTCCTTAAGAATTATAATTAAATTAAATCAATGTGATGTGAGAGACTTACACCCCTACTGCAAACCAGTGGTGGGTAGTATGAGAATATTTTATCATATTGTAATAAGTTTTGTCCCAATCAAAATTATTAAAACAAGAGTATAATTAGTCCTGTTTTATTTGACTTAGTACAGCACAGTATGTGAAATGTAAAATATAGTGTTTTTAAATGTGGCACTATTGTGACATTCTGTCTGTTCCAACTTAAGGAAAACAAAATGTTGTGATCCATATCGTGTATTGAGAAAATGTCTTCAAGTATCATGATGTTTTCAGGCCATGTCTTCCCCCCTCCTGCAAGCTTCGTTCTTTAAAGCTTCGTTTATCTCTACATCACACAGCTGATGAAGATCATTACACCACTGTGCATCCTGCCATGTTTTCACTGTCAGGCTGATTTTGATACTTCTCTCTCCTCCAGGACGGGTGCAGTGCCCGACACCACGATGGTGGCCTGTTCCTTCACCCCCTGCGGCCAGCTCTTCGCCACAGGCTCCACGTATGGAGACCTGCGCATCTGGGACCTGAGCATGAACCAGCTCCATGCTGAAAAATACGCCCACGACCTTGGGGTTACCTGCTGCCAGTTTTCTCCACAGATAATGAAGTGTATGAATAATGCAATGTTTAAGCTAGTGTGCCTCCGGAATGAAACCTCAGATTTGACCCTGAACTTTTAGCAATCTTAAAATCCTAAAATTGCTGTTTTTCTCGCAATCCTTATCTTAAACCTCAAACCTGACCCTTACTTTGACCTTTTCTTTGAGCTTTAAGCTTTGAGGTACTAAAAGCTTTTCTTCTGTGTCCTAGCTGTGACAGGCCATTTTTTAATTTGACAGAATAGTTTATGAACTAAAACAGCAACACACTGCCCCTGTCTGAAGATTCTGTCTTAAGATCAAGATAAGAAATATGTTGCCCTAAATCACATGTAACCTTGTCTGTACCTAGCCTGCACCTTTCATGAGAATGAATTAGGTGTATTGGAGCAGGAAAAACACTATGCAGGCTTTGCAAAGAGATCATTCAGGACTAGGATTAAGAGCCTCTGTACTAGATCAGCCCTTGTTCTAAATAAATGATCCATAAGAGTTTAAATTGACACCGTTTGCCTCAACAAAGACCTAAGAGAAATGTTTGAGGCCTAAATTCAGAGCCGACTGAATAAATGAAGTTATAGATATATAAATATATTTACTCTCCCCTTCTCTTTCTCTCTTTCCCTCTCTGCCCCCTCCCTTCCCCCATAACATAGATGGTCATGCGGTCCAGTTCCGATTGGCATCCTGTGGTCAGGACAGCTTACTAAAGATTTGGATTATTTCTCGGACCTCCTCTCCAGGTAAAGTGACAGTTCCCATCTTCCCCATTATATGACTGAAGCATGGAGCTCAGATTGGGCGACACTTTTAAAAGAGGAATTCCACCGATTTTTCAAATGTTCTGCATAATTAAATGGTTAAGATATAAACAAAGTAATTCAGAGTGGTTTGATGTGCTCCATACCAGTAAAGCATATTGAGAATTGTTCGCAGTGGTAGTGCTGAACCAACTGAAGAATTAAATGCCTCTAAAAGCTCCCTCAGAGAGAGTCATATAAAATTAAATGGTCATGAATATTTTGCCTGATGCCTGAGACATTTGTGGTGAAGAGATCCATGCAGGGTGAGAAATAGTACCCAAGAACCAAAAGAAAATGCATTATTTTAGATTACCTCTAATTTACTGTGATCCACATTACATGTAAAAGCTCACATGGCGTGTAGGTTCACTGGTCAAATTGAATAGTAAATAAAACGGCTATTTTGGTGTTGTAGAGATTGTTCTTGGTTTCAGCAACCACCACTGTAAAGAAATTGAAGTCGGTGTGTTTCTGTGAAATATACCATTTCACATCAATCCACTTTGAATTACTTTTTTAACATTGTGTATGATTTGTATGCATGTATTTGTTTCTGAAGTAACTTGATCTGACTGTTGATTGATCTACAGGTTGTAAGATGCAGCTGGTACACACACTCTCCGGGCAGTCTGCTACAGTCCTGTCCTGCGCCTACTCTGCAGATGGGCAACTTTTAGTGTCAGGGTCAGTACTACAAACAACAAACACAGGAAAAAGTGTTCTTCCTTTGCTTCTTTGTAATAAAAAAAAAAAATGTAGAAACTTTTATAAAATGTAATGTAAACTTGATAATGTAGAAACTAAATTTATAACAATTTATACACTAATTCCTCTTTGTCATGATGACTGCATGCAGATTTGCTTGCACATCCACTCTCTTGCCACTAGATGGTTCCATGTACTACTGATAACTGCTGGGTTGGAGTAGCACTGAAAGTCATGCACTGTGTGTTGATGTATATTTACTTGCGTTCTCTCTCTCGCAGGTCTATGGATAAGACTGTTGCGGTATATGAAGCTGTGAGTAATTCAGTATTTATGTATGTTAAGTATTAATAAGCTAGTATATCAAAACTGAAATTAAGCTTTATTTTCTGCTTGTCACCTGCTCATCGTCATAAATGATATTGCCTCCAGTTAAAATTGCATAATTTTTTCTTTTCTTGCAGAATAATGGTATCTTACTCTATACTTTGAACCAGCACGAGAGGTATGCTTGCTCTCTCTTTCTCTTTGCTTCCTCTCTCCTCAGTGATAATGCAATCACCAGTCCATCTTTCTCTCTCTCTCTCTGTTGCAGGTATGTGACCAGCTGTGCCTTCTCACCTACTGCCCCGCTCATAGCCTCTGGCTCCATGGACAAGACAGTAAATGTGTGGAGGGTGGAGGATGGCAGCAGTGGTCATGGTGAGTGTACAGTTTTTTCAAACTGTGTCATGAGGAAGCTGGATATTTTTTCCTCATGACTGCAGAACTAAATCAAAGCCATTCTAGATAAGAAGCAGGAACCACACCAAACCGCTTCTCCAACCGCTCCTGTGTTAACACTGCGGCTTCTTGTACTAACGTGCGGTTATCATGTGATGCATGATCACAGCATTCCAAGCTTCAAGTGTTTTTCTTCTGATTGAAGCTACATGCCACTGAAATAATACACTAGACATGGACTTAAAGCTTGAGGACTCTTTGATGACGTTGTATTGCACTTCATAAAATATTTTGTGGGCTCTGGCATGAAAAGTTTGGAACCCCCTGCTTTAAACTATAAGCTCTGGTTTTATTTACCTGTCTGCTATAATCTAATCTGTCATCAACATAAAGAATTTGGTTCTGCAAAAATGTTTACTTTTTGTGATTTTATCTGAGATTCTCATTCACTCCCTCACCAGCATCTGGACCTGAAGGCAAATCTCTTCCAAGTGAGTTAAGTGTATTTTCTGCATGTACCTGTGTAAATTTTTATACAGTGTATTGACAAAAACACTACACAGCACATCGGGATTTCAATTCTTAACACATTATGTTTTAATAACATGGTTCCTTGATCTCTTCCTAATATCTTGCCTATCATTTAACCAAGTCTGCTGCATTCAGTTATTAGTTTCTCTCTCCAGAGCTGCTTCCTTCACCACAAACTGAGCGCCCATAAATCCACTCAGTTTGTTGTTGGTTGTTCTCTTTTTCCTGTCAAACTGTCCTACTTGATGTACTCCATTGTCACTCCTTCATGTTTATGCTTTCTTTCTTAGATGAAGCTGCTTCTGCCTCACACGAAGCAGGTAAGAGCCTCACACACCCCTGCACACTCTACCATGAGAAATGCCTGACCGGTGGTCATCTGAAGGTCATCAGGAGCATTTGTGCTGTATCTGTGCTGCCTGTGGTCGGTAATTAGCCTCAGGGGGCCAGAGAGTGATGAGGACTGTGATAACACACAGACAACACAAATGAGAAAAAGAGAGATGTTCCGTTTCTCTTGTATCTCTTCTCTGTTGATCGATAAAGTCTTGAGTGCTGAAGACTATATGAGAATGGAAGAAGAGACAGAAAGGCTACCTCTTGTCCAGTTGTTGAAGAACAGTATTTTACAGCTCAGAGAGAGAGAGAATAGTCTGCTAACCAAGCATATGCAGCCAACAGTGGTCATGTGGTCAGAAACTGATCACTGTTGAAGGGCTATAAGCATGTTTTGATGCTGCTGCTGCACAGACATAGACCATTTAATTATAACCATTGCTTTACCTGTTTTTCCCCGTTTCTGTATTTTAATATTTTACCCAAACGTTGTTTGCTATTCGGCGTCGACCAGAGGAGCATGGGTTCCCCTTTTGAGTCTTGGTTCCTCTCAAGGTTTCTTACTCTTGCTCTTAGGGAGTTTTTCCTTGCCACTGTCGCCATTGGTGACGCTCATGGAGGCTCGGACCCAAATTTTTCTGTGAAACTGTTTTGTGACAACATCTTTTGTAAAAAGCACTATATAAATAAACTTTGACTTTTTGTCTTGGGGGGCCAAAGTAAAATGTGGTGGGCTGAGGGACAAAAAGACAAAACAATATACGGTCATTTGCAAAAGTTTGGGCACCACAGGTCACGTGATGTTTTGTTGATTTTCTGAGTGAAAATCCTCTACAGAGAACTCACTTCTGCTCAGTTTATGGAACAGTTACTGTTTATTTGATATATTGGGAAAAAATAAAACATAAAATGTGGCCTGTGCTAAAGTTAGGATTAAGAGTTCCACCATTCAAATAGTATCTCGTCAGTTGGTCCTCCTGTGGTCCCCACCCAGTGGTAAATGGAGTTGTGGGGTTCTGATAAATTGTACAGCAACAGATAAGATACTGACGGAAACTGTAAACCTACAGTGGTAGGTGTTTCTGGTAAAATGGCTAGTGCACCTAATAAACCAGACACTCATTGTATACTGTTTCTACATTAGTGCCACAAGTTAGACATTTTCTTTTTGTCCAGTTCAGACGAGTTACAAATTTAGTAAACTTTAATTTTCTGTCCGGGCAGTAAACCACACAGATTAAACTCTTGATGGGCTTAGAGCCATCACTTCCTGTTGTTCTGTCTCGCAGGCAGGAAATGGCCGGGTCACTCCAGGCTGATGGTGAGCGAGTGGTCAGAGGACGATGTGTCGTCATGGCTACTGGAGGAGGGGCTGGAGAGCCTTGTTGACACTTTTAAGACCAATAACATTGATGGTGCAGAGCTGCTCTCACTCAGTAAGGAAAGCCTCAGCTCGGACCTTCATATAGGTGAGGATGTACTCCACAAGGACAGTCCACGCCCTGTTCACTCTCCCCTAATGCTTTAAGCCCTTTATTCAAGTTCACAAGTACTGCACCATGCATTTGTTTTTAGTTAGAATATGTGGATAAATATCTACCGAGAATTTTTTTCTTCCAAGTATTAATTTGTGATTAAATGCCTATGCTGAGTGCACAGTATAAAGAGCTAGGTGGATGCACAGAGCTGTGTGCTTATGATCAGTAATTACACCCCACATGCAATGTAAGGAAATTAATGGCTGAAGCTTAACCAGGAAAAGTCAGATCAACAGGAACAAATGCAAAACCTCCTTATTGCAGAGAATTATAAAGAATTATGTAATAATAATAATAACTTGCAGTACTTGTGTCCCCCAGAGAATGTCTTACAGGAAATCGTATATCAAGGATGTGTATTTCATTTAAAAAAAAGCAAAAAGCAAACAAAACAAACTGTAATCCTAGAGATTGTGGCAAATGTAAACATGGGATTTTCAGGGTGTTACATAAGATTCCTGCCTGTGTGGTGGGCCCAGGGAGGAGTGTATGTGTTTTAAAAGCTGATTACTGCTGCTGGAATCCCCAAACCAGCAGCCTTTTACATAATGTCTCCAATATGCATTTCTCCCCCGAAATCTCTATCCAGTGTAGCATAACAATAAAAGCATCCAAAACCTCTTATATGCTGGGATTTATGTAGATTTTCATTGATTTAAGGTAATATTGCACTCATTGGGAATTGGATTTCTTTCTTTTTTTCTTTGTTGTTATTACTATAAAACATTAAGAACGACTTATTCTACTTAAAATATCCATTCTAACTCTTATGACCCCCCTTAAGGGGACATTTCAAAAATTTTTCAATACATGGAGGGTGGTGTGAGGCAGAATAGTTCCTGAAGAAAACTTGTTTTTCAGATTTACCACAGTTTTACCTTTGTCAGCATTACATATAAAAACTCGGAAGACCCATGTAGGTTCACTGGCTACTGGAATTGGCCAGTAGATACTGCTGAGTGATGTTTTGAACTCCTGTGATTTGTCAGAGTCGCTGGGCTTGCGTAGCAAGGTTCTGCGGAAGATTGAGGAGTTGAGAATGGCACCAGTGTCCAACGGAATTCCTGACGAGTTCCTCTGCCCAATCACACACGAGATCATGAAGGACCCAGTAATTGCTGCAGGTGAAACCTTTAAATCTTACTTCGTTCTTGCTTTAATTTAGGTATATACTGTGCTGTTTATTAGTTTGTTTAACCCCTTAAACCCTAAGGGCCTATGTGTTGCCCCACACTTTAAGTCCTCACTTTAAAAACATATCTTAGACGTTAGTTTTATAGTAGCTATCAAATAATTTATAGTATTTACTGAGGTCTTAAATTTAATAACCATGGGTTCAAGGGTTTAAACCTGAAAAGCCTGCTTCCTCTGTGTGCTGCAGATGGGTATTCATATGAGCGGGAGGCCATCGAGAGCTGGATCAACACTAAGAGTCGCTCAAGTCCCATGACCAACCTGCCACTGCAAACCACACTGCTCACCCCGAACCGGACCCTCAAAATGGCCATCTGCCGCTGGACCAGCAGCCAGTGACACTCCATGCTCTCTTCCACAGGTCCACCGTGCTGAACTCCAGCAGTGTCGCTCAAAATTACTATGCCATAGCCTAATATTAACTGCAGCATTTTCAGTAGAGATTAGAGCATTAGGCCTGTAAATGTGGAGCTGTAGGTGGAAGATCAATGATGCCACTCAACACACTCAGCTTTGGAGCTTTACAGAGCATGCTACATATGATCAATGATCCTCAAGGCCACTCCAACTTCTCAACTGTAGAGCAGCTTATCAGTAAATCTGCAAGCTCAAATACAAGAGCAGAAGTGCCAGGCCCAGTCAAACAGGCCCGCTAGCTTCCAGCGCAGTTAAGTCAAATAAGGCTGTATTTGGAATGTTGGGAGCTAACTTAGAGCATAAATATGGATTAGTTGGAGATCTTGACACTAGTCTTGAGATACGTGTGCGATGCCATCCCCCTGGAATTCACCTCGACAAACTGAATGTCTTTAAACTCAAATCTCTTTTTCTTTTCCAAAATTTTGCACTGAATATAGTTTCTCATCAACACATGGTATAATGTAAATCGACCATGTTGGCAAGTATTTGCGCCCTTGTAATGTGTGTGCAGAAGACAGAGACTTAAGTCCTGAGCATGCTGGACTGTCACTGTACCTCAGCACAGTATGCCACAGCAGGTCTTCTTTTTTTTGGTGGCCTTTTTCATTTCAATGCTAGCTAATATTAAAAAAAAAACTTTAAGGTTGTGTAGCAATTACATTTATAGCATTAGCATTATACTGGGTGGTTCTTAAGAGTCACATAAACTTGCCTAAATATCATAATACTTTGTTATGTATACTGCTGATGTACTGTATATGTTTCAGTGAAATAACCTTTAGCCTATATAATGACTATTTTCCTTTGTGCTATATTTTATCACTAGCCGCAACAGATGCATGGTAATGCTGGAGATATGTAGCGTTGGCACTGTGTTAAAGCAGGTAGTGGAATGACTGGGAATGCGGTTTTGGACAGAATGCCTTTCACAGATTAATAATTGTGTATATATAAATATATATATATAAATATAAAATCACTTACCAGATAGCAATGCAATTTTAATAAAACATAAAAACCAATGGATGGTTTAGTTTTTATTTCATGTCCTGCTGGGAATTTCTATGATGAACTAAATCACACTATCAATCAGCGATGATAGTCAACTGAAAATCAGGTTAAATCTTAACACTGTATCTGAACTCATCACCATTCAAACTGCTCTTAAGGCCAAGATTAGCACATTCTAAGTGGGACCATTTATGAACCAGTATAAATTTTAATTAGCTGAATTTTACCGCGTTTCCCCATATGTCCTGTAGTTACTTGTAGCCGAGGACCATGAACGTCCTTAAAAGTGGGGCTTTATTGTTGCATTATATGGCAATGTTGAAATACAATCAGCAACATCTTTATATATGGAACCAGCTGCAAATAATATACATATAAAATAATCTCTTACACTTACCTACCCCTCTAAAACCTGAAAATGGATTGCTTTGTTTATAAACCATTCCTCTCATGCATGTAAACCAGAGTTCTCCATAAAGCATACCTTCCCGTCTCAAAAGGTTCATAATATATCATAATATATAGCTGTGCAAAAATAACATATATAAAATAGAATGTTTTAAACAATCAACTAAGCTGTAGGCGCCATAAATAAATTAATTCATACATTAGCAGGTAGAGGGAGGATTATAAGGAAATACACTGTACAGCACACTCTTTCTCATACACACTCACACGTACACACAGAAAACACACACCCTCACACAGACAAAAGATTTGAGTACACACTAACTATCGGTCTTAAAGCCTCAGTCAGGAATCGAAAAACTGGCAGTTTTTATTACTGCAACAACGGAGGACTTCAGTAATCACCAACATCTCCACTAAAGCTTATTATCTGTATAGTTACCATGTTCTCTGTTAGTCAATGCCAGTTTAGCTGTCGTAACACTGTCATTACTTCCTGATTGGGGCTTTAAAGTGTTCGAATGTCATTGCTAGACATCCTTTGCCCTTATAGAAGAGTTCTACAGTAAACCCTTTGCTTAAATGTATAACGTAATCATTACAGTTATGCCAATACAATCTTCATCTTGTTGCTGCTCTCGTTTTATGTGCAGGTTAAGGTTCTATTAGTGCAGCTCATGACGAGCTTGGCTGATCCTGGATGTAGTCCGTCTTAAAACTACGGTTCTATGCCATAGAGGTAATGCTGTAAATAAGACGTAGAGGCCAAAGCGAAGCCTAATTAGTTTAATTACAGTCTTCTTTTGTTTTATGTCTCCTAGAATTGTGATCAGTAACTGGTATTGATACAGAAATCTCATCCATTTTAACATAGCAGTCAGTAATTGAGTTGTGCTTTGTGTGGGTGAGCTGAGCAGCGTGGGCAGCTACACGTTGGACTCGATGAAGGAGCGTTTAGGCTTGATGGAACTGATGAGGATGGGGTTATCCCGTGCCAGGCTGGCTTGCTTGTGCTTGCTCTCACCATAGTGCTGCTGGAGGGCCAAGTTGGGGCTGCTGTCCTTGTAGCCTGAACTGGCAGTGTGAGATTTCGGGTGGAACTCGCCTGGGTGTGTCCCGTTATGGAAGGGCTCTTGGCAGGTGTTGTGGCCCACAAGCCCCTCTGTCCCAAGAGCCTGCCAGCTGTAACCGTGCATCGGGTTGCCGTGGTGACCCTGGTTGCCATGGTGCCCCTGCAATTGTTGCTGCTGCTGCTGCTGGTGGAAGCGAGCAGTCTTGTCCATTACACCCATGAAGGGGCGTGGCTTGTGCTCAGACTGACGGGCGGCATTGTCGGGTGTAATTGCGGTGTTGTCATTTGCAACGGAGCTGCGGTTGCGCCCGCCATCCGAGAGGTTGCCGCTGGAGGCTAAGCTACTGGAAGAGCTGGACACTCGTACACTGCTGCTCCTGCAGAACTCTCCCCTGGACTCTATAGCAGCCTCTGAGGCCAAGGGAATGGTCTCCACATGCCCCATGTGACCACCGCCCCCTTGAACGTCCCTTAGCAGCTCCCTGGTGCCTCCGAGGGCTGCCCTGTCCATGGCATGCTCTACGCCCAGAGGACTGATGTCGATGCACGGCCCGGCACGGAGCGAGGCAGGCCTATGGCGGCTGGGCCGTGGGCTTGAGCCGGCACTTTGGGCTGCGCGCATATCTGGCTGTAGGGAGCCACAGTGCTCTCGGCTCTTCATGCTCTGTGCCTGCCGGGAGGGGAGGCGCCTGTTCGCCGCCCGTCCTGAGGGTGAGGGGGATGTGGATTGGGTGTCTGGCACAGCCAGGCCCAAAGAGTCTGGCAGAGTTCTGCTCTGCTGCCAGTTCTCCTTCCTCTTCTCCTGACGGGAAGGCTCTTCAGTGTTCCTCTCCTCTTCTTCCTCCTCTCGCTGCGCTTGCTTTAGGCCCCGGCTGTCAGAGCCTTTTTCAGGCACTCGAATGCTTTCCTCCTCCTCCTCCTCCTCTTCTTCTTCTTCTTCTTCTTCATCGTCATCCTCGTCTTCGTCATCCTCGTCGTCCTCGTGCTGTAAGGGATAGGTGTGTGTTGGGGCATGTTTAGTGCCGGGACGTTGCTGGCACTCCTCCTCCACTCGCGCCAGCAGGCGTCTGATCTCTCTGTTACTGGGACACAGACGTGCCGCCTCATAGAGATCAGAGAGAGCTGCTGCGAACTGCCTGAGAGGGACAGAGAGTGAGAGAAAGATAAATATTTACACTTCTCACTTTGAGTACAATAGAACAGAGGTTTCCAGCTCTGGTCCTGGAGTATGCATGCATATTTTATAGAAGTGCACAAACCATTACTGGCCAATATATTATTCGTTGCTAAATGTTAAAATGTAATTATTATTATCGGTCCAAAAGTTACAACCGGTAATAGCACCCCCTTTTTAGCTTGTGCAGCCCTGTGTGGTCACTAGCAGAGGGCATTTTAATTCTTTTCAACTCACTCAAATAGACAGCATCAGTGATAACACCACCCGAGACCAGAGTTCGATTCTACACTGCTACACCAAGAAAGCTACGTTTATATAACCAATTTGAAGTGGCACGAACCAGATCTTTTTAATTCAGAGCCTCTTTCAGATGTGGTTCTAAACTGGAACCATATCTGATTGGTGTCCATGCGACCTTCAAGTCCATGTGGAATTCAAGTATTTTTTTTTTTTCTTGTTCACTGTTCATGTACCATCTTTCAGTGTTAACATGATCTACCTTGAAGTTAGCGCCAGTAAACACCGCAAGAGGAATTGATCTGACCTTTATTCGGCTTTGTCTTGCTCTAAAAATGAACATCTGAAAGCTGTTCAGAGCAAATTATCTTCGCGTTGACAGCTTGTTTTGCCAGTTCGTTTGTTGTTCATGAAGCACTGCGTTCATTCACACAATGTTACTGAGTTCGTTGTTTGCATGCGGGTCATTTACGTGCTCAAGTTCATTCATATTAAATACAGATATGAGTCTCTTACTACACCATGCATTGTAAAATGAATCTGATCTTTGAGTGATCTTTACAGTCTTAACCTGCCTTACGCTCATGGGTCATACAAAAAATGAATGATCAGTAGGGGGGGAATTATACAGTCACCCCACAATTAAATTTGATTCACAATACCAGGTTCAGAATTTGGTATTCTCATGACATTTTGGACAAAATTCGAATGAAGAAACATGATGTCAATCATAATGTTCCACCACTTAATTAGGACACTAGAGCTGGGGAGAGCCCTGGAGTGAGCGACTATGCTGATCATTTGTAGACTTTGATGTTAAAAAAATGCAATTGCTTTTTTCTCCATAATGCACATTTCGAATCGCAATATCACAATGATGCATTGTTACACTTCTAATTATCATTTATTTACAAGTCTAAATCATATAACATTTTGGTGTTTTCCTTGCTCTGATCAGATTCAACCATTCAGTTAATTAAGTCCTTCTGGAGTTGAGATGGTTGTTATAGAGCAGCTAAAACACTAAAATACAGTCCAGGTAATCCTGGACTAAAGTCAGGAAACACTGCTGTATAAAGAAAAAAAACATAGGTGTACACAAGTTAAGTCCTGGGGACCCCACATTATGCACATTTTTAATGAAAACCTGCAGCCACCCCGCCAACCCCTTGTGGATAAAATGGGTAACTGATTACAGGTTGGATTTAATGTATTCTTGCGTTCTGTGTGACGTCACGCTGTATAGTCGCCACCGTTTTGAGGACCAAATCAGGGAGTGACTGGCCTACTGTGATGCCTTCAATTTGCTGTGCTTTTGTGAATGATTCACCTGCAAGACGCAACAGAAGCCGAGAGATGAGAGACACACAGACCTTTAATTCAGTGTTTTCAGTCCAGGCTTGGAGCCCCTGCACTGTATAGTTTAGTGTTTTTCTCTGCTGTTCACGCCTCGTTCAGCTCAAGAAGGGGTTAATTAGCTAATAATATCAGGTATTTTAACCAGGGGAACCACAATTATGCAGTGCAGGGGTTGCAGGACTGGAGCTGAACTCTGAACTGCACTAGCAAAATCATGTCTGTCGAAACACAACGTAGATTAACGACCCACGGCATTCAGTCTGATATGTTAACGTTTCTCCATTCAAACATCATTTAAATCTCAAAAAACAGAGAAATACAGTAATACTGGCTGTTTGCAGCTCCGTTAGGGGGACGACTGTTTATCTCTCGGCTATTAACATAAGCAGAAGGCCAGCATTGTTCTGTGTTAATTAGCTGATGTCATTACCCTCCTATGATGAGTTTTTTCTCCTCTTTATGCAACACCATGGGATCCTATACCCACCCTGACGTATAGAGCCGGTGGGCTTCTGTGCTTTTAAATGCTTTGAGAGACCCTCCAGAATAGGGAGAGGGGCTGAGTATGAGATAAATATAAATGTCAGGAAAACACAAATGTGGTATCTTTCTGCCAGAAAGTGGGACCAGGAGTTTAGGGGGAAACTGTATAAGGATCACAGCTTATTTTATTGACTTGGTCGAGGTAAAGTTTTTTACTTCCAAAGTAAGGAGAGTAATTTTAGCCATCTTTCACCTCCAAGTTAGTTACGTTCGTGGAGAATTCGGTCTCAAATATGGTGACCACAACAGAAAAATCAGGTGAATGAAACCCTAGGATTATATATAGTATTACATTCAATGTACTATATATTAACATGCAGTATCTTGTATGCTATTATGTAGAATATGAAATTCAACTGGTTTGTTATACGTATATCTGAGTGTACAGCAGCAGTGAAGAAAATGGTAAAGGTTCTTACCTGCTGCTTCTTTTAGCACGAGCGCGAGCGTAAAATGCTTCATATGACTTTGGCTTCAGTTCCAGAGCTTTAGTAGCAAACTCCTCCGCCATGCCAAAGTCCTGCAGAGAGAGAGAGGAGAGAGACAGCATGAGCAGTGAGTGTACGCAGTGTGAGTGAGAGGGGTGAAGAGAGAGGGAGGCAGTGTGTAAAAAGAGAGACAAAGGGACAATGTCTGTTATTGAATAAGAGGTTTTTTCAGTAACCAAACTTGCAAAAACTCAAGTCTTTTGCTCGACACTGAAGTGTTAACTATTAATACATTTCTCCACACCAATAGTAGCTCTGTTGGATGTTAGAAACAGCCATTTCTCTACCTACCATGCTTTTCTTTATTTCCTTCCCTTCCTAATGAAGGTCAAAAGCTAATATTTGTGCTAGAAATGCGTAACTGCATCGATATAATACATAGAAATGTGTGATAATGTAATCATAATCCATTATTTTGCTCTGGATTTTCAGTAAGTCTGTGCATTACCCTCTCCTGGCTCTCTCGGCCATGCCTAACTCTCTCTTTCTTTGTCTGAATCAGTGATCAGCACTTACTGCTTATTGGGATTCTGTCCTTGAGTAAGAGGTCAGAAATACAGCGAGGAACCATAACTGCCGGGGATAATGATGCAGTTTAAATGTTTAATGACGGCATATCGTATTAAAACGGCCATTATAACTCTTGCTGCATCCTTGCCAGCGGGTGCTGGAGGAAGCCGGTGTAATTAAGCAAACACACATACACATCTCTCTCTCTCTCTTTCATACAGTAAACAGTCATATTAGTAGCTTGAGGCAAATCTCTTTTTAATAGTGGACTGAAATAAAATAATTAACACTGAGAGGATCATAACCTGTAGTTGATCCATTATGTATAACTAGCCACATAGCATATTATGATTCATCTGCTTTACGTTGCACAACATTAATAAATGTTGTATAATCTTATACATGCTGGATTAGTAGAGATCTGTGTTGAGTAAGCTAATCATCTTCAGTGACCTCTGTCCTTTGTGGGTTATTTGTGTGTAGCATTGTTTCTAAATCCTGTTCCTGGGGACCCACTGCAGTGCATCATTTCAGCCATTTCAGCCTCAACACACCTGATCCAACTCACGACGGGCTTGATAATCAGTTGGCTCAGGTGTGCTGAGGCAGTGAATTCCTGAAACTGTGCAAGGCTGTTGGTCCCCAGGAGAAGGACAAAGAAACACTGGTGTAAAATGGTTGGCAATATGATCGTATATCGTTATCAGAATAAATTATTTCACACTAAGCTTTTCTGGGCATATTGTGGGGGTCATCTAGTAGTGGGCTCATCCGGTATACAGTGTGGTTTATCCAGTATAGTTGTAATTATTCCTAAGGAATGAGTTTTGTCATAACTATTATACCGGTATGGTATAATAAGCACAGATAATACAACATACAAGCAGTGCAAAACGCTCTAACGTTAGACCCTTTAGCTGAATTGGAGTGGGAGTCAGGGATGTTTCAGTCATGTCCCACTGTCTACTTCATTGTCTGATTTAGTCCACTTTGTTTTGAGACTGTGAACATAATGAAACAGACATTCCCTTGGAGTTAGCATTTGCCTGGCATGGACACCAGACTGCTTGCCGTGCTTCTGTTCCCTCTCAAACCACCTGAGGCGCTGCCTCACTCTTTCAGCTGCATCAGACGACACTGTTTTTCCCATGGCAAATGACTTGAGAAATTCGACAAAGCTGAAGTTGTCTATTTATTCCCCTGCTTCTTAGTTGAACTGCCTGGTCCACATTAAACAGTGTAGCAATTATTGGAATAGAAGATTCAAACAGGAAGCTGGCGCGTATGAATCCAGTTTCAGCTTTGTTGAATTTTGGACATGAAACAACATTTAGCACCGTTCAGTTTTTGCCAGGGCCAGAGAAGCTGCTGCATCGTTAGGTTTAGAAAGCAATGCTGAAATAGGTTTATATGCATATTGTTAAGTTCTGCTTTTTGTGATTTGTACAATAAGACTATTGCAGATTTACTTTTGTTGTTAAATATAACATAAAAATATATATAAATATATATAAGCATCTTAACTGGTTTTATTTGGGGGGGAAATAAAGCCATCAGTATCAGTACTCAAAGAATACTGACCAACTGCATGTTTAATTAAAAGAGTTTTAGTCAGGGGGCTCCCAAGTGGCGCAACTGCCCTTTCATCAGGAGATTGCGAGTTTGATCCCTGGTGATGCTACAGCCAACCGTGGCCAGGAAACCAAGAGAGCACAATTAGTCTCACTCTCTCTGGGTGGGTAGGATGGCCCCGCCTCTCCCCCCATCACTCAGCACGATGCTAGTCAGCGCAGGCATCTGTTAACTGACGTAACAGATCTGGCGGTTGGCGCTTTCCTCCGAGCGCGTTCAGCTGTCCAATGACGTTGCGTGAGCGGCAGTTCGAAAAGATGCGGTGGCGCTTCACAGGTCTCAGAGGAAGCTGTGCTAGCCTTCACCCTCCTAGCACCCTCCTAGTCCTAACTAGTGGATGGAACTGGGTACAATTAAAATTAGGAGAAATCCAAATAAAAAAAATCTGACAATACAATGTGCCCAAAACAACGTACTTAGTCCTGTTTAATTGGTTAGAGATGCAGATGATGTGAAACACTGAATGATTCTACTCATAGTTTTGTTAGCATTTGGTAGCAACCTCAGAAAAATAAAATATCATGATCTGTATTGTGAAAATGTCTTAAAATATTATAATATTATATATACTGGTGTGTTTGATAGGATATATGTGCATATTCGAGTGTATTTGTGAAGTACTGGTTTGAGGAGACTCACGTTGGTTTTGCGGCGACAGCGGGACAGGTTGAGATAAAGGGACACCCGCAGGTCCCGAAAAGCCTTCAGGTTCTCCCCAAAGCCTTCCCTTGGAAACTTCCTCAGTGCATACTGGTACCTCTGAGCTGCCTCCTTCATCTTCCCTTTCTAAGAAGAGAGAGAGAGCGAGGGACAGAGGACAGTGCTTTTAGCGGGTTATTCTTCAGAGCGTCCTAACATCAACCGTCCATTACCATCTTTGCCCCAAACCCACACAGAACATCTTCTCTCTGCCTTGGCTGACCTTTAGCCTCAGATGCTCTGCCCACATACTGGCTGATGTATACTGTATGCTAAGATGGCCACAACGGTCAGTATTTCGTCAGTTGCTTCTGACTGGCTATCCACTCTGCAGTGTGTATATGCTCCCGTGGACCAGTTTTAATCAGTCTGATATGAAACAATACTTTAATTAGGCTAAATGTTAGCTGTTCATCAGGAGTGAGCGGTTGCCCAGCTGCATGCTTTGACAGCAGTGAGCATTCTGGAGCACGACACAGTGGCTGGGTTGAAAAAACACCTCTCTAAAAGTCTCCAAAATTATTCAAATGTTTTACTTGAAGCAGTTAGCGATGAGACAAAGTGTGGTATCCTTGTGCGACTGCCACTATGTTTCCCCTAGGTGTGTTTTTAACAAACACCCTCCAAAACAGTGCGAGAAATAGCAGCCTGTTTGGTAATTCTGAGTTATAGTGGCAGGTTTGGGTTATGTTGAGCGACAAAACCCACCAGATTCTCTGAAGATATACAGCAATAGTAACTAACTGACCTTATACAACAGGTTGCCCTCTTCCATCAGCTTCTGCAGCAGTATGATGAGAATGTCTGGTTTGGATGTGGCCATGGCCCAGGCAGCGTTACCTGCGGCAGAAACGGAGCATGACAAAGCTGTTAGCCTCCCACTCACCTCCTCATCTTCCTCCTGGACTACGAACATGATTGGCTCAAGAGAGTTACCTAAAGCTTGTACCTGATCGATCATAGGGGGATGTTCTGTAGCCTTTAGCAGCAGGATAGTGAAGACAGGAAAGAGAAAGAGAGACAGAGAAGTGATGAGTGAGAAATGAAGAAAAACGCAGAACACACAGGAAGAGATTTGGACCATACAAGCTGTACAGGGCAGTTTCTGTGTGTTTTGTTGCCATCTGATTCTAAACTGACCGAAACCTGTTGGAGCTTCTTAAAGCAGATTCCACTTGTGATGCCTCTTTATATTCAGAAATCACTAGCATAAAAGTGAACACACTGCAAAGTCACCAAACCCCGAATGAGAGAGGACTGAATGCATCTTTCAGGAAAAAAGGACTGAAAAACTTTATTGGCAGCCTCCTTCAAACAGTGAACACAGCGCTGGTTTGGAAGAAAGCTTCAGATCTATAAACAGAAACTAGGTCTTTTAAGCTGCCCTGTAATATTATTTGAGCTGAAGAGGAAAGGGGGAAAAAAAGTTTGGTTGAAGGTATGAAGCATGCAGTATTAGGAAAAAAGCTACCCAACCTCTACTTTTCCTGGTATCCAGTGGCTAACTGGAGCTCAGCTAATGCTAATTTAGAACATGGGGCGGTGTGGTTGTTTTTCAGTGGTTTAGCGGTCGGTGGACGCTAGTCTTGATTCCAGCCAGCATGAAAAACCTTGGAAAATGAGGCTAGATTAGCTCTGACTATCCATGCAGTGCTTAGCACACATTTCTGCACTGAAAAGACTTTAAAAGAACTTTAACCAGGGTAAGTCATTGCCGTGAGCAAGGCCTGGATACACCAAGGAGGTGTAACAAATCAATCTGTTGTAGGAGCCTCACAATGACATAAAAAAAAACTGTGACAGCAGCCAATTCAGCACAACAAGCATGGCACACTGCGAAGACAACCAAGAGAAATATGTGTGATCCACATTCATTTTGATTGGCTTGTTTATTAATTATTTAGCTTTTATCTAGTATGACTCACAAATGTCATTTGCCAAGACATCTCCTAGTAAGAATGTGGGTTATGTGCTTTGGTCAGAAAGCTGGGTGCAGCTTAGTTACATCTGAGAGTGAACTCATGACCTCCAGGCACAGAACCATGATGTAACCACTGGCCTACCACCACTATATTTACTCTTTTGAAGATCCAAATGGGTTTATGATCAAGGCAAGAGCAGGAACTTCTGATTATTCATTATGCTTTATTAAAAACAGACGTGCAAGCCTCTGGACAACTTGCTGCCCAGTATGGGCCTCTGCAATGTACGTCTTTTGATTCGTGAAACATCCATGGGATTTTTCTTAAAAATATTCCTAAGATGACACGGCTAAGATCTGACTGTGATTTACTTTTTATACATAATTAGGATTCAGTTTTATTATTTATAATTGTGAATTAGCTATGTGCATAAAAAACCTTGAAGAAAATCCGCAGCTATATACAGTTTGTACTGACTGTTGATGAGTCTGGTTAAAGGCAGATCAACAGGCACTAAGCCGAGGACAGTGGGTCTGATTTGGCTGAAAGAAAACCTGCAGCTGTGTACAGTAACTACAGTCAATCACTTCAGTCAAAGGCAGGTCAACAGGCTCTCTCAAGCAGTTCACACTCTGTGACTTTGGGTTAGTACTGAGAGGATTTCGCTATATAACTCTGGGCCTGGTGCAACGCACGGCAGAAGTGACAGTCACATACATCACCGGCGTCCCACTTATAGGGGTTCTAGTGGCTCAGCACAGCATGCTCAGGCTCAAGTGAAAATATGGCCTGGTTTCTGTTGCATTTAGGACTCAGCAGAGGAACAGAGCTCTGCGCTTTCACGCTCGGAGAGAAAGGCGGGGGAAAAAAGCGGAAAGAGTCGGCCACGTTCTGGATTTAGAATGGCCAGGCCCCTCCTGAGAAGCTGCTGCGGGTGTTCTAGATTTGGCAGGACGACTCAGGGGGAAGGCCCAGGGGAGAGGCGCGCAAATGTGTGCCGTGATGTTCCTGCAGAGCTACTCACCCAGCTTGGCCCCTTTCTTCAGCAGGGTGACCACCACAGAGGTGTTGCGGCTGCCGATGGCGCGGTCCAGCGGCCGCATGCCGCTGTAGTCCATGTGCTCGATCACGGCGCCACGCTCCACCAAATAATGCACCTGCAGCAGAGGAGATAAGTACTCAGGGTCTGTATCAGACATGTACACACTATGGCCCATATGCATGATTACAGCCCCGCAGTCTAGCAGACAATGCACCTGGGATGCAAGAAATAAAAGGAGGTGGTAAACAAGACCAAACACAGGCACACATACACACAGCCATCCATATGCTTGACTCAAGCTCCCTTGTCATTGAGTAAAGAGCCTGAGAGACAGAAATGCTGCAGTAGTGTACAATACCACTCAGTCTCAATGTACAACAGTCACATATGTGCTAATTACTACACATAGCTCCATTATATAATACACATTTTTATACTAGTGCCATCCACCCTCACACACAGACCCCGTTTACCAGGGGCCTGTCTCACAAAGCAGGACTTCCTGCTTAGCCGGCTAACTTTAAGTTTAGTTCGATTTTCTATCTAACTACGGGGAGTACAAGACCAAGGCAACTTGAATTTAACCTTCCTCAGAGCTTCTGACCAATCAACGACAGCCTTCTGGTGGAAGAGGGTTTCTTTTTTCTTCATGACATTTGGGGTATCAGTCATTTGAACATACTTAGCTTAACTGCATGTTTTTGGACTGTGGGAGGAAACCGGAGTACCCGGAAGAAACCCACGCAGACACGGGGAGAACAGGCAAACTCCACACAGAAATGACCCTGGTCGCCCGGCCGGGAATCGAACCCAGGCTATTCTCGCTGTGAGGCAACAGCGTTACCCACTGCACCACCGTGCTGCCCGTTATTTATTCGCTATGATTATAATAGATATATTAATATTTTCTAAGTTTTAGCTGAAATTTTAATTTTAGAGAAAGTTTAATTTACAACAAAAATTATTTCAGTTTTTCTATGTTCTGTAGTTTGCATGGGGGACAACCATGCTGGTCTGTTAAGCCTTTCTTATTAGTCCTCATGGTCATGGATGCATGCTGTGGGAGGGGTTTGTGGCTTGGGTAGAAGCACATTTTACACTTCCTGACACGGCTCAAGCAATCAGTTTTAAACTGGTTTACACCTGCATTTCTGACGAGGACGATCCCTATCTTTGTATAATCCTTAAAGTCGAGACATGAAACAACCAGGTGTAAACAGGGTAATACAAACATTAAACGTCATCTGAGGCATAAGAAGAACCTCCTAAAAGACCATTCACTACAGTTACGTTCCACAAACACAGTTTATATTGTCTGCATATCTACACAGTTATATTAAAAGAGTTATAATCCACGCACTATGTCAGCATCTCCATAGAAAGCAGCCAGATCCAGAGGGGTGCGCCCGTTCTTATCTGTGTGATCAATCTGTGCTCCTCTGTCTACCAGGAACTCCACCACACTCTTCTGGCCCTTCAGACATGCCCAGCTCAGCGGAGTCAAGCCCTCCTTATCCACGGCTGTTACGCTCGCTCCTGCAGCACACACACACACAAAGGTTCACTTCAGCTGTGAAACTGATGGAAATGTGGATATGTGGAATAACATGTTAGACCTTCAGGTTAAAGGTTAGAGGAAGCTGCCCTGTGGTCAGATGACTCACCATGGGAGAGGAGGAAGTCTACAGTGGTCAGGTGGCCCTCGCTGGCCGCCACCATCAACAGAGAGCGCCCATGTTTGTCACAGGTGTTCACCTCAGCACCATGCTGCAGCAGAAGCTCTGTTACCTGAGCGGCAGAGGGAGAGAGGGAGAAAAAGAAGGAAGTATGAAAGTGGTTTTATCTTAATTTTTTTCAAATCAAACATTTTCAGTTGTTTCAGTTAAAAAGGTACAGAACAAAAAGTTGCATTGCATGTGTGATGTAATACCCTGATCATGCATAACATTATGATAACATTATTCCTTGTTTCTACGCTCATTGTCCATTTTATCAGCTCCACTTACTATATAGGTGCACTTTGTAGTTCTACAGTTACAGACTGTAGTCCATCTGTTTCTCTGATACTTTGTTAGCCCCCTTTTACCCTGTTCTTCAGTGGTCAGGACCCCCATGGACCCTCACAGAGCAGGTACTATTTGGGTGGTGGATCATTCTCAGCACTGCAGTAACACTGACGTGGAGGCAGTGTGTTAGTGTGTGTTGTGCTGGTACGAGTGGATCAGACACAGCAGTGCTCCTGGAGTTTTTACAAACACTGTGTCCACTCACTGTCCACTCTATTAGACACTCCTACCTTGTCAGTCCACCTGCACAGTTTGTATCAGAGTATCAGAGAAACAGATGGACTACAGTCTGTAACTGTAGAACTACAAAGTGCACCTATATAGTAAGTGGAGCTGATAAAATGGACAATGAGCGTAGAAACAAGGAGGTGCTCATAATTTTATGCCTGATCGGTGTATATATCAACATTAAGAGGTATGAAACCTCCTTGGTTGCAGGTAAGAGAGAGAGAATCCCACCTGTGTGTGCCCATGTCTCACAGCGCTGAAAATGGGGGCCACACCCCTTCGGTTCGGCTGTGTAACCACGGCTCCCTGCTCCAGCAGGAACACACATGCCTCCTGCTTGCCCCGCCCAGCAGCAGCAGTCAGAGCTAAGAAAACATAATAATGGAGAACATTAAACTTAAACCTCTCTTAACTCTAACCACTCTAATAAAGTGGCTGGTGAAATCAATTCAAGTTATCACTACAGTTCATAGATTGTCCTTCAATATGACAGAAAACTAGGACAACATTTATTAGCGCCAGAGTAAAACGCACCAGTCTCTCCCCACAGAGTGTCATGGCCATCGATCTGCACGACGAGCTCGTCCTTATTCAGAGCCAGCAAGTCCTTCACAACCTGAGAAGGTACATTACAGTTCAAATTAACTTCAGGGGTTCTCATTGTCCTTCTACCATCTGGACTGAATTTACCCCACTTTATTTATTCTTTATTTATTCTACTTTATTCTACCTCCCTACTTTTATTGCCTTAAACCGTTTTTAATCTGCCAAGCTGGAGTCACTCGTATTTTGGCAGTGAGGCCCACAAAGCCAGAGCTAAAACAATTCATTATGTAAAGTCTGTCCAGGTTGAAAACTTTTGGAATGTTGTTTGAAGGCATTAAATATGAATATATCTGCTAAAGTGTGGTTTAAACTTCGTTTTGGATATCTGATAATTATTTTTATTACTACTTTCATTTTTATATTTATATTTATATTTCATTTATATTTTGTTTATTAGTAATCTGATAACACTCATTATTAATAGGGGTTTTATTCTGTCTTTGGTTTGTGGTGTTGGATTAGGACAGAAGGCTACAGTCAAGTTTGCATTCAAAAGTTAGTGCTGTGGGTCAGGTTGAGTGAGACTGAGTGTTATCAGGCTATATTTGAGTCCCGTTCAGTGTTACAGACCGGATTTAAGGCTACGTTCACATTACAAGCCTCGTTGCTCAAATCCGATTTTTTGCTAAAATCCGATCTCTCTGACATGATGGTTCACAGTCGTTTAGGTAAGTGATTTAAATCTGTCATTATTGTGAGCGAACCGGCATCCTGAAATGACCCTCATGCGCACATCCTACTCAGTAACGTCACGTGAATGAGTCACGAGCATCATCAGCACAAACTAATGAGCAGAACGAGCTTCGCTGAGAAGATAATTAACTCTGATCAGCTCTCAGCTTCATTATTAGAGCGAGACGAAGGAGAAAAAGGTGAGATGAGCTGCTTTTCCACCGTTTACAGGCTTTAATGTCTGTTGGCGCTGCTGCCATGGTAACGCTGAATGATGGCACATGCACAGTGGAAAAAAAGCACATGGATTCTGATCTAATGTGTCACATTAAGGTCACATGGCCACAAATCAGACATGTATCCGATCTAGGGCCACATTTGAAAGTGGTTCAGGTCGGATTTGAAAAGATCCCTGAAAATATCACATCTGAGTCACATTAGGGCAAAAAATCGGATTTGTGCCACTTCAGCCTGGTAATGTGAACGTAGCCTAAGCTCTAGTTAGTAGCCAGATGGCATGGCAACGGGTAACTGGTAGCCGGGATTCAGGCAGCAGCAACAAGGATGACTATGATCTTTCTCTGAAGAGAACAGGAGTTTACTATATTATTGGATCTTAAATTTGGTAGACATGCAGTATCCAATAATATGATGTAGTGGGTTTATTGGTTTTTTTCCACTCAGTGTTTATGGTGACACATGTCTGTGTGGACTACTCAAATGTGGACACTCGTCTTTGTGAGTTCCATACTGAGCAATGTTGTGTGAATATGTTACCTGTAGATGTCCCATACTGGAGCCGGCGATGAGCGCCTGCTGCAGTACTTTGTTCTTGAGGCTGCTGTCGGAGCTCCAGTTCTGCTCCAGCAGATACTGTAGTATCTCTCCATGACCTCTCAGAGCAGCATGCACCACTGCACACTGACCACTCTTATCAACATGATCCACCTGATAAACACACACACAGTTTTGTCAGATTAAATAAAGTTGGGGTGCATTTAGTCAAGTTATGTGCATATCTTATGGCAGCCATACAATCGTGATGATGTAATGATGAATGGAATGCCTTACGATATATTTGCCTAACGCATGCTGGGTATTATAGTGAGAGAACTATGATAAATGAGAAAATGAAAACAATAAAAAATTCTGATGATGCTGAAGGATATAATGCTGCATTACAGAATACTGTTTAAGACAATAAATAACCTATTAAACTAGTTTTGGGCCACAATTCTACTTTTAAAGTATATTACTTCTGTAAGTTAGAAATTAAATTATGATAATCAAATGTTGCATTGTTGAAGAACATAATAAAAGGGTCAAGTTGGCCAAATCACGGTAGAGGTCACTCTAGGACAATAATTTCTACATTGCTGATAAAGTAATGGTGATGTATGGTGGGTAGTATGTAGTGGGTAGACCAGACATGCTCACTGACCTTTGCCCCTTTCCTGCAGAGCAAGGTGACCACCCCTAAGTGTCCAGCTGCTGCGGCGTAACACAGCGACGTCATACCGTTCTCAGATACCCCTTCCAAGGGTGCCCCAAACTCCAGCAGCAGGGCCACCATCTCCAGGTGCCCCAAGTGAGACTGTACACACAGCACGGGGGCGCTGTTGAGCACCTCTGTGCGGTAACATACGCTCGCCCCACCCAGGATCAGTAGCCGAGACACCTGAGGAGACAGACAGGTAGAAATGGGCATTGGGTCTGCAGCTGGACATTTCTTCTTTTCACAGTACTCTCTTGTCCACTGTAGGGCCAACAGTTGCATTATGCACCAGGGTTGATGTGGCATAAGTAGTTTTGTTTATTTTCTAAGTAAAAAGTTGGCACAAACTTATATATGGCATTTGCAAATTTTAGTGCACAATTTCTGTTTATTTGCGTTTTTTGAGTTTAACATTTTGGAAAAAAATAAGACATAAAATATAAAGTCTTTCATAAATTTTACACAGGTCACATTTTTTTTCCCAATTTTCTCCCCAATTTAGTCATTTGCAATTTCACCCAATAGTTAGGACTCCCCCAATCACACGATACCACTGGCGCTAGGAGGGCGAAGGGCACCCTACCCACCCAGAGAGCGAGGCCAATTGTGCTTTCTTGGACTCCCGGCCATGGATGGCTGTAGCATCACCAGGGATCGAGCTTGCGATCTCCTGATGACAGGGCCAACGCTTGGATGGTTGCATTTCCAATATATTAAGAGTAAATGAGCAAATTATCTGTAGAGGACGTGTTAACTTGTTTTAACTTGTCTGTATCATCCACCTCGACTGGGCATGGTGTGTAAGCGTGCTCAGAACAGTTTGGCTCCACAGTAGAAAAGAGGATAGTGACTCATACGATTACTACAAGTGGTACAAGTTTCAAGGACATAACTCAGTCTTATCCGTAAAACACCCAAACATCTTTGTCTTGCACCCCGGATTTGAGATAATGCACCTGCTCCTCATCTTAATTCTAGTATTACAGTGAAAAGCCTCTAGTGTAGCAGTGTAATCATCTTCAGAGGAGCACACATACACACACTAACACAAATCCAATTTCCTGGTTACAAAAACTAGTGAAAAGCCCGACTCCACTGGGCTCCAGAGTGTCAAACAGAAGAGGAGAAAAGAAAACTTCTCTTCAAAACCAAATCAACAAAACTCCAGTGTTTACATCCCTGAAGATGTGTGCAGAAGAGCAGGAGTGTGTCCTTCTGTCGTAAAAAAGCTCTCTAGCTGTGGACTCGACCAACAAGAAAACAGCATAAGATCCTTTTGAGCATACAAATAGCTTATTCTGAATTAATTTAACAGTAGAACGCATAGAATCACACTTAGCGATCATGGCCAAATGAAAGCGGGCGGCCTCTTTTGATCAGGCCGGAGAGCTCGCCTGGTAATGGAGGCTTGATTAGGAGGCTGGATGAAGCAGGAAGCATTAAAAAGGGAGGAAACAGAATCTCATTTATTTATCCAAACGCCACAGGAATTAATGAGCGCCTCTTCAACCAGACGGCTGTCAAGGACGTTGTTGTGTGACTCAAGCGCACACACGCACAACGCATACACACAGATTGATGCTCATTTCATTAAAACAAGGAAATTACAGGCAGTGAAGTCCAGACTACAGCAATTAACATATAATAGAATTAATTAATAAATATAATTATGTAAGCCCCTTTTTCACTATGCTTCAGCGTTAATTACTATGTTCTGTGTGACTTATCAAATCCTCTTCACTTTGAGTGACTCTGACATTCACTGATTTATGGCTCTCTGAGTGAGCTTTAAATTTGTCAGAGTCAGTAATTGGTGGAGTGCTGCTTCAAAGGGCGTGACGGGAGACCGGTCACACTGACCCTGAGAACGGCTTTGATTAATGATTTTTTGCCTAAATGTGACATGGATCTGAGAGCGCAAAAGTCTGATCTTTTCTAACGAGATTTGAGCTACTTCGGCTTTGTTCAGACAGGCAGCTCAAATCTGAAAAATGTTTGGCATGTCTGATTTGAGCGGGAAAGATTTTCTGCAGTCTGAACAGCACATGAAATCTGCCTTATTCCAATTAGATTTAAGGATTTAAATTTGTATGTGGTTTCACATTCAGTTAAATTACAGAATTGGGCTTTGTTCACACAGCAGCTAAAAGTGGCCCAAATGCAATCTTTTTCTTTATATGTGACACAGATGTGTGTCTGTGTGTCAGTGTGAACAGCAAAAAAACACACTGAATCAGATATTTTCAATTCCGATTTGAGACGCTTTCATATGTGGTTCATATCCGATGCGCGGCAATGCGACTCAGTCTGAACAGTCAGATTGGACTTTTACGTCAATCCAGCTCCACATTCATCATAATTTCGTGCTGCTGAGACCTAATAAACATTTAGGATGATATTTCTGTACAAAAATTAGAAGAGATTTATCCAAAACCCTCCGTGTTCAAGAGATTTTGAAAGAAATGTCCAAACACAGCCATAGGAGAACGAGGCTGCAGTGTCAACGAACAGTTAAAAGCCTGAAAGCAAAGTTTAAAGAATCCGAGGACACGGACCAAAGAAGTGGCCGCACACTTTTTACAGCGAGCTCGAACACATTCTGTGTGATGAGCCCAGCTGTCAGTCAATGAAGCCTCATGATGGCTCCTGTGATGCTGGCGAAGGTGAAACTGAACCCACCGGGAGTGACTGGTGTTCGTTCATAGTCAGGATTGTTTACCTCTGGATGAGCCACATGAAGCAACGTGAAGCACTGTTCTTTTACGCATGCGGGTCATTTTAGGAGCTGATCTGTTCAGACTGATTCCACATACAGATCACATTTAAAAGATGATGTGAACAGCCAAACAAAAATACCAGATTTGGTGAGAAAATCAGATTTGGGTCACTTTTACCTGCTGTAGCCTTGGAGTTTTGGATCTGTAACTTAGACTGACCAGTCACATTAGAGTTCGACATTTGGTGTTTGGTGTTTTTTGGCATTAATTACTTCTTGATGACTGAAATGTTTCTGTGACAAGAAGTGCATTCTTTTGCTAGTCCCATCCTAGTAAACATGAATATGTGAGCAAAGGCAACTACAGTTTAACCATACACACTGGACCGGGTTGCTTATGAAAAAATCAGAATTAAGAAACAATATATTTGGTTGGATACATTTCTGATACCTGTCTACTATGAAAAAGGTCAAATCAGAATTTGGAAAACAGTAGTACCTAAATTGATGTGTGCGTATGGGTCCCTCAGGTCAGAGGTGTGTTTATACTAATGATGAATATCAGAGACCATGCCGATCGGATACCAGGAATCCGTTTCAGGCCGATATCAGAAGAAAAAGCTGGATCAGATATTGGAGGGGAAAAAGTAATGAATCTGATTCAATCCTGGAACAAATCTATCCTGAAATAGCACCCACTCACTGTATGGTGTGATGTTGGTAGCTGTGGGTTTCTTCCTGTGGGATAGTAGAGTGTTGGAGTAGCCAACTTTTAGAAGCTCACCTTAAGTACGTGCCTCATTCTCTCTGTATCTTTCATTTATTTTTTGAACTTCTGTTTGGGAAACTGCAGTGTTTTTTTACTTTCTTTTGACTTCACTCTTCCTCATACAAGTGGATTATTATACCTAATCTCCTCAGAAATATCTTCTGAAACTGATAACTTGTATTTAATAGGTATTTGGACCACAAATTAAAATAAATGAAAGGTAGTTTTGGGCTGCTGCACAGTACTTTAGCTCATTTTAAAAGTAGTTTTTAAAGAAGAAACATCGGATCATTATCAGTATTGGATGATACTCAGTTTTGGTATTGAAAAGTCTATATCTGTAATGTATATGGATCACTTACTAACATGAATGTGGACCGTCAAGGCAGAAAAAAACATCAAAGAAGGAAGTGGGAAATAAGGTTTGTATTGTAAAGGTAGCCTTATATAAGAGTGTGTCTGTAGATTAAGAAGGTAAGCATGTGTGTGTGTGTGTGTATTAACCCACCTTGACATTAGGTGTATAGAGGTTTCTGAGGGAGGACAGGGCAGCAGAAAGGCTGTCTGTACTGTTACTGATCCAGAGGGCCTGAAGAACACTAGAGGACACACCCGTCCTTTTACTCTGTCCCTGACAGAGAGAGAGAAAGAGAGAGAGAGAGAGAGAGAGAGAATGAGAATGTGTGAAACTCAAGTGCCATCCCTAATTACCTCCATTAGGTGCTAAATGGAGGCAGAAATGCAAGATTTGCAAGCCAATTAGGTTGTGTATGGGGAAGGCTGACTTGTCTGCCTGTGTGTGTGTGTGTGTGTGTGTGTGTGTGCCACAGTGAGTGTGTGTTTTACCTTAAATATGTGTGCTTTGAGGATGTGGTGACCCAGCTCCATCGTCTGCTGCCTGTTCAGCTTTCCGTCTTGTCGAGAGAGCATGAAGGCCATCAATGCATGTCCACTCCTGTACGTGACATATATAATAGATATATACATAAATAGATAGATTGATATATACATACACTACATATCGCTGTTGTCAGAAGAAAACCTCGTATCTCCAAAATGGTAACTTTACAGGAGAAGGAAAAAACCTACTTTACTTTTAATGTAAGTCAATGGAACCAGACTTTTTACCAAGTCATTTTGGGCTGTTTATTTTGGGCCGTTCTTCATGAAATTTACACACAATGCAAAGAGCAACAGGCTTTTTCAAATTATGTCAAAAACTGAAAAATGACAAAAATGGGGATAAAACGTTTTCTTCTAACAGCAGCGATAAGAATATCACAAACTCATCTGCTCATATCCTGTAAATCACCATCTTCAAAATCATCATCATCAATGATACAATGACACCACGTTTCACTGTATGACTGTACAAATGTTCGAATTTAACATATTGAAAAGAAAACAAAGTATAAAATGAGCCATAACTTTAACACAGGGCTCAATTTAGTTGTTTTGTTTTTCCCTTATATGTTAAACTCAGCAAAAAAACATGAACCTCTTAAAATTTAGGCTTATTACATCCTAAGGATAATTATCCAGTAACTACAGGGCTTCAAATTTTGGTTCAGTTGGTGGGCCCTGGCTTTTTAAGGGGTTAACTGTACATACAATGTGCAGAAGTGCGTTCTCTGTAGAGGATGTGTTAACTTATTTTCACTTAGAACTGGTACCTGTGACTGTGTGTACATATTCTGGTATCTGGTATGATCTCTTTTTGACTCTTTTGACTCTATTTTTTTATGTAATGGTTTATTTTATTTTCCCTTGATATGCCATATATGCCATATTTTCTTGAGTTCCCAGTAATGTTCAGTATTCCGCTCGTTATACAAGTGCACTCACCAAGAAAATTCCTGTATCATACTTAGTAAACAAGCAAAACTGATTCTGATTCTCCTCACCACCCTGAGAAATAACACTCACGCAATTATCACCACAATTTAATTTCTTCTTTTTCTCTCTCCACTTTTTACTCAGACTTCAAGACCTCCCTGTGGAATTGTTTTGCTCTTTTAACATGAAGCAATGTCTCAGGCTCCCCAGAGACAAACTGGTGCAAACACTGCCTAAAAAGAGGCTCGGAGTGAAAGCATTGCCATCCAAACTGAAAGCAGACAAATCCCTGAGTGGGAGAAACTAGAGGGTAGGGCTCACACACTCGTGGAGTGACACTTAGCACTGATTTACAGTCCAGATATATGCAGGACAAATTAAAGACTGTGCTGAGATGTTTAGAGAAAGTGTCTGCAGCCCTCATCATCCAAGATTTGAGTTACTGTCATATGATAAAGAGAGAGGCTGAGGTTGAGACTATCAAACCACATGGTAAACATGAGTCATTGCTGTGTTGCATTTCCTCACATATCAGGAATATATGTACCTAACAGAAGAGAAGAAAAGAGAAGAGAAGAGAAGAGAAGAGAGGAGAAGAGAAGAGAAGAAAAGAGAAGAGAAGAGAAGAGAAGGAGAAGAGAAGAGAAGAGAAGAGAAGAGAAGAGAAGAGAAGAGAAGAGAAGGAGATGAGCGAGATGAGATGAGAGGAGAGGTGATGGATGGAGAGGAGAAAAGGGTGGAGAGGAGATGAGAAAATAAGAGAGGAGAGCAGATGGATGGAGAGGAGAAAAGAGGAGAGGAGATGAGCAAATGAGAGGAGAAGAGTGGAAAGGAGATGAGATGAAAGAAAGGAGATAGGAGAAGAGAGGTGAAAATAAGATGAGGAAGAGAGAAAAAGAAATTAAAAGAGGAGAAGAGACGAAAAGACAGGCAAAAATAAGAGGAGAGGACAAAAGAGAAGACATAAAAGAGGAAAGGAAATAAAAGGAGGAGAAATAAGGGAGAGGAGGAAAAAAGAAATAAGAGGAGATGAACTGAGAGGAGAAGATAAGGAAGAGAACAAAAGAGGAGAGAGAGCAGAACAGAACAGAAGAGATGGGAAGAAGAGAGAAAAGAAGAGAGTGAAGAAGAGAAGGAGAGTGGAAAAGAAGAAAAGAGGAGAGTAGAGAAGAGACGAAAGGAGGAGAGTGGAGGAGAGAAGAGCAGAGAGGAAAAGAGGAGAGTGGAGGAGAATGGTGGAGAGAAAAGCAGAGAGCAAAAGAGGAGAGTGGAGAAGAGCAGGAGAGTGCAGAAGAGAAGAAAAGAGGAGAGTAGAGAAGAGAAGAGAAGAGTGGAGGAGAGAAGAGAAAAGAAGAGAAGTGAAGAGGAGGAGAGTGGAGAAGTGACTAGAAGAGAAGAAACGAGAAGAGAAGGAAAATGGAGAAGAGAAGAGGAGAGTGGAGAAGAGAAGAGAGGAGGAGAGAAGAGTGGAGAAGAGAAGAGAAGAGAAGAGAAGAGAAGAGAAGTGAAGAGAAGATCTTGTTCTCTCTGCTCAGTATTTGATGCTGTATTTGCTCCAGCGGACTCGTCCCTATCCATTATTCTGTGTCACACTGGCTCTGTCTGATTACATGCTGATTAATGCTGTCTAGACAGCTTCACGGCAGAGGACGAACAAACGAACGTCACTCACTCGTTTCTGTTCTCTCGCTTCTGGACAGCACATCTCGTACATGCTGTGATTAAACAGCATCTCCTTTTCTGTAAAAGGCCACGCATGACTAGCGTTTCTCTCCACCAAAGCATCGGCCCCTTCATAACCGGCCTCCATATCTGACCTGCGTTAAGTAGGCCATGCTGAACTTTCCGTGCCTCCTCTGGTTCGCGGGGAGAGGCAGCAGTGCTGGAACTCCATTAGGCCGCGCACGCTGCCAGGCTGAGCCTGGGCCGGCCTTCAGCTAAATGAGAGCGGTGAGTAATGTGTGTGAGGGTGGGCAACTCGCTGAAGAGCTGGTAAAATGAATGGGAGGGATTCAGAAGAGTAATTTCACACCCACACACACACACGCACGCAGAGACACGTACACAGCGGGCATCTCTTGTGCACGCATCACACTCCACACTGAACACGACGAGCGGGCTGGAGTGCCTCGCACTATGAATGATAATGCCGACCTTACAAACTCCGGATATTTACTGCAGTCAGCTATCAGCCCCTGAATGTCTCAGTGCTTTACCAACCCGGAGGACATTTGATGCTACTAAACAGTGTTTCATTTTGGACAATAATGGTTCTGTTTACATGCAGAGATTTTTGCCAATCTTATTGAATACATTCTGATTACAGATTAAGACCGAGGTGTTTATATGCACTCTACTCAACAATCTGATGAAAATCTCTGTTTACATGTGCACTACAAGTAATCAGATCCAAAATTACGCACATGCGTAGAGAACCACTTAGTGTAGACGTTACCATGACAACCAGCATCACTTGAGTCTAGTCAGAGTGAGATGAGCAGCAGTGAGCAGTGCTTGTGTTTTTACTTTAAAATGATGTCAGACTCGTAATTCACATGTACTTATTAAAGAAGGGCGAGAGGAAGATGTCGTGTTCTGAGACACATAAGCTGGACGTCCCGTCCCACCGCCGTCTTTTAAAGTTCAAAGCATAAACTTCCACTGCGTCCCAACTGCGCACTTAATACTAATACTAACTAGTGTTTGAGTATGTAGTATGTAGTATAGTCAAAGTTGAGTATACTCAAAAATCCACAATGCATACTTAGAACCAGTTGATTTTTGAGTATAGTAATGATGGACACTATTGTCCCACAATCCAACGGAAAGGGAGGAGGCTTTCGCGTCTGGAAAATTCTGAAAAAATGGATGAAGACGCGAGGGCAGCTGCAGTGGTAGCGTGACCAGAAATGGTGTATAAATGTGAGTTCATCCCAAATTTGTAAAATATTCTGTAAAAAAACAAATGTGTTATACTTACTAATGTTTTCATTTGTTAGCGTTTCTGTAAGAAATTTGTTTGTGAATGCACGTTAATTTGTTAGCTAGCCTTCAGAGTCTAGCTTGCTATGATGTGTGTTGTCATAGCGACGGTTCGTCACTTCCTTTTAGTAAGAATGGTGTAGTATGTTAATATTTTGTGTACTAACCTGTCGAGCTCATACTATTAAGATTAGTACGCAGTATATACTGTGTAGTATTAGTGTGTAGTACACAATTGGGACGCAGCCTTCGTCTCCTCTGCAGACCAGTTTCTGCTTCCGCCATGTTGAACATTATAATCGCGCATGCACAGAAAGTACTTTCTGATTGGGAATGTAATCAGATAGAAGCATTTACATGGGTATTATTCTTCTGCTTAACCAATTATTTACAGGATTACCCACCTCGTTCAATTAGATAGAAACTGTATTCCAAATGGCCCCAATCTGATTAGTCTATCCGATTCAGATGTTTACCTGGACGTATTCTATTCCGATTGAGCGATTTAGTCAGATTATTAATGGATTATCAGGCTGCATGTAAACATGGCTAATGTCAATTTAGACAGTGTTTCTGCTGATGGTAATATAATTACCAACAAAGTTAGCTTCTAATGTTACTCTATAATGTGCTTTGAATATAATTATAATGATATTCTGAACAGGCACAGTTACATCAAGTGGTTCTCAGCATCTATTTGGTTTGAAGCCAACATACCACAAAACTGGCGGATTGGCACAGAAACTTCACCCATTTTACTCAAGTTTTTGTTTCATTTGCATGTACCCTGGCATTCTTTACCAGACTGAAAATCTGCATTTTTATCTACATTCTACATTTAAATCATCTTTCAAAGTGGTTCAAAGTATGAATGTGTGCAGTTGATTAGTTGGTCATGTTCTGTAGTCATAACAGGTCTTGGCAGTATGACAATATTTATCGTTATTGTGATAAATTACACCACAGTATGTCAAAATAAGCTTTTCTGAGCATATCATGGATCATCACTGCTTAAAAAAATGCATGTTTCATTAGAAAGAGAGCATAATTAGTCCTGTTTAATTGGATTTAATGCATTGCAGTGTGTAAAAGGTTGAATGAAAATCACAGTACTTGTAATTTTAATAGTGTTTAAATGTGGCACTGCTTAGTTTCTTCCAACTTATCAGATGTCAGAAAAAAACATATAGTATAGCAACATATAGTGACATCATTTATCATGAAAATTTCTTGAAGCATCATAATGTTACATTTTTTCCATCACCCAGCTCTATTCTATAATTTATAGCATTTTTCTATTGCATATATTGTTAACTAACCATAGATTACTCAGTAAATTGTTTAAATAAGATGTAGCAATTAAAAAAATAACGTGGCATGTGAATTAAAGAGCAATCACTTCCACTACTACTATTCTAATGCAACAGAGGAGTAATTTTATATCATTGGGGACGATAACTTCCCAGACACAACAGGTGGTGTAACGCTGAAGCAGCTGCCCAGTGGCTTCTGTTATAAGTGAGTTTTGAGTCAATGGTTATGCGGTTATTTTTCTAAGTGCAGGGAAAGGCGCTGATATCATTTTCTGTGCTAATGAACTGTATAAATGGATGTGACAATAGAAATAATGCTGAAAAAGCAGACTACTGCTTTAAGATGGTGTTGCTTTAGAATAGTTTCAAAGTCAAAGAGACTTCAGGTGGTAGTCTCTCCAACGCTACCAGTGTTGTCATGCGTATGTGGTGTTATCAAGCACATGTGGGACCAGTGTAAAATCATCGCCCACATTTTTTTTTCTACATTCCCTACATTTTTAAGAAGCAGAATTGTCAATGATCGATTAGTTCATTTATAGCTAATTTATATCTGAAGAATTCATGTAGTTCAATGGTGCTTTATAGTTCATCGATGGGTCAAATAATACTTATATATTTATATATATGTATTTATATATATATTTATACTTATATACTTATATATATGCATATATTTTTATAGAAATGTATAGGAATAATGTTAATACTTTCTGAAATGTAATACTGTTTGGATTGTCATGTCTATAATGAAGAGCAAATAGATCTGCTTTTGATTATTAGGTCTTAAAGAATGCTGTATGGAGTTGAAAGCTTATATCTGCCAACATCCAGAGGAGGGAGCTCACATTTTCTTTCTTTGTCAATAAACCTGAGAAGATGAAACACTCCACAAGAGTTTGGCATCTTTTATTAGCCCCTATTTAGGTATACAACATCATACCGCTATTTCAATCTGATCCCCTCCAGACTTGGAATCTGAATTTAATGTATCTTTACATTTAAAAACAGCACAAGAATTTTATTTTGGTCAAAAAATGAGCACAAAGCTCATACAAACCAAGCGCTAGGAAACATTAGCCTGTCAGCTATGTTCTAATGTCTGTATCTGGTCCAACCTGAGCAGCACATAAGAGCCTGGCCTATCTAATGTTAGGGGAAACACTACGTTACATTTACAACATAAGTTTTATCTGTACTGGGCATTTTTAAAAAATCCAAAATTGATATGTTCTCATTTTTTGGCCACATGGAAGGAAGATCAACTGATGTCCAATTGCCTGTAACAAAAATTGGCTGATTTTAACCTGTAAGCTAGTCAACCCTTCCATCTCTAGAAGAAATGACATCATGACTCACCTGGGATCGCACAGGAAATCAGTGCTCTCTCCATCGGCCCTCCATACCAGCCACTCCCTGAAAGAGGGGTGGCAGAACATGCGGGTCCGATCGCGCCGGGCGATCAGAAAGCAGGATAGCGCCTCCATGCGCTGCTGGAAGTCACTCCACTCGAGTGCCCCCCTCAAGCTGCCGGCATTAAGTGCCCGGAACAGCTGCTCGTCAGTGAGTGGGTGCAGCGACGCCAGCGCCACGTTCAGCACAGGCAGAACACGCTCAAACGCTGCAGCTGAGGGAAACTTCATGTTGCATTGCAGCTGGTAGAGCTCACACAGAGACACAGGTATGACCTTATAGCTGGAGCTTTTGATCACTAGGTGGCCCTTCTCCAGCAGGTCCAGAGTCAGTTTCAGGTACAGGTAAGAGCCCTGGCTGCGGGCCACAAGGTGCGAGCTGAGCTTGGAGACGGCCGCAGGCTCTGCCTTGCCATTGATGGCGATGTTGCTGAGGATGGCGGTGCTGTGCTCCATGCGGTGCTGCAGGTATGAGTGAAGGTCGCCCACGATGGCCTTGTTATCATGAATGTCGTCTAGGGAGATGATGGGGAAGGGCAGCAGGCTGGTCACTTCCTATGGGACACATAAACAAACTCTTTTAGATAAAACAACAGCTTGGCAAAAAATCAAATATACTCAACTTACCCCAAATGTAGCCAGTCAACAAGACATGTTTTGCGTCTGAACCTTCTTTGGTTGCATTGGAGCTACAGGGTTAACATAGCTAACAAGTAATGGAAGCTTATCTCAGACCAATTAGCAATATGCAAACTGCATAAATCATCAAACACTTTGCTAAAGTAACCTCAAATAGACTTGTTTAGGTAGTTACTGTCACTCTATCTTAATGCGATCTGTAAAAATGAACAAAAACAGACAAAATTTAGGTTTCAAACTCTTTTTAGCTACGCAATTTTTTTTTTGTTTATTTTTATCACAAAGTCTATTTGATATTACTCTACATACTTGAAGGCAAGTATGTGATGATTTAGATGTGCAGTTTTCACAATGTTAATGGTGGGATACAAGCTTCCATTATTTGTTAGCTACATAAAAGGGGAAGTCCACCAATTTTTCAGAATGTCTGCATAATTTAACTGTGAGTAAATAATGTTATTCAGAGTGTTTTGAAAGAAGGTTAATTGTAGAGAAACGTACAGCTTCAAATGTCTACAGTGATGGTGATAAGAGCCAGACATTGCAACACAATAAAAAAAAACAGCCATTTTATTTACTATCTGAAACAGTCGATAAACTTGCACATGTTTTTACATCATTGCTGTCCAAATAAAAACATTCTTAATTTCTTATGAAAGTCCAAGTGATTTTGGATCATTTCCGTTGTTCCATTCATCATGAAATTTCCCACATTGTAAAGAGCAGCTGGTGTGTTCAAATGGTGTAGAAAAATAAAAACACAAAAAAGGAAGACACTTGTTTTTTGGACAGTGGCGATATTAAATGTTGATAAATAAAATAGTGGTAAATCAAAGAAGAAGAGAAAGTTTTCTCTGCATACTATTTTGCCTTATAATACCCTGCAAAGTGCAAAGACAGAATCATCTAGAAATTTAGTGTAAATACCCTCAGCAATGAGGGTTTAGATAGCACTCATGCTCTAATCCCAGCTGCCTTGAAAATCAATACATCATTACTCATGAAACTCCTGCATCCGTTCAGACATCAGCAGCAGCAGCAGGGAGAGTTTAGACAGCGCACTGCAGGGACACTGAACAAATACTTAAAATGTGTCTCTTTAATACAGAGCTTTGCCATATAAAATAAAATCTGCATAGGACAGATTTTTATAGGTGTGAGGAAAGGTCGAATTTCTAAAATATAACTTGCCCCACAGAGTTCAGAGTGCAGAGTTTTCAATGAATGAGTTCAAAATGTCTGATTAAAAGTACTGAGTCAGTTTGAGTTAGCAAGTCCAGCAATTTCAGGCCAATTTCAGGACACCATCCTGAGACAGTGTGTGTGTATGCAGTTGTGTATGTGGAGGGGTTGACGGGGGTACAGGGACACACTGAACATCTGCACTGTTGCATCAGAGCCACTGACTCTCTTACATAAGCCCCCTCACTGCAGGCCACAGCCCAGGCCATTAAAATCATCTCTGATCAGAACAGGATTAGTACTGGCTGCTAAATAAACAGAGTGGCCTCTAAACACCAGCCAGCAACACCAGCTCTGAAACACTAGCCAGAGCAACACCACCACCTAACATCAACCAGAGCAAGACCAGCTCTCTGACATCAGTCAGAGCAACACCAGCCAGAGCAAAACTAGCTCTGAGACATTAGCCAGAGCAACACCACCACCTAACATCAACCAGAGCAAGACCAGCTCTCTGACATCAGCCAGAGCAAAACCAGCTCTGAAACACCAGCCAGAGCAAGACCATCTCTCTGACATCAGCCAGAGCAACAATACCTCTATAACATCAACCAAAGCCAAGACCAGCCCTCTGACATTAGCCAGAAGAACATCAGTTCTGAAACACTAGCCAGAGCTACAGCACCTCTATAGCATCAATAAAAGAAACACCAGCTCTCTGACATCAGCCACAGCACCACCAGCCAGAGCACCACCAGCTCCAAAACACCAGCCAGAGCAACACCAGTTCTGAAACACAAGCCAGAGCAACAACACCTCTATAACATCAGCCAGAGCAACACCAGCTCTGAAACACTAGCCAGAGCAACAACACCTCTCTAACATCAGCCAGAGCAACACCAGCTCTATAACATCCAGTGCAAGACCAGCTTGCTAACATCAGTCAGAGCAACACCAGCTCTGAAACATCGGCAGAAGCACCACCATTTGTACAACACTCTCTATTAGCTCTACAAGCTCTATTAAATCAGCTAGAGCAACACCAGCTCTGTAACATCAGCCAGAGCAACACCACCTCTATAAACATCAATCAGAGAAACACCAGCACTATAACATTTGCCTGGAACATCATCTAAATCATGTAACCATGACAATGTGAACCTTCCAGAGATATTTATAGATATAGTTGCTGGATTGAAGAAGGTTTGTGAAGTTGATGACATCACACTTCTAAACTATTCAACAGTTTTCCGTAAAGTGAGATATCCTCCATGTTTTCCACCATGCATACCAATTTGTTTCTTTTTCTGGGAGTCTGTTTTTCTTGTAGCCCTTTTTTGAAAGTTGCCTGTGCCTACACATCAAGGTAAAACAACTGTAGTTGGATATGGATATGAATCAGCCAAATCTCCATTTCCTGTCAAAGTGGTCAGTTATTGGCTATGGTAAGCTGTGAAAGGCAATACACTCTCTGATCATAGTCAGACAGTTGGCTTGTGAGTCTATAAAAGCACCAGTTACTCATAGGCAGGCATTCAGTGGGAGTAATGTTAAGGCCTAACCAACACGGCATGAGTGTCAGCTCCAGTCCTGGAGGAACAGTGTCCTGATTTGGTGACATCCTTGCTCAAAAACACGATACATTACATCAGTTAATAACCACGATTATCAGGTTTGACTAGGAAAAAAACAACAAACCCTGCTTGCCACAGCCTGAATCACCGTCTCACAAAGTAAATAAGCCATCATTAGAAAACAAAACCTTCTGAATAAGTTACATCTTAACATCTTACATCAATAAGGTACAGCTTCATCATGGCAAACCAAGGCTGTATTATGTGAACTCACCACCAGGTTAACTCTGACGGTGACAACCAGTTTGAGCCAAGTGGGGATTTTGGAGATAATCTTGGTGATGAAGGATGCGATGGTGTCTCCGTAGTCCGGCTTGTGGAACTCAGCTTCATTCAGACCATCCACTAGGATTATATAGTCGTCCTCTGCAATCTTCCTCTCTGCAAAAATAATGGACACTTAATTTGTGTAAAATATTTCCATAAGTTGTTCTTGTTTGTTTGCTCCTGTTTATTATAGCTATTTCTTGGGTAGACATATTTAACCCCTAGTACAGTACAACAAACAGGAATAAGAAACTAGTGTCAACAGACTGTAGTCTTTATTATCAACAGAGGCAGCGAAATAGAAGTTACCATCCACCACCTGCATACTATCGTTATCTGAGAATTAGCATCACAGTTTAACCTTTACAAGTCACGTTTATTGCCGATGGCAACAAGAGCAATTCTGTGAAAGTGCACATTCTAAAATATTCATAAATACAATGTCTGTTTGTATGTAGTAGATATTAAAATTAGAATTTGTTGGAACGTTTTTGTTCAGTAGTTTTGCAGTAATAAAAACATCTTTACATTTCTGCCTTGTTTTTGTCAAAAACAAGTAAGAAGTGTAGACGCAAAAATAGAAAGTAACAGTATTAATCGAATAACTTACATATTTAATTAAACATTAATTATGTAGCTTTACTTATTTGAACCATTTTGTACTAAAAAACCGAACACTGTAATACACTGTTCTCTTCAGGAACCCTGTGTTTGAGTTAGTCTGCTGGAGGATGTCTCACCCTTGCGGAGGAGGATGAGGGGCTCCAGCACTCCGCGCCGGAAGGCTGCGGCGGGGTCCTGTACGCAGGAGCGCAGGCTCAGCAGACTCTGCAGCTGATTCTCCCTCAGCAGCAGCTCCCTGTAAGCCCCGAGCCTGGGAGCACGACACAGCAGCGCAGACACACTGTGCACAAACTCCGGCACCAGACACGTGTAGGTGTTATCAGCCTGGCAGTAGTGATACGCTACCACCTGCAGGGAAGAGAGACAGACAGTAGGGGTGTCAGTCTCTGATCTTACACTGCATCTTCAGGAAGTGATTCAATGTGTCAATAAATTTCAAATTGCATCACAATTTAATTGGATTTTTTTGGTACAAATCACAATATACTGAATACAAAAATGTGACTGGAGGAACTATTTACAAGGTAGTGAAATATGGACAATAAAAACAATACATCAATTATAAAGACTGCCTATGAATTTTATTCAGAAAATGAGCATAACCTTATTGATTATTATTATAATCAGACCTGGTAAATCAACAAAACTGCCCTAATCAGATAAACAGCACTTAAAGCTTTCATCTTTGAGACAGAGGAGAAAATTAAGCTGCTTCAGATCTGAAAGGTGTTTCTGTCCATCCTTCCACTGTGAGAAGACAACTCAGCACTATGGGTCTGAAAGGATGTGTAGCTGTCAAGCCACCACAACTGAAAAAAGCATATAGACAAAAAAGAAAAAAAAATGCAACACAAACAAGCTGCTGATGTTCCCAGAACAATGGACTGACCACCCCAGAGTCCAGACCTCAACATCACAATGTGTTTTGATTACTTGGGTTGTGAGAAATTGAAAATTCAACTTCTAAGAATGAAATTTGTAGGTGTGGAAAAAAATTCCTACACATTTCTTTAAAAAACTGAAAGTATGTCTGCTAAAAAAAGGAAGCTGTAGTAAAGCCAACCGACATATTTAATTGATGATGTATGGACTGGTGACCTGTCCAGGGTGTTTACTGCCTTCCGCTCAATGACCGCTGGTATAGGCTCCGGCTCCCCCCGCGACCCAGTAGGATAAGCAACTTAGAAAATGTGTGGTAGTTGATGAGGCTTCTGTGTAACAACATGTGTTTTCTGCTTTTTTTCCTGACGCTGGAAAATAAAATTAAATAAATTTGATGGCCTCTGACTTCGGTACAGTTTCACAGATGATATAAAAGTGTTCAATCTGAGCTGAGAAACAGATTCTTCAGTTAGAGGGTTAGGTGGGCTGTGTGGGTTTTAGAGAAACTGCTCTTTTTACACTCCACAATCAGCTTTCCTTATGAAAATGTAACCTTAACCTTTAGCACAGAGACAGATGGGATTCAAAGTTCTGTCTTTAAATTCTGTAGCAAAGTTAGAAGCCACTTGCAGAAACGCTCCGGTAAGCAGTGTACAATTTTCCGCTGCTACTAGAGCATCTTAAGCCCCCTTAAAGCTGCAGGACGCACAAACACACAGACTGCACTGAGGCGGCCGCCAGATGGCTGATTAAAAAGGCGTGACTAGGACGCTCAGCAGAGATGAAGCCCAGATGTAGACAGCAAACATGTTCCCCACACACACACAGATACGGATGAACTGGAGCGAGGTGTCAGAATTGCATGGGAGGTGCTGCTGTTCAGCCAACGTTATATTAAATTTTAAAAATGCTATCAGATGTCAGGAGGTTTTTTTTTTTAGTCAAATGGCAGAAGCGTTGAGAGATATGCAGTGTAATCTCCTGCACACTATGAACAGCAGGAGCATTCACCTCTCACTGCCTTCACAACTGCCTGTGCTCTTCACTCCACGGTCATTGATTACAAGACTACATTCACTGTGGTGTTTTGTTATCTGTCAAAAAAACTATTGATGTTTTTTTTTTTGTAGGCGTGTTTGGGGGTGGAGATTCGCTGTGAGTGGAAACCTAAGGCTGCATTCAACTAAAGCTTGCAACTGAATTTTTGACCTTTGACTAGGAAAGACCAAAGAAGATGCCCCCTCGACTGGGAATTCCTACTTGGCTCCGAGTTCAGTGTATGGGGTCATATTAACATGCTCAAACTTTCAACAGTGGTATAATATCACGTCTCTACTTTTAAATGAGATTTGCAACATACAGACACAGTAGTTGGTTAAATCTAAAGCACTGATCATAGATGTGCTATTCTGAGGAGGTAAATGCATTATGAATGGTAAAGTTATAAGTTATAACTTTAGCTTATTAGCTTATTACAAACAATACTCATTTACATGGAGGCATCCATGAGTGCGTTTACATGCACTCAGTAATCTTATCACAATCTGATTTCTGCAGTTATCTGATTATTCAAATGGTCAGGTAAACATCATATTCCGATTTCGTAGATCGGAGTAAGGTCTAGAAATCTGATTAAGAAATCTGACAAAGAGAGCTGGGTTTTCAGTAATCAGTAATCTCAGCACATGTATACTCTTACTCTGATTTCTTTCCAATTTCTCAGTCTGCACATGTGTGAACAGACGGTGGTACTGGAAATAAGGGAGCACTGTTGCCACGAGACGCAGCAAAACACTTTCGGAGTTGATGCTGAAACCAACTACATGCTTGACGAAATGAAAGATTTAAATATTCTTCATCTTCTAGATGATGTATGTTCATATTTTCAGGTAAAGTGGCTTGATGTTTTTTAAAAAAGCCGCAGTATGAAGTTTGAGTTTTACATTACATAAAATTCACGTCTTCTTCTGTGAGTTTATTGGCTCGTTGCAAAGCAGAAATCCGATTATTGCCTAAATCATGCAGACCTGGAGTTTCCCATTATCTGATCACTCAAGTGCATGTAAATGTTTTGATTGAATTACTGACAAATTCTAATTTTTGCAAGTATCGGATTCTTAAGTGCATGTAAATGCACCAAGTCTTTCCCCACTTTTTACCCTTAACCTGCAGAGGTTGAAAATTCCACAATTCCAAATTAAAACTTCCTACTTCCAAGTTCAGTCAAACACAGTAACAGCAACACAACATTTAAACACGAATGCTTGTACGAGAAAGGAAGCCAAAAAGACAACGAACTGTCCAAAGACATACTGTACTGTGTAAAAGTCAGAGACCATCCTGCATTTATTTAAATTCCAATGTAAATGGCTATTAATTAAAAGTCAAAAGGAAATATATTAAAAGGAAGAACATTTGCAAATCAAACCAAGAAGCTGCTGGTGTTCTCAGAACAATTGACTGACCACCCCAGAGTCCAGTCCCTCAATATCACTGAATGTGTTTGGGATTACTTAAATGGTGAGAAGCAGAAAATTCAATGAACGTCTGAGACTGAACTTTGGAGGTGTGGAAAACTATCCCTGCAGATTTCTGTGAAAACTGTAAGCCTCCTGAAAAGAATGGAAGTTGTAATAAAGGCAAAAAGTGGACATACAAAAAAAAATATTTAGTTGTGGAGGTTTCTGGGTAATTTTCTGTTAAACATATGCTTTCTGCTTTTTCCTGATGCTGAAAAATGAACTTGTCCCTAATGGTTGCAAAATAATTGAAGGATGGTCTCTGTAGTACTGTAGATCTTTAGAGTTGGGTTGTACAGCTCTGGATGAAAGCTGGCCACAATGATGAGTTTCTACTCAACCTTCCTGAACCCTGACATGGCTGACTAAAGCCCTGCCCCTTGCTGTGTCCTGGCTGATGTGGCATCTGGCACAGTGACATTAGAGCACATTTTGTTAACAGTTCAACTTGCGCATAGCTGTACATCGGTGTCTGTTGTCTGTCAACGTGCTGTGCTAGTTTTCACGTTAGTGTATTTTTGCGTGCGCACCTTGCTGGCCAGACGTTTGACGGCCTCCTCTCTGTGTCGGTGTGTGTCTGGAGTGGGTGGACAGCTGCTGCTGCGCATGGGACTCTGAGCAGGTGGGTTCAGCTGGTTGCCCTGGCTAGACGGCTCACCTCCTCTACTACCACCTGCCACACACACACACACACACACACACGAACACACATACACACAAATACATTCACATTACAACTGCACAACAGTCCACTACAATGAAGATATGTTAAGATCAAACTATTCTATCCCAATTTTCTATATAGCCTGAAGAAAATGAGGCAGCTAGCATTAGCAGCTAGCATAAAGTTTTATGCTCACTGCATTTCATACAGCGGGAAACGCTCTGGGCCTCTTTCAGAGAAGGCCCAATGATTTCTGGAAGCTGAAAAAACATCTGTAATTTTTTTGTTAAAAATTATTGTGGTAATACTCTTATTATTATTGTTTAATTTGGGTTAAAATCCTGAAAGACAAAACTGTAGATAGAGCAAAGCACGCTCTCCTATTGATCAAGATCAAGACTCTGTAGACAGGCTTACCAGCTGTGTGTCAGATTTCTCTCAGTGGATGTCACAAAATTTCTTACAACTTCATAACAAAAAAACTAAAATACTGATACTTGGTTCTCTGAAAATGGTTCTTTAGCTTCATATACCAAATCTGTAGTACGAAACCTGGGTGTGATCTTAGACCCGCGTGTAAACACAGTCGCCTTTTATCATTTGAGAAATATTGCTTAAATTCTGCCTTTTCTGTCTCAGAGCGACGCAGAGAAACTTGTAGAAACAAGTAGCATTGATCACTGTAACGATCTTCTTACTGAACTTCCTAAGAAAACAGTACATCCTTTATAACAAAATGCATCAGCATCCTAACAAAAACAAAACAGAGAGAGAACTGCACTGGCTACCTGTATCGTTTAGGATAGATTTTAAAGATCTGCTATTAGTTTTTAAGCCTCTAAATGACCTTAAAGCATCGCTTACATCATAGAGTGTCTGTCTGTTTATGTTTATGTTCTGCAGATGTTAGATCTGCAGATACTGACCTTCTACCAATGTAAAATACACTGCAAAATTCTGTAAAATACAGAACAGGCCTTTTCAGTTATTATGCTCCTAAATTGTGGAACTCAATTTCACCTTCTATTAGACAGTCAAGCTCAGTTCACACTGTTACTGTCACACTGCCTGGGATTGATCCCCAGCCTACAGTATAGAAGGCAGAGGTGTTACTCACTACACTATACCAACCACTATACTATCCACTCCACCAAATTTCTACATCTCTTTGGTATTTCTTTTTAACTTGATCTGTCATTGTCTTGTCTATTACTATAAAACATTATCACCTGTTTGTAAAGCACTTTAGGCTGCCATCAGAATCAGTAACTAACTACCAACATATTTAGGAAGTGACAGTGGGATCAACCAATCGGGTTTGGATTTACAATGGTTGAGACAAATTTTGTGACACAAAAATATCACTGTAGGTCTTCTGAAAGTTCTAGATACATCACTGACTGTGAATTTAGGTAATGGCCAACCAAGTTTCAGTCAGTTGTTACAAATGTAAAAGAGTGGTGGCAGCTCTTTGCCAGGAATCTTTACTGAAGGTGTCACTGTAAAACTACAATAAACAAGGTCAAATATATGTTAATGCCTCTTAAATCTTCGATTAAAACGTGTTGCTTTTTACAACCTTTAAATGTCTGTGTTTAGTCTAGAAAGGCCAAGAAATGTTTGTGTGCACCAGTGGTAGCTTAGTGCTAACATACTATTAGTCATCAGAGGTTTTCTGATAATTATGACCCAAACTGAAGGCTTTGCTCTGCTAATCATGGCTTACCACTGATTTTATGAGTTATGAGTTATAGCATGAAATTGTTTCAAAATGTAAAAAAAAAAAACAAAAACAAATGATCAGTTATTGGTATTGGACACAGCATGTTAATAATCAGTTATTGTTAATGGCCCAAAAATTATATATTGGTGCAGCCCTAGTTAAGGTACAAACTCACATCACTGCATATTCAAATATACAAATCAATATGTGGTTATTAAAGCAGCATGTGTCTCAGCATGCCAGTCCTGATGTTAAGGACTGTGTAGGCTATCTGCAGCGGAGTGTGTGGTAGTGAGTGACTCTTACTCTTGGGGGACGCTCCAGGGCTGTTGGAAGCGATCTGTCTCATCCGGCCTCCGTGACAGCTCAGAGCCACCAGCCTGGAGATCACTGCCGTCTTTCCAAAGCCTACACTGCCCACAACGACGGCACCCCGCCCCGGTGCCACCTCACCGCTGCCCATCAGCACCTCCTCCAGACGCTGGAACAGCCAATCACGGCCCATAAACACAGCGTCCATGGTGACGCTGGGCACCTCGAACAAGAGGGGTTTAAGCATGATGTCTACTGGCTTGTATGGGGTGAATCGAGCTGAAAAAGATAAATAAAACACAGACATGAGGCTACTTAGAATAATAATTTATATTGTGTTAGGTGTGACAAAAACACTATATGAAGATAATACGATTCAGTCAAAAATAAACAAAAACATTTACATGTTTTGATATATGTTTTTAGCCCTTTACATCCTGAGACCTGTACTTGGGTCCACACTTGATGTTTATATGTTATTTTCATAATAGATAATGAATAATTCTATTTTTTAAAGGAACGCACTTAAACACAATCTTAATCTGCTGCATCTGTAACATACAGAGAATTACTATGGAAAACAATTTCCTTGAACTGAGTACAAATTTAAAACAGAAGATCAGGGCTGACCCTAACAGCATTTTACAGGCTTTGAACGCACAATCCTGAATCATCCTTTGAAGCATTTTGAAGCTTTTTTAGTCATCCGTCTAATGGAACAGACACACTTCCTTTTTAATCACAGCTTTTTTTTTAAGTTTTTAATCTCACATCCAACAAAACACAATCCTTTTTTGACTTGCCATGTTTTTTATGGCAGGTCTCTTTTTCCTTTGTGCCTAAATGAAACTCCACAGAGATCCAGTCAAATCAGATACTTCCACTTTCTATAGCATTCTAAACTACAACCCCAATTCCAAAAAGGTTGGGAGACTGTGTAAAATGTAACTAGATGTAAATACGAATGATTTGCAAATCTCATAGACCCATATTTTATTCACAATAGAACGTAGAACACATTTTATCATTTCATGAAAAACATTAACTCATTTCGAACTTGATGGCAGCAACGCATCTCAGAAAAGTTGGGACAGGACTGTGTCTACCATTGTGTAGCGTCCCCTCTTGTTTTAACAACAGTCTGAAAATGTCTGGGAACTGAGGAGACCAATTGCTGGAGTTTTTGAGAGAGGAATGTTGTCCCATTCTTGTCTGATGTAGGATTCTAGCTGCTCAACAGTCCTGGGTCTTCATTGCTGTATTTTTCGTTTCTTGATGCACCAAATGTTTTCAACTGGTGAAAAGTCTGGACTGCAGGTAGGCCAGTTCCGGACTCTTCTTCTGCGAAGCCGTGCTGTTGTGATGGATGCAGTATATGGTTTAGCATCGTCTTGCTGAAACCTTGTCTGGATGTGAGCATATGTTGTTCTAAAACCTCTATATATTGTTCAGCATTGATGGTGCCTTTCCAGATGTGTAAGCTGCCCACACCATAGGGACTAATGCAACCCCAAACCATCAGAGAAGGTTTGAACTGTGCGCGGATAACCCGCTGAGTTGCAGGACACGGCGTTCATGGTTTCCAAAAAGAATTTCAAATTTTGATTCATCTGACCACAGAGCAGTTTTCCATTTTGCCTCAGTCCATTTTAAATGAGCTTTGGCCCAGAGAAGATGACGGCGTTTCTGGATCATGTTGGCATATGGCTTCTTCTTTGCATGATACAGCTTTAACCTGCATTTGTGGACTACACAGCAAGTTGTGTTCACAGACAATGATTTCTGGAAGTGTTCCTGAGGCCATGCAGGGATTACCAGTACAGAATTACAGAATCATGCCTGTTTTTAATGCAGTGCCGCATAAGGGCCAGAAGATCCTGAACATCCAATATTGACCGTCAACCTTGTCCCTTGTGTACAGGGATTTCTCCAGATTCTCTGAATCATTTGATGATATTATGTACTGTAGATGGTGGGATGTCCAAAGTCTTCACAATTTTACATTGAGGAACAGTTTTTCGCAGATTGGTGAACCTCTGCCCGTCTTAGCTTCTAAGAGACTCTTCCTCTCTAAAATGCTCTTTTTATACCCAGTCATGTGAGTTAGTTGCAAATTGTTCCCCCAACTGTTTTTTATTAGTACCATTTACTTTTCCAGCCTTCTGTTGCAGCCTTGTTCCTGTCCCAACTTTTTTGAGATGCGTTGCTGCCATCAAGTTCTAAATGTGTTAATGTTTTTCATGAAATGGTAAAATGTCTCACTTTTAACATCTGATACGTGTTCTATGTTCATATGTGAATGAAATATGGGTCTACGAGATTTACAAATTATTGCATTCTTTTTTTATTCACATTTATTTACATTTTACACAAAAAAATTTATTTACATTTTTTCCCAACTTTTTTGGAATTGGGGTTGTTCAATAACTGCTCTGTCTAAAGGCCTTTGCTAGCAAAATCTATTTCAGGCTGTAATTTTTGGCTTAAAAATGACAAAGCTTTGAATAATAAACAAAGCAATGAATTCCAATGTAACAGAAGAACACTCGAATATTCAGACTGTTTGGGTCAGCTCTACAGAAATCAGTGACTAGTCTGTGTGAGTCAACCAGTCTGGCAGAAATGAGATTAAAAACACTGGAGTGTTCTGCAAATTTTAATTACAAATAGGTCCAGGATTGAAGGGGTTAAAAGCAGGTAGAGGTTTGAAGTAGGTGTTTAATTGCAGTGCAGATGGGAACTGAGTGATTGTGATACCTTTAGCCTCCTGGTTGCGGCCGCTGGTATGCGCACCGTGCCAGGGCCCTCGCACAGACGAGCGCATCGGAGCATTCCTCTGTTCATCCAGATACTTCAGCTCCTCCAACTTAGTGCTGCTCGTAGCTGGAGAGAGAGAGAGAGAGAGAGAGAGAGAGAGGGAGAGAGAGAGAGAGAAAGACAGAGATAAAAGAGAGAGAAAGAGAGAGAGAAAAGAGAGAGACAGAGAGAGACAGAGTGAGTGAGAGAGATACAGATAGGAAAAAGAGAAAGAGAAGCAAGATTGAGAGAGAGAGAGAGAGAGAGAGAGAGAGGGAGAGAGAGAGAGAGAAAGACAGAGATAAGAGAGAGAGAAAGAGAGAGAGACAGAGAGAGACAGAGTGAGTGAGAGAGATACAGATAGGAAAAAGAGAAAGAGAAGCAAGATTGAGAGAGAGAGAGAGAGACAGAGATGAAGAGAGAGACAGAGAGTAAAAGGCAGAGGAAAGAGAATGAGGGGGGACAAAGAAACAAAGAGAAAGAGAGGGAGAGATAGAGAATGAAGAAGAGAGAGAAGGTGAGAGAGGGAGAAGATAAAGAAAAAGGAAAAGAGGGAAAAGCAGAATGTGGGAAAGAGAGAGATTCAGAGAGAGACCGGGAGAAAAGGCAGAGAGGAAAAGAAAGAAAAAGAGGGGGAGAAAGAGAGGGGGAGATAGAAACGTGAGAGAGAGAATGAGGAAGAGAGAGAAAAGAGAGATACTCATTAAGCTTCACTGTGCTTTTGCAGCACTGACTGTAAAACAGAAACAAAAGTTCTCAAAGCTCCAGAGGAGAACAGCCTAGAAATTAAAGACCCCAATTAAAGTCCCACAAGTACAAAGTGCTCCACAGCCTCAGCACTTCTGAAGCCCAGAGGACGTGTTGCGCTTAGCATTTTGTGTGTGTGTGTTTTGTTCAGAAAGAGCGAGAGAGAGAGAGAGAGAGAGAGAGAGTTTTAGAGCAGTGTGTTTGGCTGGCACTCTGTCAGCGGAGTACAGAGATTACACACACCGCCGCTGTGCTGTTACCAGGCAGGCATTCACGATCTGCCACTGCATTCATTGAATACAGAATAACACATGTCCACACCCACACACCCACACACACTGTACTGCACAGTGCAAAAGTCAGAAAGCACCCGTCATTTATTTCATTTCCAGTCAAAACAGCCATATTCAATTTTCAGGAGATCTCACTGAGGAGATTAGATATAGGATAATCCACTTGCATAAGGAAGGAGAAAGTCAAGGGAAATAAGTGAAAACAAACAGGAGTTTCCAAAACTGGAGTTCAAAAAATGATTGAAAGCTACAGAGAAAATGAGACTCTAATAATCATGCAAGACCTGGTAGACACCAAAACTGACCCCATCACATAAACAGCGCTTAAAGCTTTCATCTCTGAGAGAGAGGAGAAAATCAAGCTGCCTCAGATCTGAAAACATCCACAGGTGTTTCTGTCCATCCTTCCACTGTGAGAAGACAAGTCAGCGCTATGGGTCTGAAAGGATGTGTAGCTGTCAAGAAGCTCTTACTGAGAACAAAACAGACAAAAAAAAACAAATAAAGAACCTCAGAGTCCAGATCTCAACATCACTGAATGTGTTTGGGGTTACTTGGATTGTGAAAAGCAGAAAATACACCCAACTTCTAAGACTGAATTTTGGATGTGTGAATAAATATATCTGCAGATTTCTTTAAAAAACTGAAAGCAAGCCTCCTAAAAGGAATAGAAGCTGTAATGAAGGCAAAGTGTCTATACACTAAATACTGAAAATGTGATATTATATTTAGGCGACAGTGTGATTTTCTGTTAAATATATTATTTTTGCTGATGCTGAAAACTGAATAACTTGTACATAATGGCTGTTTTACCTGGGTATTAAATAAATGAAGGGTGGTGTCAGACTTTTCCACAGTACTGTAGATATACAATGAATTCAAAAGCAAAAATAAAACCACAAAAAACACAAACACAAAGCTACAGTCACTCATTCATTCACTCATTTCATTCATGTTTTTCTGCCATGCTGTGTTCAGCCGCACCCCCTTTATCCCTTATCCCCCTGCGTAATCTAATCTGGCTGAAAGGCGTAATCTCTGCAGATGGATGAGCGTCACGTTGCACTCATTTGTGGGGTATGGAGGGGTGGGGATGAGGGGAGGGTTTAGTTGGGAATGGAGCTGTCAGATGGCTGTTTGCGGTCCTCTTAGGGACACATCAGGCTTTTTCTCTCCCTTCATCCTCCTGTTCTGGTGTAGCCTGGCTCTAGGGCAGCTCTTAGGGGAGCAAGGGGGGTAGAAGTGAAGTCCACCAAGATGTGGTCTCAGCTGGGAAAGATACCAGGGCTTTGCCACGATACACAGTCCATAGATGAGAGGGAGTTAAAGATACACTACGGTGTTTTAACATACACACACAAACAGGAAACAAATTAAAGTAACCCAAGTCACCCAAAAAGCTAAGCTGTGCCCTGGCACAGATTCTAAGGCCCAATCTCATTTCTATTGTCTATTGGGTGCCCCAATTTTTGTTGAGATAGAGGGGTAGGGCGAAGTGTTAGGGCCACAAGGCTCTCCAAACAGAGGTTTTTCAGAGGTACACTCTAAACAGTGTTATGAGAAAAAAAAAAGAAAAAACAGCAAGATGGCTGCACAGGAGACCAAAGAATCCCACAAATGTGAGTATTTTCTCTGCAAATAATTACAATAACCACTGTATTATCTTAGTTTAATGTTGTTTCAATGTATTATGGTCCTTTTCTTCATAATAAGCATAAAAAATCGCTAGTAATAGGCCAATGTCTTGGTAGATATTTGGTAGATAATTTCCCATTCTTTAGTTATATGAAGCTGAAGTCAGATATTCACCAGATTCTTGTTCAAATTTTCCCCTTCCACCTTAAATGGTTCAGCAGTTCTGATGCCTGACACCATTTAAGATGGAAGGGGAAAATTTGAACAAGAATCTGGTGAATATCTGACTTCAGCTTCATATAACTAAAGAATTAGGGGTGGGAGATAATAAATAATTGTCCCCCCTCTCTGAAGGCATATGATTCCCAAAATGTAACTGCCGCACTGTAGACGACTCCAATCCAGATCAAAATGTATTATCATAATGATAAAGGTGATCAGTCAGAATACTTCTGTATTGTTTTGGAGTGACCCTTACATCTAAGCGGACAAGTGGAACCATTACTACAAAATGCTCCCCACAGCATAACAGAGCCACTGGCCCTCTTACTATAAAGGTCAAGCATTCAGGCCTCTACCTGCACACGCACGCGCCCACTTGATGAGAATGTAATGAAGGATGGTTCATCTAATGAATGAGCATCAAGCTCGATAAAGGTGCGCTTTCGACCACAATTTCCAACCCTATTTGCTGACGTATTTCCCATAGAGCTGCATAAAGCGCAGATGACTCTTTAGTCACGATTCCTAGAGAAATACTGTGACTCAAGCTCCTGCTGTCCGTGTCCCAATAATGATTCCTCTTAAAAAGTCTCTTAGTTCTTTTCCTTTTGCCAACTTAATCCACAATGCAGGTCACCTAGGCCCACTCAGCATTCTGATACATGCCACTGAGCATGGAAGGAAGATAATTGCTTAACTGTATGCCTGTTGTACACCTGTCTGGAAATATTTGCACTTGTTATGTTTCTTCACTCGTTTATCCAGGTGTTTCCTTCAATTTGTCACCTGTCTGTACCTGGAAGTAAAAGTCTTTAAGGGGTATTTCTGTAATAATGTAGTTCATCATGGTACCATATAGTACCCCCCTTAAACTGCCTGCTGAAGCTAACAAGAAATCGTACGACTTATTATTCAGTACCTACAACTGTGATGGCTCTGTTGGGGTCAGACGCTCGCAGAGCAGGCTGTGGTTAAAATGTTTAATAAAGGGTAATCCAGAAATGAAGTACAAGAGCAGGAAAAGAGTCATACACAGGCAAACGGGGCAATACAGGCTAAGCTAAGTCAAAGTGTAAGACATAACAAAAGGTCACAACACGAGAGAGGCAAAAAAGGGTCAGGCTAGAATTGTAAATGAGAAAAATGAGCAAGAAAACAAGCCGGGAAGTCAAACACTGGAACAAAAGGCTTGGTAATGCAAAGGAGACTGATACAATACTTCACAAGGAGGCGAAGGAAACAAACAGGTCATATGGGTACATGAACAGGTGACAACAGTCAATAATCAGGTGAACTGGAGGGTGGATAGGTAGATGTCCGAAAGTCCGTGGTCATGTGACCCCCCAGAGGATTCTGGGAGTTTGAGTTCTGGACTGAGTGAGGGGTGTTGGTCTCTATGTGGGAGGCATGACAGAAATAATAGCAGTAATAGATAAAATGATAAAAAGGTTGGACACATTTAAATTAAGTATTCAATGTAATACAAATGATGTAATAGAAATGAATGGAAATGATGTACACATCTGAATTATGTACATTCAGTGCATTACTTTTTGGTGAACAGTATATTCATTGGTAATTACTTTGAAGCAAATATGTAAGTCATGTATCTATGAGAGCGGGCAATTTCGAGTTTTTGGCCTAGGGTGTGTCCACCTTTCCCCTTTATTACAGCTTCCATTTTTTTTGGGAGACCTGCTTTCAATTTTCTGCACACTGCACAAGTTCAGTCTTAGAAGTTGGTTGCACTTTCTGCTTTTCACAATCTAACTAATTCCAAACAAATGCAGGCAGAGTCCAGCTGAAAACAATACACCTAAAGCATGTCAAGACCGAAGTAACTGGCCAGTTTGAGTGTCAGTGAGCTGATGAATTAAATCTGCTGTGCATCGTTCATGTCTTTCTGTCCAGCACACTGTTGAATAGCCAACAATTCTGCTGAAACGTATGACATCTCCAGGAATATTTTTCCACACCTCCAAGTCTTTGAAGATGGCTGCATTTTCATTTGAATGCTCAAATACTTTAATCCTAATTTAACATGTACTCAGCTGGAATCCAAAATCATTACAATACACAGTAACGGTCTTTATGTATATATAACGTTTGTCATGCCGATTTTCCATCAGAAACACTTTGCCATAATATTTTCCCAGCAGCGGTATTCCAGCGCCTGACTAACTCTTCTGGCGAGTTCTAACTGCAGCAGTAGGAAATGAAAGCCGCACATTTCCTTGCCTTCCAACAGCAGCGGCAGAATCAGTGAGGCGCTACAGTGAGCTCTCTCCTCTGGGACACACACAGACACACACGCTCTCACACACGAGGAAGAAGCTCCTATTCTTTCACAAAACACACACACACATATATATATATATGCAGACAGCTGTGGAGGGACAGCAAATCCCAAAAGCTGTCCGCTTTCACGAAAAGACACGAGAATACATCCCTTAAGATGGTTTTAAAAAATGAAAGTATGGAAAGGAACGTCTACAAAGATACAAACTTACATCTATTTCACATTACACCGAAACACAGGCACAGAAGAGCTTCTTTAAAGGGTTCAATCATTAAACCCTTTAAATCCAAGCTTATTCAGTTATTAAGCTTTGTTGTTCAGTAACTTTTATGAATTATTCAGCATCTACTATAAAACTAAAGACCACACCAAACAAAATCATGCTTGATTTCTTACAGTCATAGTGACAGGATTACTAACATCATACATCTGAGTCATAAACAAGCAGTTCTGTTTTGTATTTGCATGTCTATTATAGTCATTTAGAGCAGATTTTGGAATTAATATGTTTCACGGCCTCTGAAACACCACGATAAATGAATATATATAGGTCGAGGGTGAAGGAGAGTGAGCATAGGTGTTTTCTTCCAGGTGGTGCAGTACAGTTATAAAGTAAAGTGCAGTCAAGGTTATTCAACGTTCAGTTTCAGAAAGAACAGAACAGCAGAAAACAGAATTATTTCTGTTTAATTTATTATTATTATATTATTAACAGAATTTCACAGAGGCCAAACCACCTAATATATCAGATTTTTCAGTATTTAGTGTGTCCAATCTTTGCATTTATTACAGATTTAATTCTTTTCTTTTATTACTTGCTTTCAGTTTTTCAAAGAAACCTGCAGGGATATTTTTCACCACTTTTTTCCAAGTTCAGTCTTTCAGAATCCAAGTAATCTCAAGCAATGATGTTCAGTAAGGTTCAGTGAGTGCATTTCTGCAGTTATCTGATAATTCAAGTGGTCATGTAAACAGCATATTCTGATTTCTTAGATCTGAGTAAGGTCTAGAAATCTGATTAGTATTCCGATAAAGAGAGCTGGATTTTAGCTCAGTAATCAGATTTCTCAGTGCATGTAAACTCTTACTCTGATTTTTTTCAGATTTCTCAGTCTCTCTTGTGCAAAACAGATCACTGTACCGGAAATAAACAAGCAGTGTTATTGCGAGACGCAGCAAAACACTTTTTAGAGCTACGCTGAAACCAAATACATGCTTGAAAAAATGAAGTATTCAAATATCTTTCATCTTCTAAATGATATATGTTCATATTTTCAGGTAAAGTGGCTTAATGTGTTTTAAAAAAAAGCTGCGACATGAAGTTTGAGTTTTACATTATGTTTACGTCACGTTTTCTCCTGTGAGTTTATTGGCTGGTTGCAAAGCAGAAATCTGATTACCCGGAGTTTCCTCATTATCTGGTTGCTGAAATGCATGTATTACTGACAAAATCTGATTTTCTGCAGTTTCTGTAACACAACGGTGTTGAGGTCTAAGCTTTATGGTGCTCAGTCCATTGTTCTGAGAACACCAGCACCTTCTTTGTTTGCAAATGTTATTCTTTTTTGTCTATTTCCTTTTCTCAGTAAGAGCTTCTTGACAGCTACACATCCTTTCAGACCCATAGCGCTGAGTCATCTTCTCACAGTGGAAGGATGGACAGAAACACCTGTGGATGTTTTCAGATCTGTAGCAAGAGTGGAAAGCTTTTAAGCTGTTTATCTCATGGGGACAATTTAGGTGTCTACCAGGTCTTGCATGATTGTTTGAGACTCATTTTCTCTGCATCTTTTTATCGCTTTTTTTTTTTAAACTCCCATTTTGTCTTTTGCAGAGTGCTTTACATTTGTGATCACGCATTTGGTTGTCATTATCACTGAGAAAGCACCAAGTGCCACTCACTCACACTTGTTAAACCTGTAAAAACTATGGAGAAGATTCATACTACATCCAAATCATGAAAATCATGAATGTCATTAGCATTTACAGTTAAGCGTATCATCAAGTAAAACCCGAGTGGGATTAGATACGACTAATTTCGGGAAGAAAAAAATAATCCAGCTCAAACAGATCTTAACATGTAAGTTATACAGTTTAATGTAGAGTAACCTAAAGGGCTTAATGTATTAAAAAGGAAGTGATGCAATCGCTAACTGACCTGCCACTGAGTTGGGTCGTGGCATGACCAGTGAGGTGCTGTGGTAGGGGGCGGGTCCGTCTGAAGGGGAGGAGGCCGGCGGTGGTCCTTCAGCAGGCACAGTCTTGGGCTGGATGTCGCTGGCCGCCGCAGGATCTACTGCAGGGACGGGAGCGGACGGCGGAGGAGCATGGTGACCACTGTCCCTCAGAGCCGCACCACCACCGCCATCTTTACCCCATTCCAGACTAGAACCACAGCGCTCCTCGTTCTCACTAGAACTGGTGACTGTAGCTAAAGAAGAGAGAGGGAGAGAGAGGAAGAGAGAGGACAGACAGAGGAGAAGGACACAGAAGATAGAGAAGAAAGGACAGAAAGGAGAGGGCAGGATAAAAATAGTGGTTAGAATCATGACTCCACAAATGAATTAACCCCTTATGCTGCAGGCTGATTATTCAGTTATTAATCCTGAGACTTATTATCCAGTAACTACTATACATTATTCAGTGACTACTATAAAACTAATATGTAAATTATGCAATTAGAAGAGTGCAGAATTTGAGGTGTGGGCCACATACAGTCCCCTGAAGTTTAAAGAGTTTAACCCTTCTAGCTGTATCAGCAGCAAAAGGCTTTAAAATAGTGAAATATTTGTGATAAAAGTCATAAAAGTAATCGCTGGCGAGTGTTTGCTTTGTACACTTGTCTCTTTGACCTTTCCTTCCTGCATCCAAATAAAAAGCACTATTTTGGGGGGAAACAAAAAAAGCACTGGTGTCCTACTTCAAGAAAGCTCAGGCAGACCTGAAATAAAGACAAGGCCGTCCCAGTTTCACCAGAGCGCACCTCAGGCTCCGGGATATTACAGTTAGCAGTGAGCAGCAGAAAAAAAACCTGGGTTTTGACATGAATAGGCTCTATTTTACTAAGAGCCAAGCAAGACCACAATAAATGGAGAAATTCCTCAAGTGCTCTGAATCACGGAAAGTGGGAGTATGTGAGCGCCTGTGTGTGCTTGACTGTATCAAAGAACCTGCTGGATAAAATATGTGCCATACGCCGTTGTGAAGGTACTTGCAAAGAAAGATTATGCAAATGTCCAGCATGTAGTTCCTGTCATGACGTCTATACACTTATACTTGTCACTTAGATGTTGGCTGCACTTAAGTCTGTCAGACAGGACATAATAGGAAAAGAAAAGCATGGACATCAGCTTTTTCTAATGCTCTGTGTGCCTAAGCATAGTGGTTGTGATTTCAGTGTAAATTAGGGTGGATTTTACCAAGAAACAACGTAATAAGCACTGTAAAGTATGCGAATACTCCAGTGTTTCCCCACCTAATCTCTGGAAAAGAGCAGAGAACGCTTTGACTCAAAACACATGTATAATAGAAGTCAATGGCCATTTGCTTCAGCGCTTGTGGCTGCATGCATAAAACATCTTACAGGGCTCATGTAATGGAAAACCTAATTTTCTAGGATTTTTTGGAATAGGAGTTTGATATTGTGCATAAACATTGCTAAAGTTTCAAAGCATAACTTTCAGAGCTCAGAGAGAAACTAAGTTGCTCGTTTTGAACGAACTGTTTTGCAACACATTTACATACATCCGCCTATTCGACTTAACTCTACCTATTTACACTGAAGTTATAAAGAGTGTTTCAGTCTGAACTGCTTTCTGAAACGTGCTCAGTGCAGACCAGCCAATCAGAACAGCGATCATTTGCATCATTTCATTCAGCTAAAATCTGAGAAGGTCCAGTTACATCAAATTTCTAGCTAACAAAGGTCCAGATAAACAAACTAACATAAGTAAAAGGCAACTACGGCTACATTTAAATGCTTAACTGATAATAACAGGGTGTTTCCTGCCTTCTCCCCAGTGACCGTTGGGATAGGCTCCAGCTCCAGCTCCCCCCGCAACCCAGGAGGATAAGTGGCTTAGAAAGTGTGTGTGTGTGTGTGTGTGTGTGTGTGTGTTGGTTGTATTTTGAATATATTTTTATAGCCTATTGAGAATTTTAACATTGCAAGGTCACTGACCTTTTTAAATACAGAAATAGGCAAAAGAAAAACTCTTAAAAGCTTAAATATCTTTAAAGTTGTTTGTCCACAAAAGAAAAAATCCTGTCTTTTCATAAGATCAAAAAATAAAATAAATTAAAAATAAAATTACATCAAAATGAACAACAATAAGGGCCGTACTAAATGAGCGTGTCATGCTCTTGTGCTGTCAGGGAATGAATGAGGGATCTTTCATGTGAAGCTCTGGGTTTATTGTATTTGTCCTCAAAACTGAATTTTGTTGGTAGGTTAATTCAAAAGGAGCGTTTTGTTTCACCGCACTTTATATGTCCAGTTTTGACGAGCGCCACAGACTCTAACCACAAGACAACATCAGTTTTGACTTTGAAACAGAGAGAAAAATGTAAAGTTCTCTGTTAATTCACTTTTAACACTGTTCTGTCGACTTTCTTGCTTCACTACTCAGGCCAGAAATAGTAAACCAAATTAAAATATCTATTAAAATATGTTAAATTATTTGCTTTCTGACCTGTTATCTAGCCCTGTTGTCTCTGTTCTGATGAGCTGCCTTTGGCTAAATCGTTTAGATAAATTCAAGAGTGAATGAAGTGGAACACAGGTCTGCTACAGAAGCTGTGCATGTTTATATCACTGAAATGTGACCATTTCTTACATACGTTAATCAGATTTGTACAGAATTCTTTCAAGTGGCCAGTTTGATTTGCTGGGGTTGGGGGTGCCTTGGGGGGGGGGTGGAGCCTATACAAGCACTCACTGGGCAAAAGTCAGGAAACACCCTGGACAGGTCGCCAGCCCATCACAGGGTGCCCTCTAGCTAACGAGCCCTTTTTTAAATATTGCTGTTGTCGGAACAAAACCTTGTATCTTCAAAATGGTAACTTTACAGGAGAAGGAAAAAAACATACTCTACTTTTAATGTCAGTCAATGAAACCAGACATTTTTTTAAGTCATTTTGGGACGTTTATTTTGGTCCATGAAATTTGCACACAATGTAAAAGGCAACAGGGATTTTCCAATGATGTCAAAAACTGAAAAATGACAAAAATGGAGATACAAGGTTTTGTCCCGACAGCAGTGCTATACAGTTTTAAAGCATAAAAAAGCACAGTAACAAAAACTGCCTGCTTAATTCAAAGGGATAAAGAAAAGTATGATAAAAAATAGGTAATGTTAAAAACTGAATCATCTTTATGTGCCCTTAAAGATCAATACTTTCCACTAGATTTCCCTGAAGTGACTTTATGCAACTTACTTAAGGTGATGATACGTATGAAGAGGCAAAACTTAAGATGTTCCAGGATGTTAAGGAGTATTCTCTTACGACAATCTCTGCTATCAGCGAGAGACTCAACGTGACTGTGGCTTTACCACTTTACAGCGCTCTTAATGGCACGCAGGCAGTAGAGTGAGGGCTCAGTGTGGTACAGGCATGCTGGCTGTGTGTGTGTGTCTCACCGATGATGCCGCTGTCTTTGCTCTCCAGTGTAGAGCTGGGAGTGGTGGTGGTGGTGGTGGTGCTCGTGGTGGTGGTGCAGGGTCCAGAGCGGCACAGAGGGGGTCTCTCTGTGGAGCCGGAGCTCAGGGGCAGGCTGGAGCATGGGCTTTCAGCGCTGGGAGACGCTGTACTGCTGGTCAGAGTGGAGCACGGACTCGCCCCCTGACTACTGACTGTACACTGCAGGGAGAGAGAGAGAGAGAGAGAGAGAGAGAGAGAGAGAAAGAAAAATTGAGACAAAGATGAGAGAGATGAAAGAAGAAAGAAAATGTTGAAGAGAGAACAGTTGGAAAGGCAAATGAAAGGAAGTGAGCGAGAGAAGAATGAAAGGAAAAAGAAAGGAAGAGAGGGTGAAAGAAAGAACGAGAGAAAGAGAAAAAGAAAGAATGAGTGAGACAGAAGGAAAAGAGAATATAGAGAAAGGAAGAGAAAGAGAGAGAAATGAAAAAAGAATGAGAGAGAAAAAAGAAGAGAGAAGTGAAAGAAAAAAGAACGAGTGAGGGGAAGAAGAATAGAGAAAGAGGAGAAAGAAAAGACAAAAAAGAGAGAATAGAAAGAACAAGACAGAAAGAGAGAGACAGTAGTAAGAAAGAAAGAGGTAAAAGAAAAAGGAAAGTGAATGAGTGAGAAAGAGGGAGAGTAGAAAGAAAGAATAAAAGAGAAGTAAAAAAGAAAGAATAAGTGACAGAGAGAGGGAGGAGTAGAGAGAGAAAAAAGAAAGGAATTAAAATGTAAGGTGAAAGAAAGAATGAGAGAAAAAGAGAAGGAAGGAGGAAAAGAACAAAAGGCAAAGGGAGAGAGAGATGAAAGAAAGAAAGAAAGAAAGAAAGAAAGAAAGAAAGAAAGAAAGAAAGAAAGAAAAGATGAGTTGAGTGAAAAAAGAATATGAGAGAAAAGAGAAATATGAGACAGGTGTAAGAAAAAAGGAAAGAATGAGAAGAGGGAAGAAGTGAAAGAGAGAAAGTGAATGAGAGAGAGTGACGGAAGTGGGACAAAGGTGAATGAAAGAAAGAAAGGAAGTGAGAGAGAGATAAAGAAAGAAAAACAAGAGAGAGAAATCAAGAGAAAAGGAGAGAGAGAAAGAGAGAGATGGGAAAGGGAGAGAAAGAGACAGAGAGAGAAGGAGAAAGAGAGAGAGAAAGGGAGAGAAAAAAGAGAAGGAGAAACAGAGAGAAAAGGGGAGAGAGAGTGAGAGAGAAAGGGAGAGAAAGAAAAAGAAAGAGAGAGAGAGAAAGGGGAAGAGAGAGAGAGAGAAAGAGAGAAAAGGGAAGAGAGAGAGAGAAAGGGAGAGAGAAAGAAAGGGGAAGAGAGAGAGAGAGAGAGAGAAGAGAGATAGAGGGGAAGAGAATGAGAGAGAGAGAGAGAGTGAGAGAGAGAGAGAGAGAGAGAGATTATTTAAGCTTCACTTAACAGTCCAGTCACTTCTTTAGTCAGTGTAGTTTAACTCTAATGAGCTCTATGAGGCTGCCGTATCTAGAGAGTAATAAATGCTAACAGCCATAGAGAAAAGCACGTCATATAAAACTAATCTCCCAGCCATGAATTAAGCCTAGTCTTGGACTAAACTACAGTGCCAATACTAAATCACCACTGGAAAGTCCAGGTTTAGGCTTAATCTGGGTCTGGAAAACCAGCCCATAGTATTATAAACCACATAAGCATAAAAGATTACATAACACAGCCCAGTGTGGTTTATGGGAAATGTATAATGATTCTGGCATGCAGTTCACACAATGGCTGGTAGCTTCCATTACTTGTTCGCTACATTAGCCTCGTAGCTCCAGTGCAAAACTAAAGACACAAGCTTTGGACACCAAACACAGCTGCACAACTAAAACAAGCTTAATACCATTTCCACAGTACAACAATAGACACACACTCAAACATGGCATGTATTAACGCCTTGTGTCTTCATGTTTTAGGGTTTACTCAGATATGTTAGAATATAAACATATACAGAACATATAAAATATACCAGACTTTTGCACAGGCCACATTTTCTGTTTTTTTTTTTTGTACTAACATGTTTAAGTCACCAAATAAACAGAACTGCACTTCACTATACACTTTAAAATACAGTACAGTACTGTAGCTCTCTTCAGTGTCATTAACTGCTCCACTAACTGCTCATTTCTTTACAAAGTCTTTTCAGTGTGTTCAGCTTCATCAGCTCTACCGTCCTCTAGCCCTACATTAATGTCCAGTTTCTAACCACAGTACTGTTGGCTGCATATTTCTATTGTTAAGCAGTTGAATATCCACAATGATTCTGTATAACAAGGTCTTTAGGCACTTTCACAGAATTTAATATCTTTAATTGATATGTTTCATTTTTTAAATCTATTTAAGACTTTCTTAAGACTTTAAGAATCTGTGGGAATCTTGATTAACATGTTCTGCACAGAGACTGTAGCCTTGTGGAAAAAAGTCACCATGTCTCCTCTCACCTTCTATTAGCTTCTGTACAGTAATGACCACCTTAATCAGCTAAAATGAAGGAACACTTTGGCTCTCACACTTTAACTGGTAGAAACAGTTCACAGCAGAGTTAAAAGATCCACTAATATTTCACCTATAAGCTTTAAAAACTTTTATCGCTGTTGCCGGAAAAAAAACCTTGTATCTCCAAAATGGTAACTTTACAGGAGAAGGAAAAACCTACTGTACTTTTAATGTAAGTCAATGGAACCAGAATTTTTTTTAAGTCATTTTGGGCTGTTTATTTTAGTCCATTCTTCATGAAATTTACACACAATGTAAAAGGCAACAGGCATTTCTAAATTATGTCAAAAACTGAAAAACAAAAATGGAGATACAAGGTTTTGTTCCAGATGCAGCGTTATATATTTGTATCCAAACGTGTAAAAACTCTTGGTCAAATTACAAGAAAATATAATTTCTGCAAATTTTAGAGGATAATTTGAAATTTATTTGTTAAATTTAACATGCATATCTCCTCAATATGTTAAATTCAGCACATATAACAGTAATTGTAAAACAAAGAAGTGTGTTCTTTGACTGTGGAGGTCAAACTTTTGGGTACAACACATTTGTGATATAGTGTGTGTGTGTGTGTGTGTGTGTGTGTGTGTGTGTGTGCGTGTGAATGTACATATATATTTTGTCAGAACAAAACCTCTGATCTCCATTTTTGTCGGTTTTCAGTTTTTGACATAATTTAAATTTACATAATTTAAGTATAAATTGTGTGTAAATTTATGATGAATGGACCAAAAGAAATGGCCCAAAATTACTTGGAAAAAAGTCTGGTTCCATTGACTTACATTAAAAGTAAATTATGTTTTTTCCTTCTCCTGTAAAGTTACTATTTTGGAGATATGAGGTTTTCTTCCAACAACAGTGATATATATATATATATATATATATATATATATATATATATATATATGTACACACACACACACACACACTCACACACTATATGGCCAAAAGTATGTGGATACACTAGAACTCCTAATTACTGAGTTCTGGTGTTTCAGCAACATCCATTGCTAGCAGGTGTATAAAATCAACAATTTCCCAGGTGTACAGATGCTGCAGTTTCTCACTGTCAGTAATTTGGGCCTCACTGAAAAACTTCATGACTTCTAATGTGGCACTGGCATAGTGTGCCACCTTTGCTAGTTTGTGAAACTTCTGTCCTGCTAAGCTGTAAATCTGCCCTGGTCAACTGTAAGTCCTATTCTAATGAAATGGAAGCATCTATGAGCAACAACAGCTCAGTCACGAAGCGGTAGACCACACAAACCCACAGACTGGGACCGCCAAGTTCTGAAGCATGTAGCACGTAAAAATCACTATCCTCTGTAAAGAAGTCAGGGTCAGCAAGTTTCTCTACAATAAACCAACTGAATCAAACTGCTCTGAATGACTTTGTTTACATTTTATTTGAATTATGCAGAAATTTTGAAACATCAGTCAAATTTCCTTTTAATACCCCTAACTGTACAATTTTAAAACTTTATATGACTTTCTAAGAATCAGCAGGAAGCCTAGAACATGTCTTGTTGATCGCCTACATTTGAGTTAAGGTTGATTTTTTTGGCAAAACTCCACAGCCATATAAAGACACTGCTGTAAATACACTAACCCCCATTTAGTCTGCTTTAGTTCTAGCATGAGCAACCAATGATATGCACTCAGTCCAGCAAGAACAGCCTGCAGGAATTAGCTCACTCTGACACATTAAAGGTCAATTACGCAGCTACAACCAACAGGAGAATCAATAAACTAATAAAAACAAATAACATGACTACATCGAGTCTAAAAATAAGATCACACGCAACTAAATCACGCTTCATTTTTGCAGCAGAAGTGAAAGGATTACCAGCATCAAACATCTGAGTCAGAAAACTGCTTGCCTGCCAGTTATTTATATATTACTGTCGTCATATCAGACCTTATTATTGCATTTTATTTTTTTAAAGTTACCATTTTATACAAGGTTTCGTTATGAAAGTGACCATATGTAGTTCTTTAGAACTCATTTCGAAGCACAGCCTTTGATCACCCTGACACTTGTAAATATACACTCACTGGACACTTTATGATGTACAACTTGCTTATATCTTCACATATTTCATATCAGTTTGTGTTAGTCATTCTCTTGTCCTTCAGTGGTCAGTTTCTGGTGGACTATTCTCCCAGCAGTGACACAAGGTCTTTAAAAACTCCTGCAACACTGCTGTGTCTGATCCACTCAGGTGCTGCACACACACACTAACCCAGTGGTCACCACCTGTGGACCTGGAGATCGACCATCCTGGAGAGTCTAGTTCCAGCCACATTATGCCACACCTGCTCCAGACAATGAACTTCTTCAGAAGTTCCAGATTGGCTGAGTCGGACGCATCAGTGTTAGGTAAGGGGCGGAAACCCGTTAGGATGCAGGTTGGAACAAAATACTTCGGGAAAGTAGATCTCCAGGAGAGGGAGGGTTGGTGACCACCGTACTAAATCTTTGCCTTTATTCCAGCTTTCAATCCTTTTGCCTTCAGTTTTTCAAAGAAATCTGCATGATATTTTTCCACATCTCCAAAGTTCAGTCTTAGAAGTTGGTTGTGTTTTCTGCTTCTCACAATCTGAGTAATGACAATTACAGATTTAAAATCAGTCCATAAAACCTTGCTAAACACCTCCAGTTTCAGCGTTCTAGTGCA